TATATTAGCAATAGAAAGGGATTAAAAGAGAAAAGGTTTCTATCTATTTACTTCCAGCAGGGCCCACTATATCTACCATTTCCCCTTCTATGCTTATTGATCTTACCATGCAACCTTCTCTTTTCACACTTCCTTTCTTTCCTTTCTCTTCCCTTATACTCGTTCTCACCCCCGTTATCATCCCACCAGCACTTCTCCCTTTCTTGTTCACCTTTTTTGCCCCCTGTATCTCCCATCTGTAACCCTTTGGTAAAATCCTTTTTATAAAATCCCATTTTTTCTTCTCCACCCACGTTTCACTCAAAAAAACCATATCCCATTTTCTCACCACTTTCCAAAAACCTTCGTCTTTGTTTTCCAATCCCGCCACATTCCAAAACCCTATTTTTATATTTCCTTGTTTATTCCTCTTCCCGTTCCTTCTGCGTCCTGAAAATCCATTCCCAGCCCCTCCTTTACCACCTCTCCCCTCTCCTCGTCAACCCACCATTGCACCCCATTTACCCAGATACATTCTTTCCCAAATTTTACCTCTTTACCCTTACCCCTCTCTTCCCATGCTTTACCTTGCAACAACCATCCTACCCTCCTTTCCCTCCACGTTTTATCCTCCTCTATTCTTTCCGGTCTCCCTTTTAGTCGCTTCTTCAGCATCATTATTTCTCTTTTTTCCTCTTCACTTTCCAAGTCCACCACCCACACTTTCGGCACTTCTTTATCATCCCCTCCCACCCCTCTTACTCCTTTAATGCTTGCTTTTGCTCCTATTTCTATCAGCAATCTGTTAATTTCATTTTTTCCCTCCTCCTTTTTCGCTTTAAGTCCTTTTATCACGATGCTGCACTTTCTTTTTTCTTTTTCCAGCCTTTCTACCTGCCTTCTTAATTCTCCCATCTTTCTTTCTATCCCTTCATCTATTTGCACATTCCTTCCTCCACTACTACAACCTGCCACTACATTTTTCTCCAATTCCTCCACTCGCTTTTCCAAAATTTTCACTTCCTCTTCTTTTTCTCTCTCTGTTCTTTTTTGCTCTAATTCTAATCTCTCTAATTTTCTCATAATTCCATTCTTTTCTTTACTCCATTTATTCTCCCATTCTCCCCACATATTCTTAATAGAACCAATTTCCTCCCTTAACTCATCAATCTTTTCATCCCTTGCCTCCTCTCTTCTACCACTTTCCTCCCTACCCTCCCTTATCTCTTTACCCAATAGTTCTATCCTCTCATTCGTCTCTTCACTCATCCTTATCATAAGAAAAGCAAGTTCTTGGAAACTCTTTTCTTCCTCTTCACCTTCCTTAGTTTCATTTTCCTCTTCTTTTTCTTCTCCGCTTTTACTTATTTCTGTTAATTCATTTTCTATTTTTTTACCTAATCTCGCTAATCTAATTTGGCTTTGCCATTTTGCCATCATCCTTTTCGACGCTGCCAGCCCCCTCTCTTTATCTAACAATTCTACGTTCCTCGGCCTCCCCGCCCTTTTCCTTCTCTCACTGTATTCAGTGAAATCAATCACCGACGAACTTCTTGTAGCCTTCGGGGTACCGAATACTTCGTCGTCGCCTATACTTTCCGCCCCTGACTCACCGGCCTCTCTCACTTTCTCTTCTTTCTCTCTCTCGCATTTCTCATTTTCACTTTCCAGTCGCTCCTGCCCTCTCTCGTCATTCTTTTCAAAATTCTCCATACTTCCTCCTAGCACGTGACACCACGCACGTGACACACACCCACTCTCTCTCTTCCACTTGTTTTTAGTTGAATATTTCTTGCTTCCAGAAAAACAAGTTTTAACTAATTTTTTTGTATTATATAATTTAAAAATATTTTTAATTTACTTGTAATTTCCGTACCTATTAAAATTAAAAAGTAGTAATACAATATATTTTACTACTAAACAGATTAAAATTTTTATGAGTGTTTTAATGCTCAAACTGAAAGGATTTTTATAAAATTTATTTTATAAAAAAATTATATTGTAATTTATATAGTATAAAATAAATTTTTTAAAAATCCTTTCAGTTTGAGGATTTTGTAAAATTTAATTTATAAAAAGATAATATTGTAATATAAATTTTTTAAAAGTTCGTTCAGTTTAAGTAAAATTTTTTTTTACTTTCACGTAATTTTGAACAAAATTTTACCACATTATGCTTACCGAGGAAATCGCCTTAAAACCCTCATAAAAAATTGTAGTCTGTTTAGTAGTAAAATATATTGTATTACTACTTTTTATTTTTAATAGGTACGAAAGTTTACAAGTAAATATATAAAATTATAGAATTAAAAAAAATCAGTTAAAACATGTTTTTTTCGAAGCGAGAAATATTCAACTGAAAACAATTAAATAACAAAAAAATAGTTTTGTTTTAAGCGGATTCCTTTTTTTTAATGCATATTTTCCTCTTGAATATGGCTCAAAAACAATCCTCTTATCTTAAGAGCAAAATACTCTTCCATTAAGTGTAATATTCTTGATTCAAAAGGAATTTTCCTCTCAAAAGAAGAATATTTTTTTTCCGTGAATAAACTTAAAATAGAAATTATAAATAAATAATATAAATAAAATAATGTATTACTAATTTTATTATAAACAAGTATTCCAATTGAATTTTAGTTCAAAACATACAAACCAAATTTGAAAAAAATTATGAAAGAAAACCTTCCAAAATAAACAAGTTAAAGCGTGCAAAGCGGGGCACACGACATTCGTCAGACGCGGGAGCCCACATCACGGAGCTTGCGCGCGCTTACAAAAAAATTCATAATTAATAAAATATTTGCTTGAAACAATTTTTTCTTTTTGATATGCAATCCTTAATAAATTCTCTTAAAGTTCTTATTTATAAAATTAAATATGGTTATCCAGAACACGTTTTATTTTTAATTTGTTTATAATAAATAATTATTTTTTATAACAAATTAAGAGCTTCGATTGTTTTTATAAAGTTTGGAATTTCATAGTTAATTTGCAAAAAGAATCATCAAGTTTCGTCAATTTTTGTCAAAGTTATGCATTTTTTAGAAATGTTATGCATAAAATTTCAATTGTTTATAAAAAATAAACAATTTAATATTTTTTAATAAAATTTACAGGTTATTCGTAACTCTTATAGAACTATCTTTTTGCACATTTACACTGATAAATTTCAAATTTTGAAAATTTAAGGTCCACTTGAGAAAATCTAACCCAAAAATATAACTGAAAAAATATAGGAATCTACAATATTTAATTTATGTAGTAAAACAAATACAAATTCCTACATTAATTCATATTAAAAATCCTGTTCCAATTTCAAATTTTTATGGAATTTATCCTATTTAGGATCTCATATAGGAATTTTCAGTAAGGTAGAGTTTGCTTGTAAGGGTTGCAGAGTGAATTCAATTTTCTTTTTAAAATGATTTTTTGGAACTAGAGCCTAAGTTCTTAATATAAGTGAAATTTCACTTATGAAAAAGATGAATTTCACTTATTCTAAGTGTATATGCACTTATTATTTACCTGAAAGGCTTTTCACTTTTTCAGATTTAATGATAAATCGTCCAAGCGCCCATCCTGCCGGAAGGACGTTCCGAAAAAAGGCTTTTAAAAAAAGGGAATTCAACTTTTCTTTTCTGTCACTCTTTGGGGTTAAAGTAGACGAAAAGACGAAAAAATACATATTTTTGACTTTTTAAAATAATAATATTAAACCATTTTTCAAAGCCTTCAAACTTGCTATGTTTTTAAACAGTGAAAAAAACATTTTTTCGTAAATTTAATGTAAAATTCCCAAAAATCAATATTTTTTGACCGGACGAGTCTCTTTCTCTTCAGAAACGTTCAAAGAATGAAACCTAATTTTTTAATTAAAAAAAATTCATTTTTAATATTTTTCAGTATATTTGAGTATATACTCAGGCGCGAGTCCCTTAGAAATTGCTCTATAAAATTAATATGGAAGCAGATAAATATAAAACTAAATATATCGTTGGAAAGGTAATAAAACAAGCTTTCAAATGATGTAAATATCGAGTCTTTAAATTTATAAACCTGGGCTAGGTAGTCTCTTGAATAAAGCGAAAAGCGTCCTGCCGGCAGGACCGGGCTTCGTCATTCTGTGACTAAAAATTATGTGAATTTTTGGAACATGTAACTTCTTCAAACTACCCAGCCCTTAGTTTTGAACTTACAAGCTCGATATTTATATGCGCTGAAAGCTTGTTTCATTACCTTTCCAATGATATACATATATCATTTTTTATTTATCTGGATCCATGTAAGTTTTCTTTAGTGATTTCGGAGGGACTCACCTGAGTCTTTTTCGTCCTGCCGGAAGGACGTTGGACGATCTATCATTAAATAGAGTGGTTTAAGTCAACAGCCATTTCTTTCGGTTGAACCCATAGTATTATTTAGATTTCGTATCTAAGGGTTCATACCACTTTGTCAACTTGAAAAAATCAAATTTTTTTTATTTCGGATTTCGAAAGTAAAATATTTTATAAATGTCGTGTAAAAATTTTAGAAAGATCTCAGCACTGAATAGGGTAAGTGCACTAGTTCCTGCGGCATTCCAGCCAAGATATCTTTTGCATAGAAAAAAAAATGGGTATTTATAGCAAAGTAATTAAATTAAAAATTTATTCAACTAATTGTTTGTACTCTTAAGAAATTTTTACAATTTTAAATGTATATTTTTATAGACAATTGTATCAAGTATTGTTTAGCAGGGCTAAAAGTATTGTTAAATTTTAAATAAACAAATAATATTTTTCTAGTAAAACGACGGTTTATAATCTATGATTATAGTTAAACACTGTTTTTGATGAACTAAAAAAGATGTAGATCAATAAAATCTACATGGATCGTAAAGAATTCTACAAAGAAGCTAAATTTTGAGGCGTGTAAAGTGGTATGAACCCTTAATGTCGAAAACTCATCAACCAAAAACATGCTGTTGCTCTCGAAACTCAAGTTATCGAGTTTCGGCTGCATTATTCGTTTAGAAATACCTGCAACATAAGAGGTTCTGGATTTACTTTCACCAGGGTCCAAATATATTTATACGAGAAATGCTCGTTATCAATTTCATTTTTCAAAAGCAATTCCATGTTCTTTGTAGTTGGACAGAGTCGCAGTTTACTTGTTGAATCGCTCATATTTGTTGAGACAGATTCCTTTATAAGATCCAGGAAATCAACGTCGATGGCCTCTCTGAAAACAGTACTAATCTCATCGAATTGCTCTAGTTCTGAATCGCTTGCTAGCTGTTTTAAAACCAGTCTCTCATTTCCCGCGTTAACGAAATAAACATTCTTTGTCCCTAAATAATTGGAAAACAAAGAAGATAGATCACTGTGATCGAAAGTAAGTTCATTAACATCCATTAAATAACATGCTGTAAGTCCATAACAGAAAGGACACTTTTCTGTGTGTTTTGTCTTCATGACATTTTCCAAAGTGTTCAAACAACTTATCAAAATACTTAAACTAACAACTAAACTGGCAATGATGAAATATTTCAATTTTAAAAGTTTAAAAAGAAGCACATATATTATAATTAAATAAAAAGAAATAAACATAATTAATTAATAATTTAAAAAAACAAGGTTATATATAATTTTAGAGGAACAAGCATCAACAGCTTCAACAGGTTTGCGCAGTAAAGTAGCTTCCACAGTAGACTGCGACAAACCTATCTGTAATGGTGTTTCTACAATAGCCTGCAAATGCATTTGTTTTGTCTGATTCAAAGTAAATTCATATTCTGCATATTATAAATTACCATAATTTATTTATTTAAAGAAGTAAACTTATATGTGCAGAATATGCAATCTCGAATTCTCGACTACTATTTTTCTTTCGACGGTAATCTTTTTTTTCTCCCGACACCCGACAGGCACCTTTATTGATCAGGTTGACCTCTGCAGTCAAAATAAAAGAACTAATTTGTTTAATTTCTTAGTGATCTGTTTCCTTACTTTAAAATATGTAGTTTTAAATTTTAATGCCTGTAAACATTAGATAACAAATTGTAATAATATTGAAAACTTTCAAATGGCATCGCATTTGTTAGTTATGACAACTCGCGTTGTTAATAATCTTAGAAATATAAATCAACTGGGGTAAGTGTCTCTTTTCAAATTACTCATTTCTCTTTGTAAAAAAGTCAAGTTTTGAATGAATATTTGACATGAAATAAAAAGAAAAATAATCCTTATATTAGTTGTTTTATTGTTGTTTTATTTTCAAAAAGTACCTTATAGAGCTTTAGATTATGATAATACTACATATTAAAATTAAAATTAAACAAATCTTTTCTAAAACTATTAATAGGTTTTTAGTTCTTTTATAATTAACAAAACAAAATGTCCACTAACTGTAATAGTTGACAAGTGTTACTTTAGTAGAAATGCTTTCATGAAACAATATGGTTAAATAATCATCATATATGAATTAAAGTTTCAATTGATTTGTTAATTCTATAATAAATATAAATTCGATTTCACAGACATTATTTTTATTACCTAACTTCCTTAGATAAATAAGAAATAGTTATACATATATATATATAGATATATATATTTTGAAATCAGCCAATGGAGAATTTATTAGTACATAACCATGTTACTCGGTTAAATTTAAACAAAGAATATTGCTATATTAATCATTGTTGCAAGAAAAATTCTTCGTGAATTTGATTAATAATAATTTTCTTTTTGATAATGAGAATAATTGTTATTTAGAAAAGAAAATCTCTTAAACAAGTTTGGAAGAAGGATTAATGAAAAATAAGTATTTGGATATTTTTTTAGCATTCTAAAAAAATGACAAAACTTTGAATGACTGTTCTTTTCTTCGCAGATTGTACAAACACTTGTCCACAAGTAATTTGCGCTACACTTTAAATGCTGAGGAAAATGCAAAATTGAAAGAACCTGAGCAAAAAGATCCTAAAATTGTTTTGCAAGATCCACTTGAACTGCAACAGCAAGAAGCTCTACATGGATACATTACAGTTACCACTGAAGAGAATGTTGGTATTGTTTCTGGAGTTCCCGAGGAACACATTAAGAATCGAACAGTTCGAATTTATCAGCCAGCAAAGAATGCTATGCAGTCTGGTACAAACAACACGAATTTTTGGCAAATTGAATTTGAGACTCGTGAACGATGGGAGAACCCTCTAATGGGATGGACTTCAACGTAAGTTTCATTAGACACATTTTGTGTATTAGTTTAGAAAAATAAATTTTGTTATTAAATCAGAACAAATGGTGTTCATAACGTGTGCACTACCTGAAGAAGTATTTCAGTTTCATATTGATGCGAGAATGTCATGAAAATTTGTAAAATTTAATTAATTCTATTTTTTTTTTTTAAAAACTCCCAGTTCAATTATGTCCACTCGCAGTGGTTTGACTCCCAAAACTAGACTTTAAAAAATGTTTCAAATAGTGTTATTCAACGATGTGAAAAAGATTATTTCTGCTTCATGGGCATTCACGCCCGCATCAAGTAAAAAAATCATACCGTCACTGTTTATTAATGCCCGATTAAAAAGTTGATTAATGGCTAAGGTCAGATCGACTGATCACTGTTGGTTGGTCGAGGATTTAATCACTCATAATCGCCTTAATTTATTTTAAATAAGTCAAAGTATTTCGTTTTTTCAGGGGAGATCCTATGTCAAACGTTAAAGTCGATTTTGAGACGAAAGAAGAAGCCATGCAGCATTGTAAAAAAATGGGTTGGCAATTTTCTGTACAAAAGTCATCTGATGATCAGCCAAAGCAACGTACATACGGTACAAATTTTTCTTGGAACAGAAGAACCAGAGTAACTACAAAATAAACCCTAAAAAAGTTTAAATCAATTATAGAACTGTAAATGATCTTATGAATATTTAAATAAAGTTTTGAGTGTGTCACTATTAAGTATTTAATTGATGAATTTTTTAAATGTTATTTATAAATATTAATAAATAATTTATTTTATTGTTTAAAATTTTAGTTTGAATTTTATCTCATTTCTTTTGAATATACTTATTTTGAAACAACCAAAATGTTTGCATTTTTTAATTATCCAAAATTATTGTTGTGTAAAGTGTCTTAAATTTTTCCAAGTTTGTCTCCTTATTAATTTTCACTCCCGGCAGATTTCGTATGATAATTAATTGTATCACTTTACTTTTTTATTGCAACTTGAAATAAAAAATCATTTATATGTTTTCTTCTATGCCATCTGTAACTTAATTATTAATAATGAAATGAAAAGTTGAAGTAATTAAATGAAAACTTGTATTTTCTTTCAATAAAATTACAGGCACTTAATAACAATTATCGTATTCTATTATATTTTCCTTGAAACTACAAACACATTGTCACATTGTTATTTTCATCAGACAACTATATATTATATATTTGAATTTCAAATTGTATTGACTTAAGGCTTCTGGATGTGAATCTTTAATTACTTTATGTCATTGGACATAATGCTTTAAACGAATCTAATTTGTATTAAATCAGTCTCTTTGGTTTTTCAAACTTCCAGGCGTCACAATTTTCTGCATCACTGATAAAGCATTTATATTAAATAGAGTTCCAATTGAGTATTTATTCGTGACGAAGAGATGCTTCTGAAATGCGTGCTCGAGGATCAATATCTCCGTCACATATGTATTTGCCTGAAAAATTAAAAAGAGAACTAAACTAGGAACTAAGGTGGGAAGAAGTTATTAAGAAAATTAATTTTAAGAAAAGTAAAGAATACTATCCAAATATTGTAATTGAGCCTCTTTTCAAACTTAAAAATTAATTAATTTTTTGCGAAATTTATTCTTGGCTTGAAGAGAAAGTTCCACTCAATATCTCGGAAAATAAACGACGCGTAATGAAAATTGTACAAACCTGAGACGAATCTACGCTTTACCAAACTGAGTCTATACCCAGGCCCCACAAGCTCGAAATCTACACCCGACAAAGTAGTGCCTTCGCAATTAAATTGTATATGTATTGTCCCTTGAGACCCCGGTCCGTTCTCCAAGTCCACTCGCGCCTTCAACGATCCAACGCCATTTCCTTCGCTGTACTGTGACAATTCCGTAAACTTCCACAGCAGACGATTTGTTCCTGACACCCATTGAGCGGTAGGCTTACTTTGGTAGCTTTTGAAACCCCCTTCAATTGGGATTGCGACTTGCAGATTCAGTAGAGGGCTAGGCGATGCCATCGCTCGACTATTATATTTGTAGTCAATCTAGAAACGTATAAAGAAATAAATCTCGCGATTCAATCTGCGTATAGAAAGAAAGACTCGACCCTATTATTTGTTATTATTGGTGCTTGGGCCTGTTAAGATCAAACAGTTCAATTGAATCGTAGTGGGTATGATGTATTTTTCGGTTCTTTCAATCAAATAAACACGCGTCCTTCTACGACCCAGCAATTCAATTGTCATCTAATTGGTAAAGCGTGGAGATTACATTATTTTTTTAGACAATAAAAAGAAAATTTCACGAATTGCAGTATTATTGCAGTATTTCGAATTTCAAATATTTATAAAAGTCCCTCACTTCATTTCTTATTGAAAGCATCAAATTTCAACTTTTTTTTCACCTTTTTACATTCTTGTGCTTTCAACGAGTTTCAACGAGTGATATACATTATAATTATAATAAATTGCATACCTTAAGATCTGTATGATTTTGCTCACACTTCCAGTAAGAAACTACATGAAATGGGCAAGAAGTGGCTCCTTCTCTTGCTTTTACTTGATATTTTAAAATGTCCACATTAAAGTATGATGCTGTTGGATTTTGTTCTGCTTGCTTTCTTAGTAACGTAGTTAAGGCACTCATGTTAAATTCAAATAACATACTTTCAACACTTGCTTGTGTTACATCCCTGCAATGAAAATAAAAATTATTTTAAAGAGTTCGATAATGGGACGCATGAATGAGCCCTACAACATGAATTTTAATCAGCTGAATATTAATTTGCAAGAAAGCCATTTTAAGCAAATTAAGCAAATTTCAATTTGTCAAACATTTCATTTTATCAAAATAATATCAGTGTGTAATTTAAATTTATATGTGACCTGCTAAGTTAGAAGGGACCTTACGCCCAAAATCAAGTTTTCGAGAAAAACGTTCTCGTTATTCGGGGGTTTCTGGGGTCGCTGATTACGAATTTGCCATCAGTTTTCAAAATTCAAAATCTGATGTCAGATTTGTAATCAACAACCCTAAAACCTTTATATGTATGTACAAAGTTTCATAAAAAGTCATCAACTTTTTAGTTTTAATGTCCGCCATATTGGATCCGACATTTTGAATTTTAGAAATCTGATACAAGATTCGTAAATAGCATCCGCGATGCGGATGAAAAGAGCATATCTTTTTCTATAAGAATCACCGAAAAAGTGAAAATTGATTGTTTTCTCTTTTAACTTACCAGGTCACATGTAAAAATGTATTTATATTATTAGACAAATACAAGCTTGTTTTGTCTCCTTGGTACACTCCTTGCACACTCGAGGACATCATGTTTAAAAGGGTAAAAAATAATTCGTATTAAAAGTTACTTACTTATTTATAAGTTGAGAATTAGGTAAAACTTTTTCCAATCTGTCACTGTTTTTTATACGAAATACCAGCTTTGCAGGACTTGGATTGTTGGTTAGTACGGTTAAAATTCCAGCAGGAAACGATAGCATCATATCACCGCTTAGTTTTACTTGACAGAGAGTTTCATTCGGACCTTTGAAGTAGGAGTGCACTATTTCGTGAAACGCCACTGCCAACGGAATGGTGTCAGCCAGGCCGATTGTCAGGGGCGAAGGCCCTCTCGAGGTGCCTATTCCAACCCCCGAAGCACGAAACTCTAAACTCGCTATGCTGTCTGCTCTTGAAATCGTGGCTGGAGAAATCCTTCCTCTGTTGGACTGACTTTCGCCCCTGCGCGAAGGTGGTCTGGGAATATTTATGGTTCCAGTCGGCGTAGAAGAGGAAGAGGAGGAAGATTGCTTTTGAGGCAAGTCAGCAGCTATATTGCCAACTTCCGAAAATAAGTCTCCATCTATACGAAAACAAGAGTCACTCTTACATTACGCGACACCTTTCTTTGCGATAGATTTTAGAATTTTTAAAATGAGCAGCATCAACATACCTTGAAATTTTGATGTCATTACTTGAGAGTCGAGTTGTGGTACTAACGGCGATGTTAGAAGCGGAGGACTTTGAAGAGGTGCATACGGGTGACTGGTAATTGGAGTTGAAGCACTAGACGGTATGCCGGACAAATTGGACAAATTTAAACCAAGCAAGTCTGAACTCGGTGTGCCTGATAACTGTTGTAGGACGGATTGCGACCTCTTCATGTGATAATCAGAATCAGAATGTAAATCTCTTCGAACCTAATGAAAAGTATATTTTAATACAATTGACAAGTGCTTCTCGCTTGGAAATAGTTGAAGAAAGAATTGGGAAAATGTGCTCACCATGGTTGCTGACATTAACGAGAGACTTTCCACTGTAGCTCGAAGTTCATCAACACTAGCACTAATAGGAGTGTTTCCATTGCTTAAAGGTTTTATTTCCACGTGGAATATCTTCTTGTCTCTTTCATCATCTGAGTCTGAATCAGAACTCGAATAAAAACATCTTTCACTGTCCCAGGAATCAGCTTTAGGCTTTATGCAAAATCCATCCTCGTCTACCTCAGGTGTAGGCGTTTCAGACTTTCTTCCTTCCTCTTTGTCGTCTCTAGAAAGGGATGTCAAATGCTGTTTTTATAAAGTCAAAAGTGTATATTGGGATTTTAGTTTCTATTTTTCATCAATTGAAGGGAATAATAGAATGAGTAAAAAATATATCAATTTTTATTAATGCATTAAATAGTTAAATGTTTCTGAAACATAGAAACTAAAATCTCTATAAATATATATTTATGTTAAAAAACTTGATTTAAGGTGGGTATTAGTCGCGCAGCTGGCTCTGGCCAAAAGTTTACCGGGCCGCTTACTAGAGTGGGGCAGTGAGAGTGAGAGAGACAGCTCAACTCCCCACTCTATTCGTTCATATAAAAGTTCATATAATTTAATTTTTTTTTAACTTTCTGTCAATACCCGTGTAGAAATTGCCATATTTATGAAACACCTTCTGTTTGAAACACCCAAGTCTGGCCAGACTTGGGCCCGATCTGGGAAGGTGTTTCATGCCATGTCAAAAGATCTGGCCCCGATTTGGGCCATGGTTGAATTTCTACACGGGTATATAATTATAGTTTGGTGCGGTCAAAAAATGTCATGTTTTTTTTATTCTTTGAAACGGTCAAAATTAATGAAATTGGTCTCATTCTGTAGATAAATACTTGAGGAATAAGTATGGAAAATTTGAAAAAATCTGACGAAAACCATTTTACGCGACTAATACCTTAAGCGAGATAATAAACAAAAAGTAGATTTGTTGACGAAATAAAAATGAATATAGTTATTAGAGTTTGGATTGTTTTTCAACAAGATTCTATTCTACACACTTTCAATGTAAAATCGTGAAAGCCTTAAACCACGACAAGCTTAGATTAAACATGTTAAGGAAAGTTGTGACTTGACAAGTACAAATGCCAAAACTTGCTGCTACTAAAACCTGTTTCTCTCTTCTCTATGAGCCAAAACTAAGTGAAAACCAAAAGTCCTACTACTTACACTTGTTGTATTGTGTTAGTGATAACTTAGAATTACTTTAAAGCATAAAAATTAGTCTCTGTTTTGGTGACGGAAGCTTAGGTTTTTACTTGTGAAGAAGGCGAAATTAATTTAAGAAAAGGGAACTGATGAGAAAGAAATAAAAAAAGAAATTGAAATTGTGCATTAGTAACAGAAGCAATAGAGACCGACGCTTGCGGACATCGGAAGCACTAGTAGTTTAAAAATCTAGTGACGAACTTACAGATCAGACTTCTCATCCTTGTTACTAGTTACATCAATAGATTCTTTTTTCTTTTTCGCTTTCTTTTCCTTCCGTTTTTCACGTCGGCTTCGAAGAAAACCTGTAAGCGGATAATTTCTAAAAATCTTTATATGGTTAGAACATGTTTTTACCTTTTTATGTTTTTACAAAGGAAATACATATTAAGAAATCGTGTCTGATGAATAAGTCCCAAAATTCATTAGTTTAACTAATTTGGCTCGCTCAAAATTCTCCTATCATCCACAAGAAGGTCTAGCTTATACAAATCTATTAAGAGCTTTTAATAAACTTGATCACAGTTTACTGCTGGATAAACTCTTTACTTTTGATAAGATCTGTTTGACAAATTTGTCAAATAGATCTAATCAAGTTCAATAAGGTAGACATTTTTCAGATACTTTTTCCTGGCATCTTGTGTTCCCTAAGACTAATTTGTTTCCACTTTTGTTTTCGACTTATATAAATAATGTTTTCATGTTCTCAGGGTGCTAGTCTTCTTCGTGCTGAAGACTGTATGCTAGGGTTAGGCTTTTAAAGTTCAGGAATATATTGTGAGGCTACTTTATAAAGAAATAAAACTACAAAAACATTAAGAGAATGGAAAGGTTTGAAAAAAATTAAAATTGTTAAAAAATTTGCACGTATTAAAAGACAAACAGAAAACATAATTTTTTATGTACAATTAAAACTAAATGATAAAATAGCTATGCATATTTTTTTCGCTATATATTTAAAACTAAACAAGGTAAAGAATTTATATTAAGATCAATTGACAAGATATGTCGTGCTTAAATCAGTAACAAGTAAAAAACATAACAAATAGAATCGGTCTCAAAGTTTACATAAATTTTTAAATAAAACTAGAAACCAATTACTTTGATGTTGTATTAATGAGTTTATAAAAACGATTGTGCCTAAAATTTACTTACCAGCAACTCCTGTTTCAGCATTAGTGCCTTTGGATATTTCTTTCAATGGCTCCGGATTTTTCACATCTTCCGAAGATTGGCCCACAATCTCTGCTAAACTTGTCATTACTTCTTCATATTCTATTAATCCTAATGATATAAGAATATAAAAAAGTATAAAGAATATTACAAACTGAAATTCAATTTCCATACTTTTTGAAAAATAAGTAAAGGGAATTTTCCCTTTTCTCACTTTTCCTTACCTGGTTTTTCAAAACCGGTGCATTTACTTTGAACAAACTGCTGCAACAATTCTTCGACTGTTAAGTCAAGGCAATGATTTTTAAAATCTGCGTGTACTCGACCAACTTCTTCATGATTTGTTTGTAAAACGTCCATGTATATTGCCAAAAATTCCTTCATCTGTTTCAAATGCATTTCTTCTATTACTTGGAATCGCTGGACAAGAAAAAATGTATATTATTATTAACATTTCCTTTTCTATACCAAACGACTCTTACAAGTAAACCTACTCAAGTATCAGTGACCGTTTTGGCTGAAACTTGGCACATGCTTAGAACTCGGAAAAATAAAAGAAACGTATTTTTTGTTATCGACAAAGAAGACGATTTATGGGTTGAAACAACAACCCCTTTTGTTGCTAAAAAGCTAAAATTTCACACTATTTGTAGCTAATTTTTTCACTTAAATACAGTCAATTTTCACAACAAAATTTAAAAATAAATAATAAATCCGAATTTGTCAGAATCGTATTTTTGAAGGAATGCGCATAACAACGGAAAATAAATGGCTAGTTTAAATAAATACTCACTTTGCAAGCTTGACTTATTTTGCTTTCAAAGTCATTTCTAATAATGCTATATTTTTCAACGAAAGTTTTATAGTCATCTTGAGCTTTCTTAAACTTTACTTCAGCTTTCTCTAGCTCACGTTGACTTGCATTATCTTTCTTCAACTTTTCTAATTCAAAGCCGCGTTGAAAACAAATGTCTCTAGCCTTTTGTAATGTAACGGTAACATTCTGTATGCTTTGAACAATTTCAATGGTTGATGCTTCCTCTTCCTTCACCTATAAGAAATCCTTTTTATTCCACAGATGTTAACAGGGAATTCAAACATTTATTTGTTACAACGCTTGATAGAAGCATGTCTAACCATGGTCAATAAAAATATTATTATATAATAGACAGGGGATTCAAGTGAGTAAAATTTAATTAAATTGCCGCAGTTTGCAACTTTAGTAAATACAATAGAACATTTGTGAGGTATACCGTTTTATGCTTTTTATGGAGTTCATCAGAATATTTAGATACATCTTTAATGAGCTCGCTGACTTTTTGTGCCATTTGGAAATGTAATCCTGCTAGCTTTTCAAGAACAGCCTTCAAAGATACCCACACTGGTGTAAATGTCCCTTGCACAGAATTGCTACCGCTAACTTGTTTTGCCAATTTGCTAAACAGTTTGTAATTGTTGTCTTCAATAGTTGAACGCTCCCGAAAAAAGTCAGCCAACTCCTTACTTGCGACAACACCATGCTTCATATTATGATACAGAACATCAAATCCATTATTTTTTTCGCCCTGTAAAAGTAAATTTTTAATTGCACCCTCAAAGTTTACAGTAATGTCCGCCCACAGCTTCATTAGTCGTAAAAAATTTTCAAAATTTACAATGTCGGATCAAGAAAAGCGGACGAGTTTTTTTTACATCATCTATTTAGATGATGCTGATGACCCGTGAATTACGATTGTAAATCTTATCTTATCTTATCTTATCTTATCGAGTTTCAGAAAATCGCTCGTTCGCCTACTGTTGCTTAATAACCCCAACAGAGACTTTACTTGCCCCGATTCCTGACCAATATTCAGCCCCATCTTTCAATAGCTCCTCTAACCAAACACGGCATTACTGGAAGGATAAAGTTCTTATAACGGGATTTAAATTCAGGCTGAGCTGTAGATGACTCATCTGCTCGTGGTGTTATGTTGCAGAATGAGTATAACCTCAATATCGAAGAATATGCTAGAGGTGAACTTAATGAAGATCCTTGCCCGGCTGAAATTCTCTGTACAAGCGTATGTTAAAGATCACCAGTTGCGAAAATTAAGACAGTGAAAACATACATGAAACCACAGATAATTTACTAGTTTGTGTACATGTTTCTGTATATTCCTCTGCCTACTCTTCTTCTTCTTCTTCTTCTTCTTCTTCTTCTTCTTCTTCTTCTTCTTCTTCTTCTTCTTCTTCTTCTTCTTCTTCTTCTTCTTCTTCTTCTTCTTCTTCTTCTTCTTCTTCTTCTTCTTCTTCTTCTTCTTCTTCTTCTCTTCTTCTTCTTCTCTTCTTCTTCTTCTTCTTCTTCTTCTCTTCTTCTTCTTCTTCTTCTTCTTCTTCTTCTTCTTCTTCTTCTTCTTCTTCTTCTTCTTCTTCTTCTTCTTCTTCTTCTTCTTCTTCTTCTTCTTCTTCTTCTTCTTCTTCTTCTTCTTCTTCTTCTTCTTCTTCTTCTTCTTCTTCTTCTTCTTCTTCTTCTTCTTCTTCTTCTTCTTCTTCTTCTTCTTCTTCTTCTTCTTCTTCTTCTTCTTCTTCTTCTTCTTCTTCTTCTTCTTCTTCTTCTCTTCTTCTTCTTCTTTCTTCTTCTTCTTCTTCTTCTTCTTCTTCTTCTTCTTCTTCTTCTTCTTCTTTTCTTCTTCTTCTTCTTCTTCTTCTTCTTCTTCTTCTTCTTCTTCTTCTTCTTCTTCTTCTTCTTCTTCTTCTTCTTCTTCTTCTTCTTCTTCTTCTTCTTCTTCTTCTTCTTCTTCTTCTTCTTCTTCTTCTCTTCTTCTTCTCTTCTTCTTCTTCTTCTTCTTCTTCTTCTTCTTCTTCTTCTTCTTCTTCTTCTCTTCTTCTTCTTTCTTTCTTCTTCTTCTTCTTCTTCTTCTTCTTCTTCTTCTTCTTCTTCTTCTTCAACTCCAATAATTTGGAAATTTTTTTTCAGGTCTAAAATCGTCTATTTGGACGCCTGGTAGGGACTATGGAAAGTACATTTAAAAGCGCTAGAGTGAGGATAAGTCACCGTAGGCAGAGGGATATAAAGAAAAACAACTTTTTAAACAAAATTCAAGAAGCCTTCAAAATTTTAAAATAATGTTGTTTCAGATGAAGAAACTATATAGTAGCTTGAAACAGGTACTTAGCTATTGATACGAATTGGGATTTATTACATAAGTAGTTAATAACTTTAGTTGAGTTATTTAGTAGTGTCATTTGGGGTAAATGTAAACAGTTGATGTTTGATATTGATGACAATATTTTAACCTCAGCTCACCTGTAAGAGGTTCTGAGTATTGTCAATATTTTATTTTATTAATTGCCAATGCTGTACATATATCAAGTTATCTCTTAATACAGAAAAGATTAAAGACCAAAATTTCAGTTTTAGTATTTTGATCTTAAAAAATTGGATAGTTTATCCAATTTTGATGACTGCGGAAAGTAATTTTTTTGCTGCAATGTCTATTTTTCTTAGGGATTGTTACTTTTAAGTTGGATAATTGTTACATTTCTTAATTAAAAAAGATAAATACAATTATTTTCCATACCTATGGAATGTTTGCTTAGGTTTTATATTTATCAGTAATAAAATTTATAAATAATAAAACAGGGTATCTACTAAATTTCATTCTTCAAATTTCCGGTTTTTTCCCGGTTAGGGAAGACCGGGGCGTAATGAATAATTGTAATTTATTTAAAAACCGTAAATCGAAATAATTTCGCTGGATTCACAAGTTATTGTACTTAGTATGCTGCAAGTGGAGCTCTGCATTGCTCCAGGAAAACTGTTGTAGAATAAAAAGTAAGAGTCATATCGGGACGTTTGTAGTCTTAAAAGAAAGCTGAGATACCAGAGTAACTTTTCTGGGAGATAAACATTCAATTAGAACAAAAATGTCCGAGTAAAACAACAAAGAGTGGAAAGTTAGCCATTACGCCCCGGTCTCCCCTAATGGTATGTAAAATCTGATTTATAAAAATATTATATGACAAATCCTATATTAAATAAATAATTGATTAAGGCTATAAATGATTATCTATCGAAGACACTAACTTATAAAAGAATTCCTTTTCCTAATGCAACTTGAGTTTTATAAACATAATTTATTTTATATAATTTGGCACCACATGGAACTTAATAATAATTTCCCCAAAAGATAACAAATTTTGTAAAAGTTCGATAGATATTCACAAATATAATTTATTTCCCGGTTATATTAGTAGACACTAGAGGTGTGCAAAAAGCTCGAATAGCATGGTCGAGCTCGAGCCGGGCTCGATACTCGAGCCAGGCTCGAGTTTTAAGGCGCTAGCACAGCTCCTACTGCCTGCCTGCCTGCCTGCAGGTTGACATGGTAACACATAAGAGTAAGAGAGTCAGAAAATTCAAATTAAATGTTTTTTCTCTCTCACTCTTATGGCGCCTGCCTGCGCAGGCAGGCAGGCAGTGAGGTGAGAGTGTACCTTTAGTTACTCAAAAATATTTGAGTGCTCGAAAAATTCAAGTGCTCAAAATTATTTTAGGTTTAATACTGCACGTGTCGGATGGAATTTGGTTCAAGTTCGGATTTCTTCTGCTCAGCTCTACTAGAAAAACGAAAAGCTTGAAATACTCGATCGAGCTTTTTGCACAACTCTAGTAGACACCCTGTAAAAGTTTAATTTTCAAAATTTCTGGTCAACATATTGTTTCTATAATTTTGAAAATCTGGTATCAGAATTATAATCATCAACCTGAAAACCCCCCCGAGTAAGGAGTTTCAGACTAATTTGTCTGTTTATTAGCTGAAACCTGCTTGGCACGTGATGGCACTGAGAGCCCGCCTACTTCATGACGTGCATACACGAACCGCCTGAAAAAGGGTTAAGTTTTACGATAGTCCTTTATGCTATAAATGCTATATTTTTCTATCCGTGTACGTGTACCAATTTTTACTAAAACACGTTAAAATGTTTACAAGATCACCAAAAAGTTCACCAAAAAAGGAACGTTCAAATGAATGAAATTTTTTTATTTCTTCAAACTAAATTTTTATTACGTACTAGTTTTGCGTTACTAACAGTTTCCCCACTACACCTAAACTTACAGTAATATTGGCAATATTGCTCCAAGTTTAGTTGCTTTAGTGTTGCAAAAAATTTCGTATAACACTCGTGCGTAAATCAGATTATACGAATGTGACTTGCATCCCTCGCCTTCTGCTCGAGCTGCAGTTTTATTCTATTTAATTCCGAAAATTCCCTCCTAATTTCTATACCCTCAAATTGAACAGAATATGCGAAAAATATTAACTTTTTTCCTTCTATGTCAAAATTCAACTTGTATTCCATCTGTGGAATATATTTCGTAAATTTTTAATTCTAAAAACTCTGTTAAACAATGTATAAAAATAGATGACTCTGACTCCCATTTAGGGAATACATTTATACTTAGTATCTTTTAATGCCAAACAATTCCTTCTAGAAAAAGTAACGTTGAATATTTTCTATTCCCAAACTGGAATAGATTTAAGATCTTTTAAATACCTCTTAACGCTGAAATGAAGAAATTTTAGTTCATATTTTGTCTCAAGTCAATTAAAATGAATAGAAATTTACAATTTACAAATTTATATTCTATCGGGGGATTAAAGAAGAGGGAATTTCTGGGATTTAATAAAATTAACTTTTTAATTTCCATTCTATTCCAAGAGAAACTGGCTTTAAGTGACGAGAAATTGGTAAATTAAACTCTTTATCTTCTGCTGACTGCACCTCAGCCAAACTTTTGACAATTGACAATGCAAATTTTAAATTAAAATTACAGTTAGAAAAATTAAGTTGAATTGAAATAAATTCTACCCTAACAGCATTCAGATATATTTAAAAATATTCCACATACTGAAAATTATAATATCTCTCTAATCTTTTATCACATAACAATCATAATCATAACACATCATAACGAGGAAATGTGTATAAGTAAATAAATAACAAACAAAAAAGTTTTAAAACCTTTAGGATTAATTATTTGAAATGATGAAAAAATATTTTCAAAATTGTGAAAAAAATCACTAGTCAACGATCAGCTGATAAAAATTTATGTTTTGAACGATTGACAATTTCTTCGCATGCTTTAGAATGTGGAATTACATAAAATTAGAAAAAATTAGAAAAACATAATTTTTGATTTTTAAATATTTTTGAGATTCTTTTGAAACTAAAATTTTCCAAATTTATGTGAATTTAAAATCATAAAACTGACCCCCTTCGGCAAGATCCCCCGGAAAGTGTTTCCTGTAGATTAGTAATTCATTATTTCATTAAAAAATTATCGGATTTCTGACGAAATCTCCAGAGGACGGTTTCTGGGTAATCTATTCAAGTGGGCGTAAAATGTTGTCGACTTGAAATAATATAGATTACAAAATTCGTTCAACTTGAAATTTTTCAGAATTCATTGGTAAGTCAAATTCGTAGTTAAATTTTCATGATTTCAAGATTTATTTTCCGATAGTCGAATATGCAGAAAATTAAATACATGAATGGACTGTTAAAAATTGCAAAAGGCTCGATTTATGAGTAACTATCATTTTATCGTCTCACATTACATTTGTTTCCATTATCTACGGAGTGTAAATTCAGAAATGATAGCAATTTTTACGTAATAACAATAAAGGTTTGTGAGATAATTTACAAAAAGTCTAACAAATATGAAGGTGCATAAATTATAATATTGCATAAGTTGGAGGAGAAACCTTTGAATCTACAAGTTGTATTTATTGTAATTATTAAAGTAACGGTTTGTTGATTTAATTAAAATATGTCTACCAATGGGTACAATAATAATAATAATAATAATAATAATAATAATAATAATAATAATAATAATAATTTACAAGTGCTTCACTTGCAACTAATTGCGTTTCAAGTATAGTTTCTACAGTTGGATGGAAAAAATAAATGGTAGAAATGATGCACCTGCTGTAATTTAGGTTAAAGAGATGACCAATAATGCAATAGACAATGTACATACCCAGAAATAATCAACGAAATCCACAGTCATGGTGATCTGGTGATTCAAATCATATTTTGCTTATTTTCAAATTAGTAATCCAACGTCTTTCATATGTGACAATAGTGTGTGTTTATAACTATCATCTCTCATCCAGACAAATTAAGCATAATAATGATTAATGATAAATGTAAAACAAGCAAATCTCTATAGTTCTTCTTTTAAAATATCGAAAATTCAATCAAACACTTAAAGTTAATAAAATTATGTATTTTCAGAGCTAACATTTTCTTTTTAAAAATAAGTCTTATAATCAAAGGCCTCCGCAAACATATGTCGATGTCTTATTCTCATTAAGAACTGCTATTGCTATCCATAACAGGCTCTGTCAACTTGACTTGTTTTCATTGTAAAAAGACAGTTGTTGACTTTAAGGATCTCACAAGTGGTGCTGGTGAGTATCAATAGGACCAAAGCAGAAGAGATCATTTGGTTGTTGGGAGTGTCGGGTCTCGGGTCGGAGGCCAGCGCAGAATGTATTCGTGAGACATTCCCGAACCGAGCCAATGCATGTCTACAATAAAACGGACATTTGTGTCCTTTTCTGTCACATGCGATTTCATGTACTTCTATCCTTGTTACACTCATTGTTCAACGCAAAATGCGGCGTTAAGGTGCCGTCCCATGAAGACGTGAAGCGTGAAAGCGGAAAACGTTTAAGCAATAAGAATTCTCCTCTATTCAAAACATTTCCATATTTAATGGTGGAGTCCCGTGCAGGCCCGTGTGAGGGTGGAGTCCCATGACAGCGTTTTGCGTTGCGTCCGTCGTAATGGGAGAGAAAAAGACGCAAATATACGTTTGCTGCATTCTCTCTTATTACAACGCAACGCAAAATGCTGCCATGGGACTCCACCCTGAGCATTACGATTCGTTCAAGAGTGCTGTTGTGGACTCAACCTAACAGAAGGTTCTTATATGCAAAAGAAAATAAATAACAGAAGGTGTCTGTAACCTTTTCTTTCGCATGCCCTGTTCCCGTATCCGTGTTCATTCTGCGTTGACCTTATACGCCTACAGGATTATGGGAAAGCACCTTGAACGAAAGTATGTGAAAACTGCCTTAAGCTGTCTACCACCCTAAAAGTCATTTCACAGGGCAACTAATTGCCTGTTTTTTTGGCAACTCATGAAATCGCACCTTTATTGTTATGGCTTTCGCACGTGTCTGTCAAACTGACAAAGCGGGAAACAAAGCTGACCGAATACACTCGATTAAATCTGTGTTTTTAGATTTATATAAGTCCCTCATCCAAGCATTTCGATTTGCTAATATTAATTTCGATGACAAGAGATTAATGAATTTTTCACGAAACTGAAATGGAGGAAGAATCTGTTGACAGACATCCCTGGGCTAATTTAACCACAATAGCCAAGTTTGATGAAGGTAATTGCAATCTATTGTTTCTTTATTTTTAGACTAACCTCAATGATTTTTAATTTCAAAGCATATTATGCTATAGCATTACTTAAAAAAATACTTTGTCTGAAAAGAGATCTTGGTTTTTTACCATCAGACTGCATTTATTCGTTCATGTGTATGGCGTCAAAAATTATTAAAAGTAATGGTGTTACATCATAATGTATTTCAAATTTTCAGTTCCTAAGAATTCTTTTTCTCTGCAACTTTTTTTTCTTCATAAGATAACAAAAAATAAAATTTCAATTCTTGTCTATGACGAGTTGAAATTGAAACATAACCTCACTTACTATTTCAAGTATAAAAATGTTATTGTAGTTTTTAAATGATTCTAATAAAGGCTTATAAATAACAAACTTAGTTTTTTAATGAATTTCATTGTTCCAAAATGCTTGTCTAGTGTAAGGTCTGCAAAGTTATAAAGTCAAATAATATATGAGAAAACCTTTAAAATAGCAACTTATCAATATTATCAATAAATAAATATATGCCAAAATAATTAGTTAAAATACCAATTTTATTAATTTTGATACTTTAATCAAACTTTTTTAAAAAGTTGATAAATACAATAGTGTGTACCCAAAGTTTATGACCCTACAGCACACTTCTCGGTTATTCACAGTTCTAATTTTAATTTTTCAATGAAATATTAAAATACGTTAATTTTAAGGTGAAGATCATTGGACAACAAAGTGCGTGGATAATTCATCAAAATTGAAGTCTCAAAATTACGTTGTGGATCAAATTTCCTCTGCTACAAGTTTGCTTATAGAGTCATTATTGCAGCAATTATGTACAATGTTGGAAAAATGTCCATCGCGCAGAAAAAGGCTATACTTTGGTAAGATTATATTTAATCAAATACTTTTGTCCTCATGGCATATATGTTTTACTGTGCTTTTACTTCGGGCATTATTTTATTGAGCTTGAAATTAATACAACAGATGTACAATAATTAAGCTTCTGGAAGTTTCTATAGTTCTACGAACTATATAATTCTCAGGAATTTTTTTTTACTTTTATCAAAAAATTAATTAACAAGAAAATTGTTTATGTTGGCATTGTTTCATTATTTCTGCATATTTTAGAAAACATAAAATGAAACTTAAAATAAATTTAATACAATATTACTGTTTCAACTTAGAAAGTAGTGTAAAAGAAATGTCTATTTAAGATCCGAAGTGACGGGAAGTGAAAAGGACGTCCAAAAGACGTACTTTAGACGTCCTTTTTGATGTCTTTTGGACATTTGTTAGACGTCTTTTTGATGACTCCGAGACATTACCATCATTGTCCCCGAATGTCCGCGGACAAAAAGGGACGTCTTTTAGACGTGCATATGCCCCTTAAATAATAAAATGTTAATATAACGATTTCAGGTAATACAAACAAAATAAATATGCAAAATAAAAATATCCATGTTCAATTTCTGTTGGTCGCAATTAAGTGTAGTATACTGAAAAAAAATGTAATTGAATTGAGAAAATTCTATTTGGTTCAAGTAATTAGCGGAACTGAATAGGGACGAGTAAATTATGGTTTTGGATCAAGCGCAAGATTTTCTTGGCATAGAATATTTAGTAGAAGAGTATAAGTTTTTGATCCAAGGAAATATGGAATTTGACCAAAAAATTAATCAACATGTAAGAAATTAACAACATGTAAGCATTATCCATGTTCGTCGCGAGCCTTTTTATTGTCAAAAACTATACAACATTTACTAATTCAATGCATTTGCCCAAAAACATGCACTGACATTTATAATGATATCTCGCGAACCGAATAAGATTTTTTAATGTTTTTGGTCCTAAATATTATAAGCTTTCGAATGGTACATTTGTTAATTTTCTGACATTTGTATTTACAAAGAAATCGTGATTTGAAGATTGGTATGTTTTTGGGCTATGCGCATGGAGCCGTACCGACAATTTCCGCCAAATACAACACATGTACTTTGAAAGAAAATTGTCTATGGTCACCAAATACTGAATTATTAATTCAAGAACTCTGTCAATGCTAATAAATACTTGGCACAAGAAAATAAATTGAGATTGCTTCAAGTAAATGCATCTACTTGATTCAATTACATTTTTGCTTCCTCATAAAGGAAGCCTTATAGTGATGTCGATTTCCGAATTTTTTAGAACCAATTATTTTTACAAATTTTCAAGTGTAGTATACATAATTCGTCGAGAGGAACAAATGTCCGGATGTATGTGTGTATTTGTTTGTGTGTGTGTGTGTGTGTGTGTCACCGATTCTTGTGGGCAAATTTTCTCTTACACGTCTTGACGGATTTTGATAAAATTTTGTAGGTGTATTACGGTCACGAATACCAAAAATCAGACAAAAGGATTTTCAAAAATATCTAAAAAAAAAATTTTTTTTAACAATTTTTTAATTTTTGAAAAAATTAATTTTTGGATTTTTTGAAATAACTTTTTTCTATATTAAAATTTTTATTAATTCTTGTCAAAATTGCATTCCTGACATAAAAACGAATCGATTCATGTATATAAAGTATATATTTTATCAAAATTTATAGAATTAATAAATATTTTAAATTTTCACAAAAAATTGAAATTTTGTATTTTTTGACATTTTGTCTTAACACTTTAAAATAATTATTCTAAAATAAAAAATTAAACAATTGGTATATATTATATTGAGGAAGCTTAATGATCATGAAATGAACAACTTGTTTTCAATGTAGTGGGCAGACCTGAGACGCTCACTAATTTTTGATCCGTGCGTAGGGTGAGTTCTTATTCCTGAGTAGTGTTGCAATAGAGAAACTCACACCTGTCATAAATGAAAAAGACCAAATTTACATATTCTTTAAAACTTGTCAAACAACTTATGACTTGGAAATATTTTCAGCAATTTGCAATAAGCTGCACGAGATGAAATTGATTGACAACTCTTACCATATATCAGATTTTGAAATGATAAGAAACCATTATCAACAAGCATTATATCATTTGGTGTCTGCAGCTCGTGTATCGATACATAAAGAACCTATTTTAGATATATCTAGGTATTTATAATTTTTGGAATTATTTTGACTTGATTAGTAGACACTACTCTACTTGGATTTGCGAATAAATAGGAACTTAGTTTTTCTAAACGGATTTTTCGTGCTGGGCATGAATCCGAGGTCTAAAACTTCCTTTCCTAATGCGTCACGTACACTTCTGCTAAAAGGGGTTGAAACCCTTAAAAATAGCCTTTTCGGACAAGCACACTCTTTAGAACTTTACTAATATAAAAAATAGAAGGCTGAACCGTGCTTTTTCAAATTCACTAAATTTTAATTTTTTCACCCCCTACTCTAAGGAAGCATGCGGTCAATATCTATAGTTTTTAACTGTCGGCCTGATGGGAAGTTTTGCACAGCGTTTATTCGTGTTCAGCACGAAAAATCCATTTCGAAACACTAGGTCTCGTTTTATTCGTAGAAGAAAGTTGTAATTTGTGTACCAGTGTTAACGTGAGTTTGTTTTTTGTCATTAGTTGTTACATAAATGATTGGAGTCGATATCACCAAGAATTTCAAGAAATATGTTTTATTAGTTCCGGTGGATTTGGAAACGTTTTCAGAGCGCTCAACCGTTTGGATGGAATTGAATATGCAATTAAAAAGATAGTTGTTAAATCTCACAGAGTTAAATCTGTCATGCAATACTTGGCGGAAGTTAAAACACTCGCGAGAATGAATCATACCAACATAGTTCCATATAAAGCTGCATGGATTGAGCCTAGCCTAGAGCCAACGCCAATTAAATGTTTATCACAAACCAATCATGACAGAGACAGTCACAGTTCTGATGTAGAACTCTCCAGTTCGGACAGTAAAGTGCACCAAAGTCAAGATGTTGGCAGTAAAGAATTAAAATCAAATTCACTTTATACGAAGCAAGTAATCGTAAACGGTTTGTATCCATTCATTTTTAATGACTTCGATTTTAATCCCGGAAGCGGAAATTGGGATTTGTTCATGACTTTTAAGCCAAACTCAAATTAAGACAACTCATTGTCATCTCACTTTCTTAGGACGTCAAATAACGAAAAATCGATTTACCCCAGGGACCGATTCTGAAACGAAATTAAATTAAAAGTGTACGTTCAATTCAGTTTCGTGTCGACTGGAAACTATAGTCGGAAAAACTTAAACATTTAGTGTCAGTCAAAAAAGTATTAAAAAATGAAATATTTCTAGCTTAGCCATCTATCAGAACACCCAATCTTATATACCAACTATTTTTTCGTTTCTACAGAACGAATTTCAAGTTAGGAGTACTCTCATTTGCTTGGAACATTTCAAAACTGACATCATGAGTTTTGCAAATCAGATTTCATATTCGTAATCAGACACACCGATTCATAAAAGACTATCAATTGTATAGAAAATGTTCGCTATATTGAACTTTCAAAATCTGACTTTAGATTCGTAATTATTTATTGAGTTTAGAAATATGCGCTTAAAAATTTACAATACTCGTAGGAATGTGTGCCTCTGTAGGTATACGTTCAAGTCAGATTATTATATATATATACTATTAAGTCATGGCTCATTTCATCACATTACCGTTTACTCTGATTCATTCGAAATTTATTCCGTTTTTTCATTTTAAAATTTACAGCATTTCTTTATAATTTTAGGTCAATCAGAATTTAAAGAAGAAGTTCATTCTAACAGTGTTTCATTTAGACACGAAATTGAAGATTTAAATTTAAAACACAGCTATTGTAAACAGGATGAAGTAGAAGATTTAGATCTTCTCAGTAACACAGAGGAGAGTGATTCACGTGGCGAATTAAATAAGCATAACCAATTATGCCAGTACAATAAGAAGGTAATCTTTTCCTTGCTTAAAACAGACATTGCGAGAAAATGTCGGATAATATATCAAAAATTATCCAAATAAAAAACAAAGATTGACAATGTAAAAAGTGATGAATAGAAAAGCGAACTCACTTTTTCAATCGAAACACTCAGATTTTGGGGAGACTGGGGCCAAAACTGTAATTTTCATTACCTTTTGAACGGAAATAGTTGCAGGGTTTAAAATTTGACTATAGAAAGGTCTTCTCATTCTAAATAAATCTCCGTGGTTCTTCATTTTTATTGTATATGTTACGGGCAATGTTCAATAGCCGGGCACTGTCGACATTGCCCTGGTTTGTTTCGGGCAATGTTAGAAAATATCCATATTACTCGGTTGTACCGGGCAATGTCGACATTGCCCGGTCCGACTTGGGCAATGTCTATCTAACGTATAATATCATAATGTAAACAAGGTTTATATTCTTAAGTTTTCAATCAACTTTCGAAGGTAAATAACTCATTAATATAAACGAAATTTATACTGATAAGTTTGCATTTTGCTGTCAGTAGTTATTGACGTGCGCGATCATGGAAATTTCAAATGAAAAACTTCGTTTTGAAAATTATTTAAAAGAAGTACATTGTAAAAAACGCGCTGATAATAGTTTTGGCCTTTCTTCGGTGGCATATGATGAGTGTGTACAAAAAGTAGAACTTTTAAAATAAAAAAAAAAAAATAAAAAAACGGGATGTGCCCAAAACAAGTGCAAATGCTTTAAAAATAACAAACTATGTAATTTTAAGTGTCACAGTAGTTTGTCCTGCACAAACAAATAAGTATAAAAATTTTTGTTCCTCATCAAATAAAAAATCTTGAATTATATCAAACTCATTTGTCATAATTTCTACTGATATCGACATTGCCCAAGTCGGACTGGGCAATGTCTACAATGACCGGGCATTATCGGATTTTTATAGGTATTGTCAAAAAAAACCAGGGCAATGTCGACAGTGCCCGGGCATTGTCGGACATTGCCTGGCTCTTGAACATTGCCCGTAACATATACATAACGTGTATTAGTGTGTTGTGACCTAGCTTGCCGTCACGGGATGCTTTTCTGAAAAACATTCTTTTGTGCACTTATTGTAACGGTCACTTCTTTAGTCATTCACATTCAATCTAGATTGACAATGTAACTTTTTAGTAAATTTTTCAATTTGATTATTGATTAAACGTGAAAATCCACGGGAACCTTTGCGCCCGCCTAGTCTTAACCCAGTAAACGAAAACTAATTGAAATGAATTAAAAAGAATTCACAAAGAGCTTTCGTGAATCCCGCTTTGTGACAAATACGAATTGGAGCCATGATGCAATTTTCCTGAATTCGTGAAACTGTATTGAACTTCCGAACCTTCTATCCGTACCAATTCACTGGACAAGTTTTGAGCCTTTAATTTTTTTCAATTCGTTAGCACGAATTCAATGCATTCCTTGGCCATTTCTTTCGAATGCGAATTCGTTTGGACAAATTGGTACATATTGAATTAAATTCAATTGAATATACAAAGAGCTTGAGTGAATCCCGCTTTGTGACAAATACGAATTGGAGCCTACCAAAAATGTTAATTCGTTTCAATTCATTTGAAATATCATTTTGAGCACTTAAGTGCTCAAAATGACATACTTTTTTTGCAGGTAGGACAGAAAATTTTCGTTTTTTCGGAAAAATATCCCGTGCTCCCCCTTGTTAGTAAGATTTATTATGCACGTTAGTATTATATAAAATTGACTATAATCTTTTGACAGAGGCAACAGTGTTCAATCCTTTACATTCAAATGGGGTTATGTGACAAAACTTTAAGAGAATGGATGGATGAAAGAGTGTCTTCAACACCTCAGCCTGTAATTACAGAAATTGTTAAACAAATTTTAAATGGTTTGGAATACATCCATACACTTAACATAGTTCATCATGATATTAAGGTAACATCAAATATTTGGAGGGAGGATCCTGTTGCGGTGATTAGAATCAATCCAAATTTCTTTCTATAATTATACATATTTCCTTCTTTCAACTTTTAAAACATTCTTCTTTAAAATAGTAAAATGACGAATTTAAAGAGCATTCTTTTTTAAAGAATAAGTTCACCAGCAGTTCACCAGCTACAATTTTGAGTTTAAAATAGAAAACCGAAACTTTCCTTAAAGTAGACATTTTAAAGAAATAGATGAAAAAGACTCCACTCTACTAAAAATAAAATCACAAAACGACAGAAATTTAGTCAGAATCTCTGATGATTTTAGGCTGCATTTGTTACGATTGCAGCCAGAGAACGTCAGGCTAGAGTCATATTTAATCAGAAAGCTTCAAAAGTAGTCAGGTTTTTTATACAAAGTCGACACCCTTTTTTACCTGGAAAAAGGTCAACTGACCGTCATAGAATTGAAGGGAAATCTTTTTATTTGTTTATATTCATATTTATTTAAACATTATACTTGTTTTTCATCGACTTAGAATTCATCTAACAATATGCTCTTATTATGTATGCAATATATCCTTTAGAACTTAAATTCAAAAATGATATCCTTTTTTATTTATCAATTACGGTTTTCGAGATACGTTACAGTTTTCTTAAAAAAATGTTTTTTATAATAAATTTTAGATATTTGTAATTGTGGAGATTTCTAGATTTTGAATTTATATTCATTTTACTTAAAATTTTAAAATTGCAAAACTTTTGAGCAATAAAAATTAGGTTAGAGACCCGAACCTCGTAACAATAGACCCGCAATTCTATTGTGAAAAAAGGGCTACGCACAAATTTCAAGTTTTAACGGTACTTTACATTTACCGGCTATATTTCGGTGATGGGCTGTAAATAAAAAAAAGATTTCAATGCTCAATAATCGCAATCCATAAACATCAGGATTCAACAGGAGCATAAAAAATCCTTTAGTCAGAATTAACCAAAAGCTTCAGGAAACATCAAAGTAGTCACAAAACATCAAAATTTCTGACGTTTTCTCTTTATTCCTGATTTTATTTTTAGCAGGGCAGCATGCCCATCAATTAGAAAAATCTTGTCTAAAGAAAACGCGTTTGAAAATTTGGGAACACTATTTATTTTTACTGTACTTGTTCATAATTAAAAACCACTGTCACTTATTAAAAAATTATTCTAGACGTACATATATATGTCGCCTTCACGAAATTCAATAAGAAAAAGTAGATTTTTTGGAATCCCGCCATGGAAACCTTCTCTTAATAATAATATACATAAAAAAAGTTTGAAATTATAAAAGAGTGTGTTCTTTATTATAGCCAAGTAATATATTCATTTCTTCTTCTGGAAAACTTCATATACAACTTGGTGATTTTGGTTTAGCGTGTCCTTTACAAAGTGAAAGTAATCATTCTGAACTTGGAACGCCCATGTATGCCGCTCCTGAACAACTAAAGGGGGAATGCAATCCAAAGGTACTTTCAAAACCCTGACAAATGCAAATACTCTTAAGAATAAATTGAATAGTCTAGTGTTAGTTATTGTTATGTGCATTATTCTGAAGTGAAGCTTTGCTTGTTGTAGAGCGACATGTACAGTTTGGGAATTGTTTTGATTGAATTATTACTTCCAATGCAAACTTTTATGGAATTTAGTCGCATTGTCGATTCTGTAAAATCCGGAAATATACCAATAAAACTCACTACAGCATATCCAAAATGGGTAAGTTGGAGATAATTAAAATATAGAAACTTAAAATAATTACAAAGCGCTCAAAATTTTGTTTCAGGCAGTGATTGTAAGTAATCTTCTTCAAAAGGATTCAACAAAACGTCCTTCCACCAGCGAATTGCTCGATGAATTACAAACAGATCAGGAATCAGTTATTACTGAACTGAAACAGGAAAATAAAGAAAAGGGTCTTCTTATTAATGAACTTCAAGAAAAAGTACTTGCTCTGGAAAGTGAAGTTAGTAGACTGAAATTATTATTGAATACGTCCAAGATTTAATTCTAAGAGATCTTTGACAATAAAAGACATTATTTAATAAAACATTGAATTTAACATTATTTAAGTCAAATATTTTTTAAAAGACATTTTTCTTTTTTATAATATAAAAGATTTTAGATCATTATTTAAATGGTTATATTGTATTAGTTGTGAATAAAATATTTATTTTATCGCTGTAAGTATAAAATGACACATTGACTATTGAAAAGTCATCGCAATCATTAGCACTTGACAATCTGTAAATAATTTAAAACTGTTTTCCATTTTAGTGTTTCTGTATTTTTATAATATAATAAAACTTGGATGTTAATATATTATCCATTTCTAATTTTATAAAAGCAGACCTCATTAAATAATAGTGAATAGGCTGAAACATAATTTAAATATGGATTCAAATAATTTATTAATATTCAATATATTATTCGAAAAATAGGAAAGATCCCGTTAGTAGTCAAAAGTTTGACTGTTTTTTTAGATTAATATCGTTTGTAATTAAAAATGAAAAACACTTAATTTCTTGAAAACTTTGAAAACAAAAGACACAAAATTCATTTTTTTTAGAAAAATCTTTATTTATGTAAATTGAATTATTTAATTAGCCTACTCTTGCTATCCCTGGATGTACGCACAAAAAAGATTATACACATAACTTATAAAGTATATGATTTAAAAAGGCTATTTATATTTACAAAGTATGCTAATTACTTTCTTTATACATTGTAGAAAAAACAGGTCAGCAAAATTTTAACAACATCATTATGTTGAAATACAATATTATAACTGATTTTTATAGGATTTCCTGCGTAGAATCCGAATTCGACATAATTGAAAATATTGGACTGGTTCTAGTTTTTGAGCCATTTTGATTCCTAGATGCTCTCTCAGACCAAAAATAAAAAATTTGGGTCTCTAACACTTCTGGTTGATACTTGAACAAAAGAAAAACACTTTTTATCTACCAATGGGTAGATTCCAAATGAGCATGAACAATCAAGAATAAAAAAACTTAGAATTAAACAAGAAACCGAAAAAGTGACGTAACACGTAAAATTATTATACAGGAATCGTACAAGCATGATTATAAAAGCTGTTTTTATTTGTCTGCACTGAATATTAAGTAATCTAAAATTTTTAAGGTCAAATTCAGATTCTATATAAGTACTACAAAAATAATCTATAAGATTTTGGTCAACACCATTTTGTTAGCCAGTGTAATATGTTCGTATTTTTGCATTTTTAAAAAACTTGGGAAAAATTGTCATGGTTCGATAAATAAGAATTTACGTGTAAAAATCCTTTGACAATAACTTATGCGTACCCTTTATACGAAAAAAATTAGTCGCTGAAATTTTAAGCTACTAATCGAAGACCCTCAGATTTAGACAAATACTTTACGGAGTTTTGGAAATACTCTACGACTTTAGCAGAAATTTTACAAAAAAAGTCGAGGGCTACTTTTTTAAAATATCTAGTAACGGAGAAAGGTTGCTCAATTAATTGACAAGATTTTGAATTATTATGAATAAATAATATTTTTAAAAAGCAAATTTTCGTTTTCCGCGACTGTCGATGAAACTTGAGAATACTGAAAAGCAAATTTCAGGTGTGCAATTCTGCAATTTTCCTCGACTGTCGCTGAAAGTTTAGAACACTTTTTCTAAATTTTTTTGAATGTCGGGTAGTGGCACCAGTGAAAGAACATTATTTAAGGAAATGTATACTTTCGATATTTTTTACTTTTAATTGACATTCTTGAATTTCGTTTTAAACTTATGCAATGAATAGCAAAATTTTTAAAGAATTTCAAGCCTATGATACAAATTTTATAAATATAACATAATATATGTGACCTGGACAGTGAAAAGGGACCTTATGTGCGAAAACAAGTTTTCGAGATAACAGCAGTTAAAGTTTAACTTAGAAAAACTCTTGTAACTTTTTTAAATATTAATATTTTTTAATCGATTTAGGCTTATTTTCTTTACCGTGAATCACAGTATCTAAATAAATAACATACAAGTAATGAAATTTTTTTTTAAATAATTGTTTATATAAATTAATAACAAACTCCCCAAACATAGAAAAAATAATCAAAGTTTTCTAACTTGCAACAATAAGTATAAATAAGTGACACATATTTGTAAGGGTTTTCGAGGCCGCTGATTACGAATATGATGTTAAATTGACAATTTGACAGTTGACAGCTGTCAACTTCTCTAAAAAGTGATCGTTTTTTGTAAAAAAGACAGTAATAAGGTTTTTGAGGTCGCTGATTACGAATATGATATCAAATTTGAATTTTAACTGTTGACAGTTGTCAAAGAAACTGTCAACTTTTCTAAATAATAAAAAATTATCGTCTTCGTTATTTTAATTTGTACCTATAATAAAAAAAATCAGTTTTTTCGTATTTTTACTCTTGTTTCTTTTAACTTAAAAATTTTTTTTTTTAAACTTCTAATCAACTTATGATTTTTTGGTTTTCACCATCTTAAAGAGCGTTTCAAACCCTATACTATCCGAATCAACAAAAAAGTAAAAAATGATTTTTCGACACGTAAGGTTCCTTTTCATAGACCAGGTCACATATATCAAATTTTAATCAAATATTGAAAAATGTCCATTTTACCAGTGAAAGAACAGTCGTAATTTCCAGTGAAAGAATATATAAAATTTATATTAATACAGTGTCTAAAAATAACAAAAATTATATGAAAAACGTTATAAATATTTTGAAACAATTTTGCAACCTACTATTATTCATATTTTCCTGATTACGTACCCAGAAATATTATTTAATTGCACCTGTATCATGATGTAACCTTTTTTTCTGTTTACGCTTCGTTCATTTGTCATATTCATAAGCCAACAAAAAATTAAAAAATTATTTTCAGAAGTAACTTGCATATTGAATTAATTTTTTTATCATAAACTATATTTTGAAGAAATAAGGAACTAAAAAATATTTTTTGTTTAGTACTAAAAGTTATAATTTGTGAAATGTCGTGATAAATAATAATCAATTTGTTCTTTTACTGGTGTCAATTCTTTCAGTGGTGCAACTACCCTAATCTATTTTTTCGAAAACCTTTTAATGTAATTTTAACCCTTGGGCGGGCAAGCTTTAAAAACGCTTACGGGGTTATACCTATTTGGCATTTTTTGTTTGTCGATTTTTTCTTTATTGGCTTAAAATATACTGTAACATCCCTAGATTAATAATCTATTAAGTCTTTGCATGAAAACAACTTGGAAATGTCTTTAAAATTATGTTTTCTGGAGAAATTCTAAATTTTAAAAATAGAAAATTTTAATTACAAATGCATTTTTTTTAAAACAATTTTTTTTATTGGCTTAAAATATACTATGATATTCCTATATTGATAATCAAAAACGTCCTTGCATGAAAACAATTTGAATTTTTTCTTAAATTTAATTTTTCTGGATCAATTCCTGAGTGTCAAAATAGAACATTTAAACTTCAAACGCGTATTAACCATGTTTTGCCAATCGGCGAGAAATAGAACTGGAAAAATTTTCGTCCGATTGGCCTGAAAATTTAACTTTAGCTACTTAGATAGATTATTTAGTGAAGTACACACGATTTTTAAAATTGATAAACAAGATTTTTTTATGAAGAATTAAAGTCGATTTTTTTGGGTGAAAAATGCGATTTTTTTGCGAGACTCACAATTCTTCTAAAAAGAATTCTAAAATTATAATCATGTACACATGATTAAAATTTTCACTAGATAATCTTATGTAGTTTATAAAAAACATTTTTTTTATTTTAAAAGCCGATGTTGCGAACAATAATTTAAAACTGTACTCATAAAATTTTTTTAAAAACACCCTTTTTTTAAGCCTCCAAACAGGTATAACTCTTTAAAACATAGATATTTGTATATATATATATATATTTTTTTTTTATTATATTATGAATTTAAATGCATTAAAATATAAAAAAGATTATTAAGATTTTAATTTTAACAAACAGATAGATTTTCAAAATACCCTGGGAAAAACAACACACACCGTTCTTAGTGCAAGGCATAATTTTATGGTGTAGGCTCAAATTTCTTAAAATAAAAACACTATTTTGTTATTTGTTAATATCACAATTTGTAAATTTGATCTATTTCACTAAGTGGTACTGTAGTCCACATAGTATATTTTTTACCGTGTACGTTATTGCAATTTTTTTATGCTTATGACAATGCGGGGTCCACTGGACCCCACTTGCCCGTTCGTGCCGGTAAAAAGTTTAAACATCCATGTAGCATCATGTACAATTGGAATATGAAAACTGTAAAAGAATTTGGATGTATTTTTAGTATATTTAACAGAATTTCTAGGATAAACTCATTCTTTCATACGGATTCGGGGAAATTTGAAAAATACATACTCGCGGGGTCCAGTGGACGCCGCTTGCCCGCCCAAGGGTTAAAAACACTTTCCATTAAATCCGAGAGTCTTCTGCAAAGTCGTGGAAAATTTCAGCGACTAATTATTTCGGTGTTCAATGGAGTTATTTTTCCCCTCAGCGCGATTTCATTCGAGAAATCGGCACACTGAGAAAGCCCCACTTTTTGAGCTTTCTCAAGTTCCTTTTAATTGCACATAGCCCCTTAAGTATTATCTTCTTTGTGATTGTCAGAAAGTGTTTTTACAGTATTTCAGGCACAAACTTTGTAAATAAAACATTCATCATTATATATATTTAAAAATTGATTTTGATAAAAATTCTGCCGTTTCTTACATTATTATTAAAAATAGTTGCATTCATTTCAGTTTTAAAACCATCCACAAAACGAAAAATACTGCTATCGAAAACAAGAAAATATAAATAATATAACAATTGTGTCCTCCTTTGGCCAAACGTAATACTCGCGATATTGAAGATGATAAAGATCCTCTAGTCCTTTCGAAATCTTCATCCTGAAAACATATTACAATTTATGTAAAATGTAAAATTAATTATGTCATATTTTTTATTTTTAGTTTTTAATTTTTACTAATTTTTTACTGCATAACCATTTCATTTAGCATTTTATCTTGATATTTCACTTCTGCACCAATGTCAATGGATAATGATTTAAGAGCATGGATTTTGTCTCGAAGTTCGTCTGTAACACGTTCATTTTCGTCTTCCAGGGAAGCAGCGGATGTACTGGGTACCGGCTCGTACGCATACCCTCCTGCAAGTCATTATAATATCGAATTGTCAAATGTCTCGTGACTAGAAGTTAATATTGTCAACAAAACAAAAGTATTCACGCATATTACCTGAATGTGATCGTCTCATTTTAAAGATATCAATTTTGGCAGATGTTAGCAATGTATCATAATAAGTAAATTATATGCTTTAACGTCAAACCTATAAAACATCAAAATAAAAATTAATTTGCACAATCAATTACCTATTCATTCGCAACGCAATTTATTAATTTCGGAGAAAGATCTTCATTATTTAATTTACATGGTTTAAGACGTCGAATTATGCAGTTTTTTAAAAGTTAATTTCATTGTTTTTTATACAAAGAGATTATTTTGTCGGTCCCTTGCAAAAATTATAAATTTCTGTTATTTTCGACACCCAGAATAACTGGACAGCTTCTTGAAACATTATAGTTAGCTTTTGCTTGAAATTCATTCCAACACACATCTAGTGAATTTAGTTAGATATACATATATAAAAAATATATTAAATACAAGTGCTTCAATTTCATGTTTCACAACAATTGCAATAATTGTCAATATTGTTTAAAACTTATTTATTTTTAATTCTAAAAGTCTAATACATTTTTCTTTTCACTAAAGAAACGAAAAGGTTATTTAATTAAAAATCGCATTTTTAGAAAAAAGTCCATTTTGTCAAATCCTCTGTAAAATTAATTAAAACTTTCACAATAGTTTAAAAATGTAAATACTGAAAAATTTTTTTTTCTGACGAAACATTTTTTCAAAATTACACTTTAGTCTCCTGAATGATTCAATTAGATTGACCGAAAATTGTTTTCAATGTATTTTGTGCGATGTATTTGCTTATAATGAGGAACCAAAATGCTGACGAAAAATGAACATTTCTCCCTCTTCTTTGCTTTCAAGTTGCTATGAAATAACCAATATCTCCAGACATTTCGTGAGGTAGAACAGTTCAAAATATGGGAAACCATCATAATAAAAAAATGTTGACCAAACCAAATAATCACTTTGCAATGAAAATCAATCTTAAATTACAAAATTCCACTTGGACACGTGGCATCTTTGGTGTATATTAAAGAAAATATAAAAATGAAACAAAATCGCAATTTTCTCTTTTTGAATAAGATAAAAAAACATGCAGCTCACTACTTATATACTCAATCCACTAATGAAAAGGTTAAGTGACAAATAAAAATAATCAATAATAAGAATACCTGTATTATCGAACATTCAACTAAACTAAAGTTCTTTCGAATATTTTCGTAAACTCATGTTCTACATTAATGTAATAAATAAATAAATGTTAAACTTCAGACTTTGTTATTGTAAATAAGCAACCTGTCACTTCCTGCCAGGATTGGGCAGTTTCGTGAAAGTCATCTTATGGAGCGTTTACAATAGGTGCAAAAAGATAAAAGGGAGTCTCGTGTCACTCGTCAGGGTGGAGTCCCATGGCAGCGTTTTGCGTTGCGTCGTAATGGGAGAGAAAAAGACGCAAATAATAATATACATTTGCTGTATTCTCTCTCATTATAACGCAACGCAAAACGCTGCCATGGGACTGCGGCCTTAGGTTGAGTCTACAATAGCACTTTGAACGGAACGTTAAACGTTACGGAACAATATACTTAGCATTATTACGTTAAGATTACGTTCCGCTAAGGTGCTATTGTGGACTCAACCTTAGAGTATCTCTATCTCGTTCACTCTCATAATTTAACGTCGACATGGGGCGGCACCTTAAGGGAGCAATTACACCTTCGGTAAAAATTTCCAAAACGGAAAATTTTTCATTGGAGTAAGAGAGGCAGACTGTGTATCTGACTCTCTTACTCCAATGCAAATTTTCCTTTCTGGACAATTTTTACAGAAGGTGTAAACGCTCCATAACGCAGAATTTCATGAGAATGCAAGAGAGGTGGTCAGATAGCACTATCTCTCTTGCACTTATGATGACATACGAGTGCGACACGTTCGTCCGAGGAAGGCATTCCTGTACCCTAAGGTTGAGTCTACATTAGCACACTTCAACGGAACATAAACCTAACGAAACAATATTAAATTAATAAAATAATATTAATAATTTTACCAAGTGATAAATTCATTAAAATATATATATATATAATTAATAATTAAATAACTCAAGGTGCTATTGTGGACTCAACCTAATGGAGCTGTGACCGCTCCATTACTCCCACTTGAGTTTGTTTACATATATATGTATGACCGTGTTTTTGACATTTCTTTTTATCCTTTTTATGATTGAAAGCAATTGAAAGTTTTGCATGTGGTAAAGCAGAAAATGGAATCAAATAGTGTTCGATTATGATTTTTTTAACTTTAGGCTTAGTTGAAACTTAAGAATTCATAATTTCATATAGGTTCTTGAAAAGAATCTAAACAATGTTTCGAAGTCGCAGTTGGTTTGGTGGAGGGTTTTGGAAACCAAAAAATCGTCACTCTTTAGAACATCTTAAGTAAGGATATATATTTTTTGTCATTAAATATTTATTCATACTCACAATAATACACCGAATATAATATGATCAAGGGAAGGTTAATATTAACGTATAAATTCATTCATTTTTATCAGACTTGTGTCAATTTGTTATCAAGGATTATAACCTCATCGAACGAATATGTCAATTCCGTTTTGTAATCTAATTGCGAATCTAATGATACGATATTTGTTTCATAAAAATAAAGACATTAAAATTTTTGTGTTTACGAAGAATCTAAAAAATTAGTTAATTTTGCTGTCAGTGTGAAATGATTAATAGTAATTCATGGGAGAAAATTAAAAAATGCAATCACCGTTTAAACTATTCTAATATGTAGTTGTGTTAAACAATGAATTTATGAATTTGACTTATATTAACCTGCCCTTGTCGATTTTCTATTTGTGCGAGGATGTTTTCTATATTTCGGAGCCCCTCACCAATTATTCTTTGCTTAAATAAACATAACACTTTTAAATAATAAGTAGACTTACTTTGGGAGAAAATTAATTAACTAACTATAATTTTACTTATAAGTTAAAATAAAACCAAGTTTAATTTTTAGGAGTACTTTTGTACAAAAGGACAATTCTGTACATTTAAATGTAAACAGTTGATTTTTGAGATTAATTTAAAGATTTAAAATTAATTACGACGGCAATATTTTAACCTCAGCTCAGGCTCACCTATAAGAGGTTCTGAGTATTGCTTATATTTTAAAGAGGACAATTGCCAATGCCGTACTCCAAGTTATCTCTTCATACATAAATCATTGAAAATCAAAGTTTCACAGTTTTAATATTTTTACTCGTATTTGCATAGAAATATACTAAAAATCAAACAAACCTGTATAATTATTCCTAATTAAAACTGTAACAAAAATTGACTTTGATTTTCGAATTTTGTCAATTTAGTTAATAACACAGTGCAACAGAATTTCACTTTTTTATTATTTCTGGGATCGCATAGGGTGATTTTTATAGGTTTTTTGATGCTGAATGCGAATCCGTAATCAGAATTGTTCCATCACCCTAGGTTTTAGAGAAATTTGACCTTGAAAATTGAAAAAAGTACGTTTTTGGGATACTTTTTGGATTTTTATCAGGATACAAAAATTTTTTCTAGGTTTTTCATGATTTGCGTACGAAAGCTTACATCCTCCTCAACAATCTCCAATTTAAACATTTTAAAAATATCTATTTTTTGATGAGTTTTCTTTGTTTTTGTTAAATTATTGTTAAAAAATTTGAAATGATAAACAAAAAAAAACAATGGTCAATTTATTTTTGATTTTCCTAAGAATGTAATAGTTTCTTTGATGAATAATGGTATCTGCTTGAGATTTAATGGGTTAATAATTATAATATTAATATTATGTTAATATTTTTCTCACTGTTATCCCATTTGACGTTACGATGCGAACTTCAAACAAGGATGGCTCATCGAGAAATAGATATTTTTTAAATGTCAAAAATTGGAGATTGATAAGAAGGATATGATCTTTCGTACGCATATCATGGAAACAGTAGGAAAAATTTTTGTACCCTGATAAAAAATACAAAAATACCTCAAAAACGGCATTTTTGCTGATTTTACGATACGACGCGAACTTCAAACAAAGATAACTCATCGAAAAATAGATATTTTTGAAAGGTCCAAATTGGAAATTGTTAAGGAGGATATGGGCTTTCGTACGCATATAATGAAAACTCTAGAAAAATTTTTTATACCCTGATAAAAAACCAAAAAGTACCTCAAAACGGCCTTTTTTCAATTTTCAAGGTCAAATTTCTCAAAAATCTATGGTGATGGAACAATTCTGATTACGGATTCGCGTTCGGCATCAAAAAACCTATAAAAATCACCCTATGCGATCCCAGAAATAAAAATGCTGTTGCACTGTGTAAATAATAAAGTATTTTTACATTTACTCGGGGTAAATGTAAGCAGAACTTGAACTGCAATTTAAAAGAATATAATTGTATGAATTTGGTTCTATTTCACAACTACACTTCTTTGGCATTTTGTGTGAATCAATTGCAGGTCTAATAAAACCTGCATAATATTTTTCAAAAGTTGATTTTTGATTTTTGATGTTATGTATATGATTGCCAATCAACTGGTTGAATCTACTACGAATTTTTTGAACATGTTCACAGCATTTTGTTGAGGTGCACGAATAGTCACTGCGGGTCGAACGGCATATGAACGAAAAGTCTATCTATTCGATCAAATGTGTATTCGATCAAATGTCTGTTCGATCAAATGACTTTTCGATCAAATGTCTTTACGATCAAATTTCTGAATCTTTATAAAAAAAATGAAGATGGTCCGAAATGTGGAAAAAATGTCTCCGAAATTTAAAGGTAGAGGGTCACTTGAACCAATTTATTTTTTCCAAAAAATACTTAAAAAAACAATATTTCAAAATGGTAAATAATTTTGGTATTTTTTGTGTAATAAAAATTGTATTCCTCTTTTTAAAAATAAATTTGTAAAAATAAAACATGAAACTGGTAGATTGGAAAAAATGGCCCCATCTTTTTGTTTTGAATTACGATTAATCTCAATTTTTATTGCTTCATACGATCTTTAATTTGATAAGATTCCATTTAAATATTTTCTAGATATTTATATAATATCCTGTCAAAAAATCAAACTGTTTCGGATAATAATAGAGGTTTGTTGGTGGAAACCTTAAGATCTATAGCTGAAATTTTAATATGGGGCGATCAAAATGATAGTAGCGTTTTTGAGTAAGTATTAATAAAGGATTTCCTTTTTATGTACATATGTGATTGATTTTTGTTAATTTTCTGAGTAGGATTTTGAAAATTTCTGTTTAAAGTAGTTTAAATACTATTTCTATGCTGTGTAAAATCACAGAGAAAAAATATTGTTTATATCTGCGTTAAAGGTACTGCCACAGCTCGCTGAGCAAGCTGAGATACAATGAGAGTAAGGGAGAAAGAAAATTCAAATTCATGCTTTTTCTCCCTCACTCTCATTGTATCTCAGGACCTGCGCAGGCAGCAGCGAGCTGTGGCTGTACCTTAATACCACTGAACAATTTTCTGTTTAAAATAGGAAAGGAAAAATATGAAGGGTGGCATGACAAAAGAGTAGGGCTGCGCACGAGAAAGGAAAGTCTCGGTCTCGTCTCGATTTTTCGCAACGAGACCGAGACGAGATCGAGACCTGTATTAGTCTCGTGTCGGATTTTCATCGAGAGTCTCGTACATACTAAACATTAAATTAAATGTATTACATAATGAATGCAAAATTTTTTAACTTCTTGAGTAAATAAAAGAGGTGGAGTTAGTGATATTTGAATCTTTAAAACTCTCAATTAATAATTTTCGACGTTGAGCGACGATGCCAACTTTAGGGACTTATATTTTGTTAGGAAAGCTAGAAAATAATAATTCTTGGGCTTCATCTGACTTAAAAGCAGAATTACAAATTATTTAATCCTTACTTTGTTAATACTAACATGTAATTTATAAATTTTTATGTTTATTAAATAATTTCTCTTTCAAATATTAATTATTTTCTTCTTTAAAAATTTTTCTCGAAACTTTAACGTGACCGAGACGAGACTCTTAAGGATATCGACTTGTCTCGTCTCGTGCGCAGCCCTACCCGTATACAGGGTATGTCCTGAAGGAGATTTCATTTAATTAAACCGAAAGTTGTTTACATTGTATTTTGTGAGGGGTCTTTTTTGTTATTTCACCCTTCAGATATATTTGTATCATTTCATATTTTACTTTTGCGAATGTTGTTTTCGCATTTTCTTGTATTTTTTGTAACTTGCATGTGTGATGCTTTTGTTATTGTATATCTTATGGTCATCTCAATGATATTTGGATATTTCTGTGAAATGTATCTTAGTTATGAGAAATGTAATAAGTGATGTTATTTTACAGCTTTTTCCTGGAGAAAAATATGTTGTCTTTTTTTCTACGAATAATGAAACAAAAATGTGGCAGCTACGTATGTGTACAATTACTTCAAACACTTAATATCTTGTTTGAGAACATTCGCAATGAAACATCTTTGTGTAAGTATTTCTTACTTCTTAATTACATCAGCATTCTGACTGTGCCACACGATACATATTATTATACATAATTATTATTCATGTCAGTAAAATGTCAGAAGATCTCTATAAGGCCTGTTTAACAAATAATTAATAAAAGATATCGAAGGTGCCTTCCCTAACACTTCTAGTAAAGCCATTTGTAGGGCAGCCAGGATGCGAGGTGTGCCCGAGCCGCTAGTTAAGTGGATCGATAGCATGCTTCGAGAAAGGGCCCTGGAAGCGGAATATGGTGAGGCTAAGGTAACAGGCCTGGTCTCAAAAGGGTGCCCACAGGGTGGAGTCCTTTCTCCTTTATTGTGGTGCTTGGTGGCAGATGAGTTAATTAGGAACCTCAATAGCCAGGGTTATTATACGCAAAGTTATGCGGATGATTTCCTTATAATTATAAGAGGGCACGCAATCGAGACCCTCTTAGAACTTACGGAACGTGCACTTAAGATTGTCAGGGATTGGTGCAATCTGACTGGACTTTCTGTAAACCCGGAGAAAACGAACGTAGTAGTTTTCACAAGAAAATATAAGGTAGCGAGTTTGAAAAAACCGATATTTTATGGAAAAGAGATTTCCTTTTCTGAATCGGCTAAGTATCTGGGAGTAATCCTAGATAAAAAGCTGGTTTGGAGGGAACATTTCGAATATCAGTATGGCAGGTTTTGTACCGCGTTCTGGGCGTGTAGAAGGGCGATAGGGTCATCATGGGGACTAAGGCCTAATATGGTCAACTGGCTCTATCAGATGATCTTAAAACCAAGGTTTCTTCACGCGGTGGTTGTCTGGTGGTCTAGGACTTAACTGATAACGGTTAAAGAGAAACTAGGCCAACTACAGGCAATGATTTTCAGGGGTATTACGGGGGCAATGGGGACCACGCCAACAGCTGCGTTGGGATTCATGCTTGCCGAGGTACCTCTGCATATTGCCGCGGTGAAAAAGGCGGCTCTTACTATGAGCAGGTTAACTGCGCAGGGAAGGTGGAGGGTTGGTGGTTTACACACCAAGCTTCCACGCTCAATTCTATCAATACCAGAATTAAGTATGGTGCAAGATAGAATGATCAAGAGGGTGAAATTTAAACCCCGCTTTAAGATCATTACACCTTCCAGAATAGACTGGAAGAAAGGTTTTCCACTTGGGGACGAAGTCTGGTATACAGATGGCTCCAAGATGGACTGCGGTGCAGGCTTCGGAATTTATCGGAAAACTGGCCGCATTAAAGTGGCTGAGTCATTAGGACAATATGCCACGGTCTGGCAGGCAGAGGTCTGTGCGATTTTAACTTGCGCCCAAATATCCATTCGAAATGGAACAAAGGGCAAGAGGATTAGTATTTGTGTGGATAGTCAAGCGGCCTTAGGGGCTCTGAAAAATCCCACAATAGAATCAAAACTCGTCTGGGAATGCCGCAGCGTACTAGATGAGTTGGGTTCAGTAAATAGACTTTCATTGATTTGGGTACCGGGACACTCGGGAATCAAGGGTAATGAAAGAGTAGACGTCTTGGCGAAAACCGGTTCCGAGACGAAATTTATAGGTCCTGAACCAGCAGTGGCAATAATGCCATGCTTGGTTAAGGGAGCCATAGAAAGATGGGGTGAAAAGGAACATGAGAAGTATTGGGCGAGCGTTGGGGTGGGAAGGCAAGCGAAAACTCTGTTAGGGTTAGCACTCAACAATAGGCGAGCGAGCGATCTCCTAAAACTCGATAAGATCAGAGTTAGAACCGTAGTTCGTCTACTTACGGGTCATGGACTATTGAACTACCATCAGCATAAAATAGGCAGACAAGTTTCACCTATGTGCAGACTGTGTGGGGAAAGTAACGAAACTTCGACTCACATATTATCTGAATGCCCAGCGTTAGCTAGGATCAGGCTATCTAGCTGGGGTCAAGCAATTATTGACCCTAAGCAGGTGAGCAACCTATCGATAGAAGAGATACTGGACTTCTGGAGAAGAACAGGACTCTAAGAAGTTGCTACAAACGAGCGAACTGGAGTTTGGTACAATGGGTTCTATAACCTAGGTGCTTACTTTCCCCTCTTGAGGAAAATCCAGCTCGATCTCGGTGTCAGATTAGATTAGATTAGACCTAGAATTCGATGATTCCATTCTTGCTCTTTGGTTGTCCCTTAGTGAAAAGCCCCGCCACCACGACAGGCCTATCAATACAAGATTATCAATATTTAAGTTTTAAGTAACGTGACCCAATCGAAATTAGAAAAGTACATAAGTATTCTTAAACTCGTACTTTATGTTTTGTGTATGACTCTTTGTTATAGAAAGTTCGCTAAATCCAAATAAAGTTAACTCTACGAATGGATTTTTATCTATGGCATACGTCATGTAAATGAGAATAAATAAACATACAGTTTACACTATTTAACTTATAAATTCCGACATGAATGCATTGAATTATTATAACTAAAAGTGTTAGTTAATTTATGTGGATTTTTATTTTCAGATTATTTACTGAGTAACAACCATGTGAACAGCATCATTGTTCATAAATTCGATTTCAGTGACGAAGAAGTAATGGCATACTATATAAGTTTTCTGAAGACATTAAGCTTGAAGTTAAATGCACATACTATTCACTTCTTTTATAACGAGGTAAACAACAAGTTTGTTGTCTTTCTATTTGGCGATTTTTATTCATAAAGTGGACGATAATATTTCCTTTGGTGTCGAAAGTCAACGTCTATTCCATGTCGATTGTCGGTATCCCATGTTGGAAGAACGTTGAAAACTGCTTTCGACACCAAATCAGAACTAAATACCAACGTCGGGACCCTACCTGTGATATTAAAGTAATTTTTCTATTGCATACACGGAGAGAATTCGCTATTGATGGCGACTGTCGGTTCTTTTCTGACAACAAAACAGTTTAGTTCATTAATTTTTAATTTAATTAATTTGATTTTTAATTTTTTATTAATTTTTTTTATGGTTACTAAACCGCTAGGGGCACTTTCCATTCAAAATAAAGTCATTTTATATTATAGGTATTATATATGAAAACCTTCTGAGGAAACACTAGTGTCATGAAAACTGACTCAGTTACATTGAAATTATATTCCGTCCGTGATCAAAAAAATAAACGTGTTCTCGGAGGGTTAATAAAGAATTTTAATTTTTGCTATTGTTTAAAGCATTGCTTAAACACGAGTATTTTGACGGTTCAAGATTTTTATCAAAATTTTGATTTAAAATTGAAAAATGTTCTTCTCTTGTCACCGTATAAAGATTTGTACGGAAGAAAGATTTTTGGCTTGTATTTATTATTAATTTTTTGGTACTTGGAAATTTAAAAAGAATTTTAAGAGCGAATAAACAAAAACATTCGACTATGGACATATTCATTAATATTTATTAGGCTAAAATTTACATAGTGTTGGAATCTATAGCACTTAAAAAATATGTAAAGAAAAAAAATCAATTTTTCGGACCCAGAACACAAGACCGTACTAGACACTTAAAACCGTTTTTTAAAATTATTTTGTAATAAAGAGGTTCAAATACGATTAATCCAAGGGGTGAACAACTCGTGAATTATGGTGTACTCTTGTATTGCATTACTAATATGAATTACCATTAATTACCGTAAATTACTGAATTATTATTGTTGTAGGTGTACACCAAATTCTTTAGTTGTTTGCACCTCGGATTAATCTTAGAATTAGGAACTGTAAAAGTTCGAAACTAGATGGTAAATATATTAGAGCTGTGCAAAATAATTCGAACCGAACTGTTCGAATTTTTTCGCCTAGTTCGAATGTCGAAAATTCGACATTCGAGTTAGCTTAGTTCGAATGTCGGTTTTTCGCCATTCGAACTAGCCCAGTTCGGATGTCGAATATTTGACATTCGAGTTACTACAAAATTCGAACCGAACCGAGTTGTGTTCGGTTTTAGTACGCTAAAATGTCGAATTCTAAAATTTGACATTTCAGTCGCCCAGTTCGAATGTCGAATATTCGACATTCGAACTAGCCCAGTTCGGATGTCGAATATTCGACATTCGACATTTCAGCGCCCCAAAACCGAACAAAACTCGGTTCGGTTCGAATTTTGCACAGCTCTAAAATATATGTATAAAATAAGGAACCAAAATAACTGCATTTAGGCCTTTTTATTAAAAAGTAATTTAAAAATAATGTTTGTTTTGTTATATAACAAGAACCCTAATAAAAATGCCTAAAGAAATATACTAAAATGATCGTATTGGATATAGAATTTTAATGGCTTCTATTATTTTGAAACACGTGGTTTGTTGACGGTCTCTTATTGGATTCAAAGTTTGGTTTTAAAAGTTTTTTATTAGCAAAACAAGTAAGAAATTTCTAAATATGTAACGTTCATTTGAATCTTTATAGATCTTAATTCATTCCATACACAAAAATGAAATACAATATGTAGGGGAGAGTGGTCCTAAGTTGGCCGCCTAAGCAAATTGGTCGAAAATAGTAACAAAATGAAATTTAATCACTTCGGCAAGTATATATTAGTGTTCAGAGATCGTTTTGCTATAATTTTGTGGTATTTAGAACGTTTTAGAATGGCTTTTGTAGTCTTAATACAATAAATAGTGAAAAGCTGCATTTTGGACATTTCAGAAATAGCGGTCCTAAGTTGGCCACCCCCTGGTCCTAAGTTGGCCACCACTTTTTTTCGCTTGAGTATAAGGAAGAAATGCATATTCTTTTCAATTACGCAGAAATTTTACAAATTTGATACATTTAGGAGAATAAAAACGCATTATTTAACTATTTTTGTTTAGAAAATGAAGCAATATTTTATTTCATTTATTTACAGTGGTGGATGGCTGTAGAGACAGGCGTTTTTGTACTTCATTTTTTCTAATGTTTTTTAAACCATTTTTTGTCTTTGTTTAATTCCTACGTTACACTTTTACGGTCTTTCTCGTGATGAAAAACACAAAAAAGAAGTAAAACATAAATAAAAACAAACAAAAACAATAGGTGGCTAACTTAGGACCACTGTAGATTTTTACAAGTTTCAAATTATTACGCTAATAAAAAAAATTTAATTAAAAAATCAACAGAACCTCTTATTACAACATTAAATAAAGGAATTAGCGCACACACTCATTTAGAAATTTTTAATTATTCACAGTAAAAAGTAAATCTTAATTTAAGAGCTGCCTTAAATTCAACACTATCTGCTATAATGTTAAAGCACTGCAAAAAGAAGTATCTTAATTAAGATGTTTTTGTAGTCATTTCTAAGATGTTATTGTAGTCACTTTTTAGTCATTTAAAATGTCTTAATTTAAGATGCTAAAAGCATCTTCGTACACATTTTCAGCATATTTTTCAGAAAAAAAGTTTTGAGGTTAACTATGGGCTTATATGTAAGACATTTTATGCATCTTAGTTTTTAGTAACTTAAATTTTTTTCGCATCTTACAATTCACAAGTATCTTATAGCTAAACATCTTATTGAGACAGAAACATCTTAATTTAAGATACTTTAAAAAACTTACAGAAGTATCTTACTTTTTTAAGATAGAAGAAATATCTAAGACGTATAAAGCATCTTGAAAATCAGTAAGATACTTTAGAAAACATCTTATTTTAAGATGTAAGATACCATTTTTCCATCTTACATCTTATTTTAAGATATCAAATAAGATACTTATTTTTGCAGTGAGGATACGAAAAACGTGCGTAAATTCAACATTGACTGTCTTAAAAATGTTGCATCTTAAGTTAAGGCAGCTTTCGTGCCTTAAAATAAGATTTTTTTTTTACTGTGTTTATCTCTTGTAGCTGCTCTCGAAAAAACAAGAAAAATTAAATTTTTTTGGTCGTAAACAATATTATTGTCTTGACAATGCCTAGGAGAATCTTAGATTATAATTAGGTCCATAAATTATATCATGGTTTATCAATATATCATACCACAAAATTATAGATTCGTCCAGTATACCATCTCTGAGAAATGCAGGGTGGCCAACTTAGGCCCACGGCCAACTTAGGACCACTCTCCCCTAGTAATATTATTGTATTGTTTAGTTTATAATAAATCTATTTGTCATCTATTAGGATCTTCTGATTTCTGTTAGACATTTTTAATAGGAAAGTTAATTCCAAATAAAATTTTATATTTTAATATTATTACTAAAAATTTCAGCACACGAATGACTTTCCACTATATACTGAAGCGATAAAGTTCTTCAATCATTCTGAAGGAATGGTCCGTATTGCAGTACGCACTTTAACTTTAAATGTTTATCGAGTTGAAGATGCTTCTATGTTAGCTTTTATAAGAGATAAAACAGCAGCTCCTTACTTCAGTAACCTTGTTTGGTTTATTGGAAATCATATCATAGAATTAGATACGTGTGTTAGAAATGATGCTGAGTAAGTATTTCCTTTATTACAAAAATTATAAACTTTTAGTATATTGAAATACATTTATAGCTGTTCTGTCTTCCTGTAAGTTTCATGGTAAGTTAAGGTTAAAAAGAGATAAAGGATAGAAAGTTTCACAGTAAAAGAAAGGTTGAATTGCGAAAGTGGGTTCAAATTTAAAAATAACCTTACACGCATAGAAACTTGATTAGTTGAAATAGGGACACACACAGCTAACAAGTTCGCCGTCACAGCGAACTCACTCAAGTTTTTACTTCTTAGCTGTGGCAGCTAATTTCGGGAGATTTATTTATTTTTTTCCGTGTAAAAATCCACGAATTAGACACGAAAAGAATTTTTTCGCCCATACACTAAGTATATATTATGATCAATTTTCTTTATTTTACGCTCATATTAATTGCTTCCAATAATAATTGCTCATAATAATTGCTTTCTTAATACGGAATTGTAAACGAGAAAGCTTTAGATTTTGTGAAGATGTATGTCAAACTAAAAGGTTAATTCAATATAAAATTTACGAATGGAAAACAATTGAAAATCGAATATCGTAATAGTCTAACGTGCAATTAGGAAAATAAAATCAGGAAAATCGTCCGAGATCGCAAATAAACAGGTAAATGTCCACCAGTAGGCTAAAATTTGCACCACCAAAGTTGAGCCGTTGGACTAATTGGATGACTCGTTCACCCAAAATAACAGTAGGAGGTTTGCCTGTCATTAACGCAACAGTTTTACATTGAAAGTCAACTTCTAGACCAAAGTTTTTCAGTGTGACGTTGACAAACTTATATGTCTCCATTACATCTATAAGGAAGGTTAATAAACGTACAAGAGTTTACTTTGGCTGCTCTGCAAATAAAAGATTGTAGTCGAGAGATTAAGCTTTAATTTGAGTCCTAGTAAAAGCTCTTACGATCTTTTGTTTCATCGCTAGAGATGTTCAAAGTTCAAAATCAAAAAGACCTTTAGGTTATTAGTGCGGTAAATTAATGTAATTTTCAAGGATTCTAATCGAGGGATTCAGCTTTAATTTGAGCCCTAAGTAGAAGATCCTAGGACCTTTCCTTCCATCGCTAGAGGTCCCGGTAAGAAGCGAGGAATAGAGAATAATTAAATTTCCAGAGCTTGAAAACAAGGATCATTAATATTTTTCACAAGTTTGCAGCGGAAACTTACATGAATGAAAATTTATGAAATTTTTCCACATTTTCCGAACTAAATTTAACACCTTGCACATTTTTGAAAAAAATTGCCAATAAGATGTTTTGATTGTATGTAAAATTAGGTTTAAAATAATCTCGAGGACGTTGAAAAATGTTTATTATTTTAGGAATTTTACAAAACGTTGTAAAATCAGCCAATTTTTGTTAATTCTTTTGTTGAGGGATCGTTTTTTGCCTAATTTTAACAGAAACTGTTTTTAACAGAATAAAATTTAATTTAAGTTAATATAAAAAACGGGATGGACAAGCAATTTTGAGTTCTGCTCATTTTACAAGGACTAGTAATTTTTAATATAAATATTCGTGCTCTTCGATTTATTTTGTAATTTCATGAACTCGTATTTCAATGTTTTACTATTTCATTTTTATTAAAATAATATTGAAACACTGTTTCATGTGCGAATAATATTACTAATTTTTATTATAAACTGCCTTTTTAAAATTTAGATTAGTATTAAAAACATTTATTCTTTGAAAATGGTATTAACTTATTTTACTTTTGTCTTTTGCAGTCATCAAAGCCAAAATAGGTTGTCTGATCTTGTAGCTGAACATTTAGATCATTTACATTATTTGAATGATATTCTTTGTTTAAATATAAAAGATTTAAATAAAGTCTTAACGGAACATTTACTTCGTAAACTTCTGATTCCTCTTTATATATACTCTCTCGTAAAACACAAAAATACTTATAATAGCAAAGTAAGTAATTTTTAGACTATACTGAAGAAAATTTGGGTAAAGAAAAATAAATTAGTATCGGTGGCGCAGTGGCGCTCTATCCTCTTATTTATAATAAAGCATTGATATCCGTTTGTGGGATTGCAGTATATTACTCAAAGATAAGCAAGCGACTTACGACAAGCCAAGTTGCACTATCAATTAGCTTGTTTCCAAACAGTGGACTAATTATTTCATTCCTATGGGCCACCTGCTATCCGAAGACAAGATCTCAATCCTTTTAACATTCGATTCAATACACAAGCCGCATTAGCTGGTAGTTCTGACAGCTCAAATTTTGTTCAGTGTATTAATCATGCCTAAAATATCATCCTGCACTGTTAAAAATTTAATTTTTTATAAATCACATGTTGAAAGAAAATCTCAAATGTTGGAGTGACGTTTACATTGAATAGTACACAAGGGAAAATATGCTTTTCTCGTTTCCAATCTTATCAGAATCACTAAAGCAATGCACAAAATTATATTTACAAGTTTATCAATTATTCACTGTAAAAAGAAAGGTACTAATTTAGTACCAATTTTGGGTACTAAATCGTCATTTGGTTCTACATTAATACCGAAAATCAGCTCTAATTTAGAACCTTTTATTTTCAGTGTTTCTCTAATAAAAGTTTAAATAATAAGATGAATTAAATTAACTTACAAGTTTAATTATTTTTACTAAGATTAAGAATGTTTATTATTTCACATTTACTTTTCTTAAATATGGGTATCCTATACTTTCAATATTTTATAAATAAAACTAAGGAGCACCTTCAAATAAAATTTAAAAGACTAGGACATAACTCAAATATTATTTGGTTTATTTTGCTTCCAATGTGAGAATACGTTAGAAATCTCGATTTCAATCTTGTATAAATTAACCCCTTAACAGTTCATGACACATATATCACCCATAAAAAGTCGTGTCACCTATGATTCAAGGCACATATGTGTATCTACTTCTATTTTAGTATCACTGGACGTCACTAGATTTCTTAAGCCAGTCATTCCGAATTTGATGTCAGATTTGAAAAATTCATTGTGGCGACTAAAAAAATTTGAAAAATTAGCCAAATTTGCTTGAAACTCAATATTTTGATACGCATGTATGTTAATTGACAATCCTGTTAAATGTAGGCCAAGTTAATTGACGATTTTGTTGCATGCCGGGTCTATCAAATGACAAATCTGCGTTATACGTCGGTTTTGGCAAATTCAAATAACAGATCTATTAAGCTCATTGACAATTCCAAATGACAACAATTCTGTTGTATGCATTACTGTTCAACTATTATCATTCATTATTACAGTTCAATTATGACAATTAGAAAATATTCATGTGCCATATCTATCATTTCAAGTGTTTGCTCTTACTGAGCATCACCATCAAGAAAGTCTAAGGCTTTGCGAGCTGACTTATTCGTTGGATGTAGCGAATGCTGCATACATAGTCGATGCGATTTCCCCATTGAAGCTCAATGTAAAAATCAAATTGACTTTAACACCGCCTTAAGCTCTTAAAAGCAGATGGCCTTCTTACATAGACTTCTTCATTGACATACTTGCATACATATTTCATAGATTCTGCACTTACCATAGTCATTATTAAGATTCCTTTTAAATGAACGCGAAATAACAGAAATAATGCGCTATTCTACAGCTATTAAATTCCCACTGAACCCCACTTAATAGTATATTAAGCAACAAGAAGATAAAGGCAGCCATTTCTTTACGGTGATTTTTGTGACACGAGTGGAGGTCGAGGGCCGATACGAGTGTCACAAAAATTATCGTAAAGAAATTGGCTACCTTTATTCTCGTGTTACTTACGATATTTTTTATTCCTAATGCACAAAAGTGGCGATTTCAGATAGCAGACGACAGGGAGTAAAAGTTATTCACTTATTCGACTTGTATGAAAATGGCGTCCGTTTTCTCCCATGGGCAAGAAAAATGCATGTGAACAGCTAATTTTCTCCGGAAACTCATTTTTCTCCGTGTACTGAATTAAAAATAAATATTTATATTTTGAACATTTAAAAAATCTTCAACAAAAATATTTCAAAAAGTAACCATTTTTTAAAACCATTCTTTTTTAAAAGAAATATTCACCTTGATAATAACCATTTCATGCACATAAGAGGTTAATTTATTAATATTTTACATTTTAATGTAGTATTTAAAACTGATAAATGATAATTTCTCTAGTACTGCACGGAAAATCTTTGCTCAAGAGTTATTCCTGAATTTATTCAAGAATTGAGGACTTGGAAATGAATGAAGAATATTTTCAGAAAAATTTAATATTCATTAAAGAATTTCCAGGTGTTTTTGTAATGGCTTCGAAATAATTGTTCTTGATACTGCTATTGAAAATCTCAGTCACTGCGCGCTGAAGAATTTCTGAATTATCAAAGAAAGAAATTTTTTTCTCGCAGTTCATATTTTTCGATTCTTAAACCAGTTCCGGAATTCCTCATGAAAATTCAACAAGTTGTCCAGATATTAATTACTATTTACGAAAAGCTTAAAATAATATTTCAACCTGCCGATCTGCAGCATTTACTGTTTTTTTCTCATATCCTCAATTCTTGAACAAATTTAGCAATAATTCTTGGGTAAAGATTTTCCGTGTATAAGGTTTACTTAACACAAACCTGAAGACGACCTGTTCAGCGTGATGTTTTCGACGTATTCTCGCTTCTATATTTATTTTTGTCTGCTATTATTGATACATATCTGTTCTTTTAAAAATTGTCTTCTTAAAGGTGTGAATAAAACATAAACTTTCGGATAAATGGTTTTCATGGGTTTTCTCAAAGGTTTGAAATTAAGCAATTTTCTATCTAGGGAATCAAAATAAAGAATAAAAATGGTTTTTAAGAAATACACAACTGCGGCGGTAATTGTGCGACCTATACTTTTTTTACATAACTTGTAACTTGAGAAAAATATTTAACTAATCCTTTTTTAGCATCTTAGTAGTACATAATAATAATTTCTCGAATTTTCTGGATACAACTTTCACGACTTGCACTTTCTACAGGAATGTACTTAGATAAATTCTTGCAAAAAATCTCAATTCTACAGAAAAATATGATTAAAAATTAGACAAATCGCTGAAAATTGGGTTTTTGTTAAATATGTGATTGAAAAATTAACATTTTTTTGTCGTTAGGGTGCCATTTTTTCGAATTTTAACAGCTTTTGAAAATAAAAAGAAAATAATTTTAGTTATTATTTTTTTTCAAGTTTACAGTTATTTAATAGTCATCAGAAAAGTAGAGATCGCACAACTACCGCCGGTAGTGTACATTTGCCAAACAGTAAAATGACGTAAATATTGAAGAAACATAAAGTTTGTAGTCGGGAAGAATGAATAAGACAAAATAAGTACCTAATATTTCAAGTCTAAACCTAAAATATTGACTAATGTAATATTTTTATTTACCAGATGGAGAAAAAACATGTCAGTATAGTGGTAGCTCTGTTTCTTCTTTCGCAAGTGTTTTTGATAATTTCACATGGACCTCTAGTTAAAACATTAGCTGTTATTATTTTAATGTCAAGCTTAGATGCTGTTCAAAATGGATCTAATAAAATATTAGAAGATTATATTGACTTGGTTTTGAGTAAATGCATTGCTTTTACGCCTCCAAAAGAAACTTTAGAAAAGTCATTGGAAAACCTTGCTGAATCTTTAATTGATCCCATCAAAATAGAAGAAGATAACAGTAAAAGCGGCGTTGAAGAAGATTATGATATGGAAAAAGCAGTAGATTCAAATATGCCAAGTACTTCTTACGATTCTATTACCAAAGGAGATACTTTTAGCTCATTGAACGAACTGGAAGCTATAATTACGCAGGGAACTATTGAGGAAATAAAACATTTAAATGTCACGGATGAAGAAAAGGAACAAAGACTAGCCCTAGAAACTCCACTGGTTCCTCATCAAGTTTTACAGAATCAGTTTCAAGCTAATCTATCAAATAAACCATTTTTGGAAACTATTTTGAATTCATTATGTTGCACTGAAAATGATTATGCTGCGCTGTTTGCACTGTGTCTCCTGTTTGCTTTGGCAAATAATGAGGTTCGTGATTAATTACAAGTAAACTGCCAACATTTTTTTTAATTGTTATTAAGGGGGTTTCCGCAGTTGGTAGTTACATAAGCAAGGTCATTTTTGAGAATTTTTCTTAAAATCTAGTTCAAGAAGCTTCTAACAAATTGATATTACATTTCTGTTAAGACAATATACTGTCATTAGGTATCTGAAAGAATAAAATAATTCAACAAAAAGCAAAAAATTTATGTTAGATACGTATTTCTTTTCTCTAAAGTTTAATTTGTAAACTTTAAATTTAAATCCAATCGAGTGCTCGAATTAGCTCGAGACCATTCGAAGGAAGTCTACGAAAAATTCGACTGCGGATAACTTCTTAATGTTATTTAGTAGTATCAGTTATATTATTAATCTTATATTTCTAGGGTGTTCATTCTGAAATATTGAGCATATTATTATCACCTACTAAAGAATCTTCCAGGAACTGGTATAACGGAATACTAATTGACAGATTGATACAGATCATAACATTAAGTTGTCAAACAAGTAAGTTATTGAATTAGTTCTGTTTCAATGTTTACGCCTATTTTCTTTATTAATGTAAACTTGTGTTCAAATTATCAGATGCCAAGGTGCGACTGATCACTTTGGAGTTAACTATAAAAATTTTAATACAATTAGTTATTTCTGAAGGCAGAGGTCTAATTAATGATTCGCATATAGCTGCAATAGAAACTGCAAAAGAACAAAGTGCAGTGCAACTCAGAAACTTTTACAAGGTAACCAAGTTGATTATGAAAATATTAAATGTTTATTTACAAAAGAATACTCCATTATCTGAATCAGCCCACGTTTGCGATGACGACACTCCTACATCCTAGGTAAGGAGTTATCGTACAAAGTGCCCGTTTTTGTACCTCAACTATAAATTCTAAACTTTAGTAAAATGATTCATTTGAAAGAATTGTTTCAGTATTTTTCAAGATAGAATTAATCAATTTGTTATTGTCTTTAATATCTGTACGCAATCGGTCGTATGAGAGTGTAAGATTGCTGATAAACGTCATCAAGTTATTCCATCTCCCTTCCCTAGGCTATACCAAACAGATTTCAGCACACTTTAAGTGTACTTCGCTTTCACACTGGTGCATGGTGGCACGATATTGTACTGAAATTTGTAATCTTCGCTGGCATCGTCTTCACACATAAAATGCAAAAATCTTCACTTTCATCTGATGACAATAATCCATTTTTTTTATTGATTTGGCTTTTCTCTGTAAACGTTTTCACGAGGTTGGTTTTTCTTTTTGTTCAGGTGTCTTTTGCAACAGTACCTTGAACTGAGACTTTGTTTGTTTTTTTTCACTGTGCGTTTACTTTCTTTTAAATCTGCTATAAATCCTGGCTAAGTGATTATGATATTTTTCATGGGTTTTCGACGATAGAGAAAGTGGAAGGTTCAAAACTTATTTCTTGATTTGCTAAATTAGGCAAATTTCCCGAAAAAACAATTCGGTGTTCATCATGATTAATAATTTCGGTTCATTCAGATTCACCAGAAAGTAGGTACCTACTGCAGTAATAAAATCGATTTCATTTAAAAAGCTGAGGAATAAAGGGAAAAATGCCAGTAGCTTCGAAACCTGACTTATTCGTTTTTGTCAACAAAACAGTATCAAGTCAATTTTTAATTACACCGACAATGTGACAGACTTCGAATGTTTTGTTTGCATTATTTTGATACCAGGCTTTAACCAAAAAATGAAAGACAGTATTGCAGGAAAGTCAGCACTCAGCATATGTACTCCATTTGCTGAAGCTAAGTCAAGTGATTCAATTGATAAATGAGATGTGTGGTTATCAAGTAAGAGGAGTGTCAAAACCAAATTCCAAAATATTACTCAATTGATCTGCAAAATTCGAACATAATTAAAAAAAATAAATTGAAACCTTGAAACCAAACAAATCGAAATTTATTGAAGAAGTTATCAACATTTTCTTTACAAAGTGCTTTGACTCTGTGCAACGAAGTATTTTCAGGTGTTCGGAGACATAATTCCGTGTGACGACTCATTAATTTTCTATACCACTTTCTACAAGCTGAGTTATTGTCATTCCATTCTTTGGAATACTGAAATTCCAATTTCACGGTGATTACGACTTAGGCGAAATTAATTAATTATTATTAATTAATTGATGCATCGCCTCGGGCGCGGAAGTATCCTCTCGGTCCCTTATTTCGTCTTCGTTGCATTCAACTATTTTGCGCCCTTGATACGAAAATAATTATTAATCTTCTTTCTATAACGCGGCTTCGAACGACGAACGACTACTGCGTAATTATAATTGGTACCCGATCATTGCGCAGGTAAATTAATGTATCTGAACCATTGACAATGGTCGGGACAACTAAATAAGTAAAATCCCTTATAGCAGAAATCGATTAATTTCAATTAAACACAATTAAAAACTTTTTCTATTGTTGTTAATTGTGTTTCTTAATCGTGTTGTTCCAATTTATTACGATTATCTATAAAAATGCTTTCAATCGCCCCCAATTGTTTTCAATAGATTATATATCGAGAGGTAGAAAGATTTCTTGTCAGGAATTTTAAAAACCATTATTAAATTATAACCAGAATGAGAAAAAAATGATTTCAAAAAATGAAAGATTATTTGACTAATATCAAAGTTATTTATTTTTTTGTGATTTAATAAACATTAGTTGAATTGAATAAAATGTCTGTTAACATAATTTAATGAAAATTAATTCTCACACTTCACCGAAACTTTCTTAAAAATTTATTAAAGATTTACTTGCAAACTTCGAAGAATTGACTTTCAAAGTTTATTGAAAATTGTGTGGAGATTTAAATGTTCCACTTCAATAAATGTTTATCGTCAAACTTTCCAGAAAATTTAGCTTGAAACTTTCCTGAACATTTAAATTACATTGAAGTAGGACATTTAAATCTTTACACAATTTTCACTAAACTTTGCAAGTAAATACTTCGAAGTTCGCAAGTAAATCTTTAATAAATTTTTAGAAAAGTGTCGGTGCAATAAGCAAACAGTTAACATATACACTGCAAAAAGAAGTATCTTATTTAAGATGCTTTGGTAGTCATTTTTAAGTTATTTGAAATATCTTAATTTAAGATGTTTAAAGTATTTTCGTACACATTTTCATCATATTTTTTGGGAAAAAAGTTTTGAGGTTAACTATGGGCTTATATGTAAGACATTTTATGCATCTTAGTTTTTATAACTTAAATTTTTTTCGCATCTTACAATTCACAAGTATCTTATCGCTAAACATCTTTTTGAGACAGAAACATCTTAATTTAAGATACTTAAAAAAAACTTACAGAAGTATCTTACTTTTTTAAGATAGAAGAAGTATCTAAGACGTATAAAACATCTTATTTTAAGATGTAAGATTCCATTTTTCCATCTTACATCTTATTTTAAGATATCAAATAAGACACTTATTTTTGCAGTGTATATTAAGTATATAAATGTTGTATGTTTCCCTCAACCATTTTAAAATATCGAGGCGCAATATGAGAAAATTCAGTACATGCTTTTTCGATTAAATAATTTGTACTAATTTTCTCTTTGGAAGTTGTCTTTAATATATTTACATATTGTACAATTTTACAATTTACAATTATATGCACAATTTTCATTTTAGAGTGAAGATATATTTCTTGATATGTTTGAAGACGAGTATAGTGAAGTTCAAAAACGACCTTTGAAAGTAGAATGGTTGATGATGGACAGTAACATATTGCTACCGCCAACTGGTACACCAATGACCGGAATCGAGTTTAGTAAAAGATTACCTTGTGGCGAGGTTAGTACATAATTCAATTCTATTAAGAGAACTATATTTGCACTTAAAGAATATACTCTCTTTTAAAAAAGCGATAAGTATACCTCTGATTCTAATTTGCGTATATATACTATATTTTCTGACAATTGTCACATGTAGAACTTAATATTACAATCAAAGAAATTTAAAGATCAATTTAGTATGAGATATAATCGCCCTTGAACCGGTGGACATACAACCCCGACACATTCACAATAAGAATTGCATTATATGTACTTATAAATTTATGCGATTACTCAGCGACGCAGTGTTCACCGTTATTCCGAATCCCAGACTAAAAAATTGGTCTGTACAAGCTATATGGACGACCCCTAAATTGTTATACAATGCTTATATTATACTTGGGATTTTTTAAACCCAATTAGACCTGCTTTAAAGTATCACATCCCCTGTAATCGGAGTCAAAAGTTTATTGCCTCCTAATACTATTCAACGCACTATACTTTCCCCCTCAAGTTCTTATACTTTTAGCTTAACCTGTACTTACTACCACAAATACAGTGGTGGGGGTACTACATAATACAAATAACGTCATAAAATAGAAGCTTTAGTTCATAATTGTAAAAAACGAGACGGCAAACTATAAATTTTTTTGTATATTCTGGTTCGAAATGTATTTATGTATTACATATTAATTTTTGAAAAAAATCTATAAAGAATTTATGTTTATATTTATAAAAATGTAGTCCTCCCCACCCATTACTCACGTTTTACAGGCAAAAAACGCAACTTTGATAGCGAATACTTCTGGTTCCGTACGGTGAAAATTCTTAAAATTTTGCAAATATTTCAAAAATGATAATAAGAACGTACGGTCAAATTTTTAAAATAATCTATTGAAAAGCATTTAAGGGATGTGATACCTTAAAGCTGTGTTTTAAAGAAACAAATGTAAAATATAAATGTAACTTGGACTTACAGGCAAGCAAATTTAATAAAATGTTAGGTCAAATTGCTGGTCTGTAATACTAACCCAGACAGCACATAAGCTTGCAGCAAGCTTGAGGCAAGCTTGCAAATATTGACGTGCAAGCTTGCCACAAGCTTAAAATGTCCCACTCATAGCAAGCTTCATGTGAAAGTTTGCTGCAATATTGCACTACAAGCTTGCAGCAATATTGCACTAAAGGTTGCCGCAAACTTGATGTAATCTTATATGGAAATTGTTTATTATATAAAATTAATAATTTATTATTAGCAACAAATTTATATTTAATATTTTTAATTTTTATTAAACATTAAAAAATTATAACAACGTTATAGTAATAATGTTATTAATTTCCCCAAAGAATTGGAGTTGGGAACTATTATCCATGATCAGTGGATAATAATTAAAAATTGTCAACGTCTTAGCAGACGTTAACTATACACTGAAAAAAAAAGTTCATTGAATCAAGTAAATGCATTTTCTTGACCTGATTTATTTGAAACAAACCCATATTTTCTTATTGGAAGAAATTTATTTTCTTGTATCAAGTAATTTTGAGCATTGATCAAAGTTATTGAAATAAGAAAATATGGGTTTGACATAAGTAAATATCTTACTGTTTCAAACGAACTGTTTTACATGCGCCAAGTCTCGAAAAAGTATTGAATCAAGAATATCATGTTCTCACGTCAAGTAATTTACCTTGAGTCATTTGGTATCTTGAGTCAAATAATTTTTTTATTTCCTTTAAAGCAACTATTTATTTCATCCAACACCCATAGTCTTGAGCCAAGAAAATGGGAAGATTAATACAAGTTAATAATTTTTTCAACTCAATTAAAAATTATTTTGTTTCAAAGAAATATTAATTAATCTAAGCATTTCTTTTACTTGAAGCATTTCTATATTCTCATGTTTCAAAATCATTAATTTCTTGCGAGAATATTATATTTTCTGGAATGAAATATTTTATTTATTCAATTCAATTAAGGGGTTACGCCACCCTGAAATTTTCAAAAAAATTTATTTTTTTTTTTTGCTTAATTTCAAAGTTTATATTCTAACGAATATTTTGAGATGTCGCCGAAGACAATGTCTCACTAATTACAAAAGTTATGGTCATTAGAAGTCAGCGCAGTGGGGACGCGCCGAGAGCTGCTGGAAGCAGCGACTTTCTATTTTCGAATGGTCTAGGGGGCCCTTTCATGATTTAGGAAGGGTCCTTTTCATTGTATCCCATCCATTCTTAAATAAAAAAAATTATGGCCCAGGAATTGCTGATTAAATAGTAAATTGAAAAATTTTCAAGTTATAATACACTAAAGTTCATTTTTTTCTTCTTTTGCGTTTTTCTCGAAACCACAATTTTCGAGACGGTGTACACGATAACTCAAAAACTATTCAATCGATTGACTTGAAAATTAATATACATCTTCCTAAATAGATTTTCCACAGAGTGACGTGGGATTTTTTTGATTGAATAATTTGAAAATTTTTTATCCAATTTTTTATACGGTAATTTTAGCCAAAAAAAAAATGTCAATTTTTGAAGTGCTTCCATTTGCGTAAAAAATTTTTTTTTTTTAAATGGCTTCGTCACTCTGTTCAAAATTTATCACTTTTTAAGAAAAATATTGTTTTACTTGTTTCTGACAAAAATTGAACTGCCAATCATGTACACCATCAAGGAGTGCTCCGGAAAAATTGATCCACGCCAATAGTTATATCTCCGCCATTTTTAATTAAAAACCATTTTTTTTTTAATATTTAAAAAGCTCAATATATGTACTAAAGCATCAATAAATGTAAAGAAGTCCTACCTGAAACAGTTTTATCAAAAAAATTCCTAAAAAACCATCCGATTTTCATGCGTTCAGGGTGGCGTAACCCCTTAAGTGTAAGATCTTGAATTAAATCATTCTTTTGTTTCCTTTAAAAAAGTTTTTACTTAATTCAACGCTCATATAATCCTGATTCAAGAAAATACGAAGGTTAATATAAGTAAATATTTGTTTCAAGTTGATTAAAAATTATATTCAATTAATCCCATATTCATTTGAAGAAAGAAATTCATTTTCTTGTGTCAAGTAATTATTAGCATTGAACAGAATTCTTGAATTAACAATTTAGTATTTGGCAGAACTCAATATGTAATTATTTCAACCAAATATTTTACTTTTCCGAAGTACCAAAAAGTATTGAATCTAGAATATCATGTTCTTAAGCGAAATAATAAAGTATTGTGTGGAGAATTCATGTTTCTTGAATCGAATCATTTTATTTATTTGCTTTGAAACTTTTTTTTTACTTAACACAATGCCGGTGTTCTTGATCCAAGAAAATATTTTTCTTCAAATGTATATGCAACTTAAATATCAGTTTTTGAAAACTGTCCATTGAGGCTAGGATGGCATAGTGGTAGCGTGACGGCTTCTGGTGCGTGCAACCCGAGTTCAATTCCTCCGACCGTGGAAAATTTTCCTTCAAGGTATATTTGTTGTATTTGTGTTAAGTAATAATTAAATGTAAATATATATGTAAAATAACAATTATTTAATTATTTAAATAAAAAATATAAATGTTAATTAATTAAATAATAAAAATGTTTGACCTAAGTATTAGAAAAGATGGGATGGGGGTAAGGGGGGGGGGGTAATTTAAGTAAATAATTTACTTGTATTGAGAAAGTATTTTTTTGATTGAAATCTATAAATTTTCTCAAATCAAGAAAATATTTTCTTGGACAGAGAACATACTTTCTTGATTTGATATACATAAATGATTTTGAATTAATATATTCTGCATTTCTTACATGCTACTTAACTTCTTGATCGAATTCCATATTTTCTTGGATCAAGAATATCTGCGTTCTCTCACAAAATAAATGTTTTCTTCATTTAAATCTTGAATTACTTGAACGAATGTTACAAGAAATTGAATGAATCAAATAAAATAATTCAATTATCTATATATATTCTTAGAACAAGAAAATATTTTATTCATTTAATACATTTCATACTTCGTACAAGTCGATTAACTTCTTGGTCGAATTCCATATTTTCTTGGATCAAGAATATCTGTTCTTCTCACAAAATAAATGTTTTCTTCATTTAAATCTTGAATTACTTGAACGAACGTTACAAAAAATTGAATGAATCAAATAAAATAATTCAATTAACTATATATATTCTTAGAACAAGAAAATATTTTATTCATTTAATACATTTCATACTTCGTATAAGAAGACTAACTTCTTGGTCGAATTCCATATTTTCTTGGATCAAGAATATATGTTCTTCTCCCAAATATCCTATGTCAAGAAAATCGTTTTCTTGAATCAATACTTTAATAGTCTTGGCCGTATTCAATCCCACGATTTGCTTCAACCAAGAAAAATTTTCTTGGTTCAATACTTTTTTTTTTTCAGTGTACACATTATCATTTAAGATAATATGGTGAAAAGTCTGTTCAGCGGACCGATACTTATACTCTGCGCGAGACAAGTCGTGCGCGAGAGAGGTATTTCTCGCCATCTAGCAAGGAATTGGAAAACTAATAGAAGTTTCTCTTATAATTTTCTAATTCCTTGCTAGATGGCGAGAAATACCTCTCTCGCGCACGACTTGTCTCGCGCAGAGTATAAAGACGCTCTCACAGCTCTGCATGCATGCCAATGCATGCATAGTTGTCATGGTAACACATGAGAGTAAGTAAGTCAGAAAATTCAAATTTTATGTTTTTTCTCTCTTACTCTCATGCTGGCAGTAGAGCTGTGCGAGCGCCTTAAGTATCGGTCCGCTGAACAGACTTTTCACCATATTATCTTAAATGATAATGTGTATAGTTAACTTCTGCTACGACGTTGACAATTTTTAATTATTATCCACTGATCATGGATAATAGTTCCCAACTCCAATTCTTTGGGGAAATTAATACCATTATTACTATAACGTTGTTATAATTTTTTAATGTTTAATAAAAATTAAAAATATTAAATATAAATTTGTTGCTAATAATAAATTATTAATTTTATATAATAAACAATTTCCATATAAGATTACATCAAGTTTGCGGCAACCTTTAGTGCAATATTGCTGCAAGCTTGTAGTGCAATATTGCAGCAAACTTTCACATGAAGCTTGCTATGAGTGGGACATTTTAAGCTTGTGGCAAGCTTGCTGCAAACTTGCACGCCAATATTGGCAATCTTGCACGGCAAGCTTGCCTCAAGCTTGCTGCAAGCTTACGTGCTGTCTGGGAAGTTACATTTATATTTTACATAACCAATTTTTAACGAAATATCATTAAAGTAAGATTGATAATATTATTCTATTTAATATTTTTTATTAATAAATAATAAGACCCTGTTGAAGAAATTATGGAAATGAAATTGGATCCTAGTGAATCTGACATCTATTAGGATCTAATGGTTATCTAAAAATTTCTATTAGTCATTCTTACTATAGGGGGGATAAAGCGAGAAAATGTATGATTTTATGTGATTATTTTACAAAATAATAGGAAAAGTGAGGAAAATGAATAGAGACCTGTTATTATAATTATAAAGTAAAGCATGATTTCATTGTATGCCTTTCGGCCTTTACAATCTCTCCAACATCATTACTAAACTAATTTTCTAACTCACAAACTCTTTGGGGTCCCTACTTTTGCGTCTGCACACGGAGAGAAAAAAAAGTGAGCCGTTTGATTTGTCAAGAGAGCGCTGTTTTCCCTTTATAAAGCACAGCAGTAGCGCCGAAAACGTCGAACGGTTATACTTTTTGAGGAGTATCGGTTCTCTTCTCCACACAAATAGAGCCGCTTACTTTCCAAAAAGTGTACCCGCTTTCCCCAAAAAGGAGAACCGTTCTCCCCTCGAGAGTAAGCAGCGTGCTTAACCTCAAGTTGAACGGCTGTTTCGCATTTAACGCAACCGCTCTACCGACAGGTAGAGCCGCTTACTTTTCTTTCTCTCCGTGCAGCCGACGAGAGAAAAACTGCAGAAAACCTACACCCGAGTACAACCGGTTTATTGACGTCGAGTCATGAATGTATATTTGGATAGCCATCACAAATGCACAAACATAGCCTCAGCGTCAAACCTCCCGTTTGATATATCTCGATCAGCGAAAAACACCGAGACTGTAGCGATTCACAGAGGGTCGCCCATCCAAGTACTATATAACCGCACTCAACGATGCTTAACCTCTGTGATCGCAAGTCACGGGATTCCGCCAACCGAGCTATACCATTGGTTTATTATAATTAGGTATATTTTAAAATTGCAGGTTGAAAGAGCTCGTCGTTCTATAAGAGTTTTTTTCTTGATAAGAGAACTTGCCTTAACTATCAATACGGAAATGGAGACCCACCTCCCATTGACAAATCCTATTTCTTGTGTGCAGGTCAACAACGTACTTGATCTAAGTAAAGTATTTTTTATATACTAATCTAAAAATAATATCTACTTATTGGTAATACAACTTGCGACTACTTAATGACTGATCTGGAGCAAATTAAAAATAAATTTATGCATTTTGTTACAAGTCAGATGGGGATATAATTTTACAGATATAGCCATGACTATACTGACTAGAGACGGATTTTGAGTATACAACTATTTTATTTATTATTTATTTATACACTCGTCTTTTGCCTTTATACTAGCGTTACAAGTGTCTCCGTGGAAATTTCTTACAAACTGTATCTTGTTTACTAAATCTTGCGTCTACAGCACGATTTTAAATTAAGAGTACTCGTATTTGCCTTGACCACCTGTATAATGGGTTTTTTCTAGAGCTGTGCAAAATTCGATTCGAATCTAGTTTTGTTCTGTTTCGGAGCGCTAAAATGTCGAATTTCCAAAATTCGACATTTGAATCTTCTAGTTCGATTGTCGCAAACTAGGCTAACTCAAATGTCGGTTTTTCGACATTCGAAATGGACTGACTCGAATGTCAAAAATTCAACATTCGAACTAGGCGATTGAAATGTCGAATTTTGGAAATTCGACATTTTAGAGCTCCGAAACCAAACAAAACTCGGTTCGGTTCGAACTTGGCTAACTCAAATGTCGAATTTTCGACATTCGAACTTGGCTAACTTGAATGTCGAATTTTCGACATTCGAACTAGGCGAAAAAATTCGAACAGACCGGTTCGAATTATTTTGCACAGCTCTAGTTTTCTCGCCAGAGGACAGTGCACATCATTAGGGTATCCCACTATTTAGCAATAGATTCTTATTTTCTGACTTACTTTTTTTGTTCTATGTTAAATTCGGTAATTGCTGGATTTGCCAAACAGTTTAGAGAAATAAAATATTCAATTGGACGTAAATTAAGTGTCATCACTTTCCTTGATAGGTACATATTTATGGGTTGAAATCTACGTCAAAAATGAACTGTTTTGAATAACAGTGGCTAAAGTAAATACTGCATATTTATTATCGTGCTTATTATTTATCAAATGTAAAAAGATGAAGTAAATCTCTGTTTACATTTGGTACTATTGGACGTTTTCGTAAATTAAAGACCCACAGCTAAGTACTATCAATATTGCCATTACGTTTATTGCGAACACATCTGTATCTCGCATTCTCTCTGCCTCTGGGTATAGGAGCATGCCCTTACTTTTTTGTGTTAATATAATAATCTAAATTTGAAAATATTTATAGGAGTTGGTAACTTTTTTAAGCAGGTGTTTTTTTATAGATAACAGTGATCTCATTGCTTGCACGGTGGTATGGAAGGATGGTCAAAAAATACGCCGATTTCTCGTAATAGATGTTCTCCAATTAATATTAGTTGAACCTGACACTAAAAAGTTAGGTTGGGGTGTTGCAAAATTTGTTGGTTTTTTGCAAGACATTGAAGTTGTAGGCGATAAAGATGACTCTAGATGTCTTCATTTAACTATTCACAAACCACTAAGTAATAATTCTTCTAACAAATTGCCAGTACTATGTGCAAAGTTTATTTTTGATGACCACATACGATGTATGGCAGCAAAACAGAGGTAGTTTCTAAAAACAGATTTTAATAAAAAGTAATGTCAATTTTATAAAAATTTTATTTTTTAAATAGATTGACGAAAGGAAGAATAAAGGCCAGACAAAAAAAGATGGGTCAAATTGCAAGACTTTTAAACATTCCTGTGGGTACACCGAATTGCTTTACACCCTCCAATTATACCTTGATTGGCTTGAGAACAGAACGTAAGTGTTAATTTTTATATCTAATCTAATGTAATGTAATTAACCAAGCTCGAACTGGAATCTCCATACAGAAAGTATGCACTTTGGTTAATACCCATCGTACTGTGTGTCAACTTGGAAAATATTGTAAGAGAAATGTCTTTTTAAGATGATTTGAAGGAATATGTGAAAAGGACGGCCAAAAAACGTAGTTTAGAAGACTTTTTTGATGTCTTTTGGGCCAGTCATAGAATGTCTTTTATACATTTAGTTCGCGGACAAAAAGGGACGTCATTTAGACGCCCCTGTGCCCATTAGGAACATATTGAAATTTCTATAGATAGTGATTTTCTTCATCAGTATTTTACTAAAATCATTGTAGATAGGCCAATTACAGTGGCGAATCCAGGGGAGGGGGCACGGATGCTTGGCCCCCACCAAGAGTCATATTCCTATGAGATAGAAAGAGATAACATTATATTGATTTAATTTTTTTAAATGGATGGCCCCCCCCTCAAAAAACCTTGTCTGGATCCGCCACTGGCCAATTAAGCCCAAATTGTCTCTGAAACTAATTAATATTTTTAACTATGAATTGCACAGTTAAATTATAATTCTTATGACGATTCCAACGATATAAAAAACTTATTTTCGTAAAAAATGTAGACAGTATCTGCTTCTTCTTCTTAAATGACTTTTGGCTACGCCGACTGTCAGAACATAAATGTATGAAGAATAAGAATTAAGATGAAATTCCGTTGATTGTGCAAGACTCTGTAATGTTAGAGTATAGAGTTTCCGCCAATAAGCAAGTCGAGAGAACTGGTTGTGTAGTTAGATAAAATAGTGATCATATGTTAAGAACTTACCCAATTCTCTAACCACTTGCTCATTGGGAGGAAAAATGAGTTCATCAATTTTAGCCGGATTGAGATCTGTATTGGGGAATTTGTTTTTAAGAAATCTGATGAGGTCCGATCTGGCCGGAGCCAGGATCGGACACTCAAACAGAATGTGCTTCATAGATCGACGTTCCACACCGCAACTGCAGCGTGCCGCTTCCAACCAGTTAATCCTTTCCAGGTGCTCGATTGTCAAGACATGACCCGTTCTTAGTCAAGTTAAAGAATTAATCCAGCTCCTGGGAAGGTCCAGATCCCGAAACCATGGTCTGGGTGTTTTATAAGAGACTTTAGAGAAGTATCTGTGCCCCGTCAGATCTCTCTCTCTCTCTCTCTGAGCATGGCCAGAGAGGAGAAAGCCATGCATTCCTGTCCGGGGCAAAAACACCTATTCTCATGTCTTTAAGAGGTAATTTAATATAGAATCTGTTGTTGTAGGAGTTGTTAATCTCTCGACAAGACGCATCTATATACTTGTTTCCTTGTATATTATTATGGGCAGGAATCCACATAAGTTTGAAGGAAGGAGAGGAAGTCGAGGTTCCAATTAGGATGTTTAAAATTTCAAATATTAAGTAAGGATTATCCTTAAACAGCAAACAATTTTTATTCTTTGGATGGAGTATAGAGAGTCAGAGACTATTAGAACATATTCAGTACGAAGGATTTCTTTGAATAGGTTTTCTGGGGCAATATGGTCTTTAAGTAAAGACACCTGGGACAGGCGAGGAAAGGATATACCAGGGCCAGTATAAAGGTTTTGAGGTTCTATAGGTTGAATCTAGTATAGGGGTGATCTGTATGTGAGTAGAGAGGAGAGGAAGCTTGTTGAATTTTTTAGAAAGTGGGTTGAGCTTAGATTTTTTATTGAGTGTATATAGGAGGGGTACAAGAGGATTCTCCTTCCATGAGTAGTTGCGCTAAATAAAGGAGTTGGATAAGAATGTTCTCCTAAGGTCAAGAGGAGGCTCTGCCGCTTCCGCCAAGAGGACAGGAATATCGCTCTAATGAGGTTTCTGTAGACCAGTAGAGACACTGAAGGGTTGGTGCCCCGTGTGACGCGTGAAATTATTCTTAGTATGCCAAGTGCTTTCGTGGCTTTATTGGCAAGCATTTTTATGTGGGGTGTCCATGTAAGCCTGCGGTCCAAGAGTATCCCGAGATGTTTCATGGTAATTTCGCATGTAATTGTTGTGGAACCTAATTTTATAAAGATGTCTTCGAAAGGAGACCGCGATTTCAAAAAGACACAGCATACTGTCTTATGAGGGGCTACGTCTATACCGAGAGATTTGAGCCAGATGGAAAGACTCTATAATGCGGCTGAAGCATCTTTACCGAGATTTTCAGTGGAAGTAAATTTAGTATAGAGTTAGGAGGTCATCCGCGTACATGACCGCCCTCATGTTCGGTGGTAGGTATAGTTCAAGATCCCTTAGGTAAAGATTAAATAATAGAGGTGACAATACTCCGCCCTGAGGAACCCCGACACCACAGACTTCCGGATCTGATCCATCCGCTTGGAAAAAGACAAATCTTTTCCTGGCCATATGGTTGATGAAGTTGATTAGGCACGGGTGAAATTTTAGTTGTTTTAACATCGTGTTTGAGACAAGAGGACGAACGTTGTTAAAAGCGCCCTTAATAGACTAATTTTTCAAATAATTTAGAGACTACCGAGGTGAGGGCTATTGGGCCAAGACTCTCGTGTACAGCCAGGAAGAGGGAAAGGATGACTGAAGAAGCATTCTATTAAAGAGTATCAGAAGAACCTCTTGTGCCACTGGGCCGAGAAATTTGATCATGTTGGCTGTTATACCGTCCAGGCCTACTGCCGACTTTGATTTGGTAGTGGAGAGAGCATACTGAAATTTATTCATTGAAAAAGGAGGGAAATCATCTCCGAGGTGGACTGGAGTTGGTAAAAAATGTATGTCTGCTGGTGGAATATCCTCCGTAATGAGGTCTTTGCGAAATTTTGTATGTTCTTGTGTGGTCGGATCTGTTGATACGTTGGTGTTACGTTGTTCAGATCTTGAAGAAAGGGCTTTAACTGTTCTCCATAATGTAGACATTTCTCTAGATGGGGACATGTTCTCACAAAAACTTCTAAATGCATTAGATTTTTGTTCTCTAAGGGTTCTCTTAATTTCTGCGTCCCTACGTTTAAACTCCTCTCTGTTGGTCAGGGATTGATTAGCCTGATTCCATCTATAATTCTCCCTCCTAATAAGCACTAACTAGTGCTTCATCACATTTAGAGTTCCACCATAAAGGTTTTGAAATGGATTTAAAAGAGTTGTTTTAAGGTATAAATGCTCCGTTTTTGAGGAGGCATTGTTTTAGATGCTCTATAAATGAAGTTTATATGTCGGCGGGGGGTCTCGGTAGAAAATTGAGTTGTGATCTCAAGCGAGAAGTGATCTATGTCTGAACGGTAGTTTGCCCAGTTAATACACTTGAGACAAAGTCTATTACTGTGAGGAAGGGATAGGTTAGGAATTATGTTGGCTTTTAAAAGGACTGGTAAATGATCAGAGTTAAAGTTGTCTTGGATTACATTGATGGTTGAATTTTATAGGATGGTGGGGGAACAAAATATCAGGTCCAGGTTGCTACCAGAGACATTGGCGTCACGAAATCTGGTTGGAATGGAATCATTGGTTACGAACAAGTCAGCGTCTAGTGTGAAGGTTTCGAGAGAGGAACCTATAAGATTGGTGGTTCCGTCAGCCCAAATAGTGTGGTGTGCTTTGAAATCACCGCAGAATATATGGTTAACCTGATTAGGAAGATTCCCGAAAACTGTCGACCATTCATTTGAAGGAATATCGCCACGAGGGGGAGCGTAAGACAGTATCTGTCTTCACCAGAACGGCGGAATTACAGCCATAACTCTGATCGTATCGAGTTTCAGAAGATCGTTCACTGGCCTATTGTTGAGTACTGGCCCAAACAGAGACTTCGCCTGTCTTCCTACCCTAATTCCTGCCCAATATGTTTCATGTTCTTTTTGACCCCATTTTTCGATGACTTCTTTTCCAAGCACGACATTATTGCCCAGATCAATGAAAATTTATTTGCTAAACCCAACTAATTCAGTACGCTACAGCATACCTAGACGAGTTTCGATTCTGTTGAGGGATTTTTAAGAGACCCAGGGCCGCCTGACTATTCTCACAAATGCTGATCCTTTTTCCCTTTGTTCCATTTGCAATTTACATTTAGACACAAGTTAAAAACTATTTATATTACAATTACAAACATTTATTTGCAAATATTTCTTCTGATTTTGTTCAATTGTTTATGTAAATATTATATATTAGACATTGACTTTAAGAAAATTATACAAAGTTGACAAGAAAATTGTTTTAAAACATATTTCATTGAAGCGGTTGTTAAAGCATTTAGGGAAATCCATTTTTTACAGGAGTTCCTGGTCGAGGACAAAGGCATAAAGATCAATCAAGACCACTTTTTACCATTAATAAAGTGCCAGGATTTGCTACTCAAATGCATCGTGATGCAGTTAGTAAAACTGCAGGAATTTCTTCTTTAAGTACAAAAATTTCTGACGGGAATTCCAACGATAATGTTGTAGATAATAGTTTAAATTTGAGAGATAATCCCCTTAAAATTGTAAGACCTAGAAGTGAAGAAATTCCTCTGGAAGATATGAGCCTAAGGAAATCATCTTTAACACCAAATTCTTCTTTGTGCTTAGAACAGAAAGATAGTTTTATACTTGGCTCTCTATGCAATCCAGAAGCTACTTTAGCGTCAAAGAAAGATTCTGAAGAAACATCTTTTACTTCCTCACAAAATGATGAGCTCAAAGCTAGAAGAAGAGGACAAGTCGAAACAGTATAATAAACTAAACGATCTTTATACAAATTGAAATGAAATTATACGTGTCTGTTAAAAATTTTTGCAATGAAACAAAATAAAATTGACTTGATTTCTTATGTTGTTTTTATAAAATATAATCAACTTATTTTTAATTTTTTTAATTGAATAGATACTCTATAATCCTTCGTCTGCAAAGGTCCATATGAGTCCCTAGCCCCATTCACTCATTTCACTATTTTATACATATTTTAAGGCCAACAACTTTTTTTCAAATATTTTGCACCAGAATGCATATTTTAAGTCAGCCGAAAAAAGTTGCTGAATGATAAGGATGTAGTCATTTGTTTTTGTATACATCATTTATGTCTCTAATTTTACTCTGCTGAAAGTATAGTTTTGAGAATCCCAATTTGAATTGCTACGCAGATTCGTTTAATTTATTACCAATTGTAAATTTTAAGTCTTATATTAATATTTGTAAGAAAATAAATAAAATCATATTAGTTGAAAAAATTTTCTTAACACTAATAATATAAATTCAAATCAGTTTAAAAAACATAAGAATATATAACATATTTCGCTACTTTGAAAATTAGTAGATTCTTCAACGCGCAAAACAGAAAGAGGATTTGGCAAAAGTATATTTTCTGTTGATGAATTAAAAAAAAAACTATAATCGATTAACTCATTGACAACTGATTCGATTTATCTACATATATTAGAATTTTATTCGGATCTTCTACATCTACTTCCATTTTACTTTGCCATCCTGCAAATTTATTTTTGAGTTTTTTTTAACTCGCACTCAGATTTTACAAACAGATCATCTATTAATTCGTAATCTAATAAATTACTAAAGATTTCCTTGTCTATTCCTGTCCCTGTGAAAAATTGTTTACCAATATTATCACATTTATCATAACGGTAAATTATTCTAACTCTTAAAGAGTTACTTTTACACATTTTTGGGTTATAATGGATTGTAGATGCTACTGCTGACCCAAGGTAAAACTACTTGAGTCTAGTGTAGTACTAACTTTAGCATTATTTACGTATATTTACTTGAGTCTCTAGTAACGGGAACTGTTTTTTCTCTCCGTGCTGTTGTGCTCAATGATTGCTCTTCGACTTATTTCAGCGGTAGTCTCCCTGCTAAACCAGGATGGACAGATTCGTTTTAATTGCATCCATTCCTGATTGGGAATAAATGGAAACAAGGTGGCTGATAAATGAGCCAGGAAGCCACTTGATCTACCATTTGGTAATTTCGCGGGTGCACCATGATCTTCTTCCGGTATTCAATAAAGTTTTGAGCACTGGATGAACTTTACATGGCTATTCCATTTTAACATCCCCCTGAATAACAAATATTATTATAGGGTTAATATATGAAGAAAAGGAGACCATGGATCAATGGGATTAAAGCATCTAGAAGATGTATCAATACAATAACAAGACTGCAGACCTTCCACACTTGTACCAGGAGTACCTTCCACACTTACTTATTTCCTGTCCAAGACTCATGACAGGAAGATTAGGCAACAAAGGCTGCCTGATTTCTATCCTGATGATCCTGTATTCGATGATGTACCAGAGTAGCACATTCACATGTCTTTTTGGGGGCGCTGAACATAAATCGAAGGTTAGATTTACTTCGTCACTTCAGCATTTTTTTCGAACCTCAAAAACGTGTTTAATTTCATGTCATACACAATTTTTTAGAAAATTAGTTTAATTCTCTTAAAACTTGTTTCTTGGATGTTTTTGATGCTCAAAATACGAAACTGAAATTCTCATTTAACAAAAAGTAGCAATTTAAAAACATAATACAGAGTGGTTTTAAAAAAATATATTTGTGTAACTTTAACAAGGATCAGTGTTTCAGTAAAAATTTATAATAAATTAAAAGAAAAAAGTGTTAGTTAAAAACAGTTTGAGTTTACCACTGAAAAAAACTATTGCATAGTAAATTCAAATTTTATTTTAATTTTACACTTTTAGTTTACTACTGAAAAACCGAAAATTCTACTCTTTATTCTATTTTTCTCCTAAATTTCAATATTTCTTAGTACTCTTTATAGAGACATTATTTATTATCAACACAAAAGAGAACATATACAAATATATAAATAAATAAATATTTTTTTTAAGTTAACCGCTTACAATGAACAAAACATAAATATTCGCTATTAAAGGCGCGTAATTGATCACAATTGAAAATAATATTTTAGCTACAGGCACATTAAGTAAATCATTAGAGACGATTAAATACATTTTTTTAAATTCCGTAGATTGTGTGCCTTGTGAAATTTAAAAGGTTTGATTTTTAATATTGTATATTTTGATCAAGTCAATTGTCTTTTATGGTTTTAAAAACTAAATTAAAAGTATTATACCAATGTTGTTAAAATTGGTCATTGTCATCTTTACCATCATTATAAATATCAGCAATATCGCCATCACTATTAACATCAGAATCACCATGAACATCATAATCAAGTTTATGATTATTATTATCAACGTCAACATCATCTTCAACATCATCTTCAACTTCCTCATCATCATCATCATCATCATTGTCATCATCATCATTATCATCATCTTCATCATTAACATTATCAATATCTTCATCATTATCAACATCATTATGATCCTCAGCATTATCACTGTCATCGTCTTCATAATCTTCATTTTCATTACTGTCGTTGTCATTTTTATGATTATCATAATCATTTAGTTCTTCCTGTAGTACACCACTATGATTATTATCAATACTTGTTGCTGGAGGAGTGGGGTTTTCATTATGAAATTTATTTCTGTGTTTATCATTTTTTAAACTGTCCTTTTCGTTTTTCTTTCTATTTCCTGATAAAACACTAACTATTGGCCTTGGTATATAAGTTGCATTGAAAGCATTCTTATCAATGTTAATATTTTCTTTATTTGTATTTAAACACATTTTATTATTTAAATTGACCCCAATGTCTATGTTTTCATTATCCCACATTATTTCACAATTTATTCTGTGTAAATTATTACCTTGTGTGTTATTTGTCATATATATTTGTACATCCACTGATGTATCATTTTTAAAATTATTATCTGTGTAAAATGTATTTGGTCTAAAAGTAACATCACTAACATCTATATCAGAATTACTGTTGGAGACAATTGCAGTCGATGATTGCAATTCAACTCCTAAAAGTAAATTAGATGCTGACTGAGGAGTATTTGCTGTTAAAAATGGAATTGTAAATGTTGGTGTAGATAAAGTTGAAGTACTAACTTTTGTTTTCTTTATCGGACTCTCACTATCACTAGAGAAAATATCAAATAAAGCACTAAAACCTAATAAGTCATCGTCTTCATCATCATCCTCATCATCATTAACAGAGTCGTCCTCATTTGATGGTATTGTTAACAGTACTGGTTTAATTTCTTGACCATTTAAATTTTCGACATTATTACTTTCATTGACATCTTTTTTATCATCATCATCATCATCATCGTCATCCTCGTCATCTTCATCATCTTCATCGACATCATCATCGTCGTCGTTTTCATAATTTCCTAAGCCAAAAATATCATCATCTTCATCATCATCTTTATTGTTGTTAACCGTATCAGTTATTACCGTTGGAAGAGGTTCAGCTGGACGAAGTTTTAAACCATCAGGACCAAATCTGTAATTAATAGTAAAAATAGAATTTAAATGACAAATTATTAATCGACAGTTTTTGTTCATTTACATTCAGGTTATAAGTTAGTATCATCGAAACGCGTCAACTTTTGTTAAATAAATTTATATACTGAAGCCATTATAAACAAACAAAGAATTCGAACATTTATTAATATATTTACGGCTTATAAAAATATTTAATTATATTATATTGTAAACTGAGATACTTAAAAGAAAAAATTTCTGAGTCCAAAAGTAATATTACAGTAATATTTAGTTTAATTGAATGGTAATATTACATGTAATATTTGTATGTAGCGGACATTTTAATATTCCTGTAAGATTACTGTAAATTACAGGCAATATTACGAAAATCCAGTGTAATATTAGTGATAGTAAGGTAACATTATGTTTTATTTGGACTTGTACAAATCTTCTAACAACAAAAATGATTGATGAAAATATTTAAACTGTTATAGTGAAACGAACTTTTGATAATTCGCAAAAATGAACATTCGAATTGTCGAAAATTTCTATCAAATAAATGGTCGATCCATCAACAACTCGGAAAAATAAACATTTGAATCAATAGCAATTTGAAAAAATCCAAAAAGCAAGAAAACTGCCTTGGTACACATTACTTACCTGAAACAACTGACACGTAAACTAGCCTCAAGATCTGCAGCCGATTGTAATTCCAAACCAAGACATGCTTTAAAGTAGCGATCATTTTCTCTTTTGATAGAGTATATTCTTCCGCAAAATTTTGAAAACCCTCCTGGCATCAAAACACAAACTGGTTTTGGATTTTTGCCTGAAATAATTTTGAAAAATAACATATAGTTAAAGACTTAAAATTTTTTAAAGGCCAAGCTCTAGCCCATGGGTCGTCCCGACGGTGGACAAAACTTTGTAAAATTAATTTTATTAAATACGAAGCAAAGTTTTTCTATTATTACATCAATATTAAAGGCAACAAAATTTGTTCAATCAATCCCAGTAAGAAAAGCAGGATTGGAAGAGAGCGAATAGTATTGGCGGGGAGTTTCTGCCAATACGTTTTCGCGTGAAACCCGTATTGGGGGGATTCTGCCAATCCTGCTTTTTCACCGTCAATTCTATCCTCTTGAATCTTTCGATTTCACGTTTATTGACTCGATTTGGCATTTTAATCAAAAAGACTGATTGATTAAAACTGATAACGAACAGAAATATAAAATTTTGTTAAAATGTAAATAAATGAAATTTGACAAACTGTTGGTCTATTACGATATGATTTCGAGTATATTCTAGATTAGCGCTGTGACTTATACTCACAGCACCCCCAGCGCGAACGTCGAAAGCTCCTTAAATCATGTGGTAATTGATCAACAGTACACACTCAAGTCGAGTCAATAAACGTGAAATCAAAAGATTCAAGAGGATAGAATTGACGGTGAAAAAGCAAGATTGACAGAATGCCCCCAATACGGTTTTCACGCGAAAACGTATTGGCAGAAACTTACCGCCAATACTATCCCTGGTTAAAAAACCGGATAGATTTCGGACAAATCCGAAATTTGTCCGAAACAGTGCGGTTTATGGTCAGGTTTTTGTCATCCGGAATTAGTCCGGATAAATCTGAGATCAATACGGTTTGTATACAACTAGTGAATCCTGAATCCAGAATTAATCCGAAGCAGTCAAAAATTAGTCCGGACAATTTAGTGAATGTTAATAAAAAATAATTATACAAGTTACACATATTAATTATTATTACTTTATGGTATATTCAACATATTTTTCGATTTACCTATCGCAATTTTATTTACATTAACTTAAAATTTCTAACGTTTGGGGATTCGAACCTACACCTATCCAACATTATATCGTACCGAAATCGAATACACTATACCACGCTCGCATGGGAGTTCAAATTCATAATAGAATTTATAAAGTAGGTACCACAAAAAGAAATGACAAAAAACTAACACATCAGTGTTAATTTGTAAAATATGTAAATTTGTAAAAACAAATTAACTTCAGAAGTAAATATTATATTTACCATAAGTAAATACCTTGGATAAAAAGTCGGACTGATTTTGGACTAATCCGGAATTCGTCCACAACAGTACGGTTTATTGTGGAGTTTTTTTTACCCTTAATTAAATTTGAAATCAATCAAGTTTTTTTATAACTATTGAATCAGTAATTAGTCCGGTTTAGTCTAAAGTTATTTAGATCATATACAACGAGTAAATGCAGAAGTAATCCGGTTGGTTTAACCAGTGAATCCGCAGCTAATCCGAAACAGTCTGCTTATGATCAGGTTTTTGTCACTCGAAATTAGTCCGTATAAATCCAAACTCAATGCGGTTTGTGTATAACCATAGTGAATCCGAAATTAGTCCGATGTTAGGCAAATGAGAAATTAGTCCGATTAAGTCCGGAATTAATCTGGTTATGGTCAGATTTTTGTCAAACGAAATTATAATTCTGGTTTGAATTTATTTGTCTGTGGACTGTCTGTGAATTGTACATATTTAAAAATTCCATATTATTATATATTATAAGACTTATATTCGGACTGGGGTGTTTTGATAGGATATTATTCGGATTGCCGCTGACTATTACCGGATTCTTTGCATACAGATTTTGGATTGTTCCATACTTGTTTTGGATGAAAATCTTTTTACTGGACTAAATTCGGATTATTGCCGACTGATTTCGTATTCTTTACATATTGATTGCGGATTATTCCGTATTTATTTTAGATAAATTTTTGAACGGACATAATTTCGGATTGTTTCGTACTTGTTTCGGAATAGGATTTTGCCAAACTTAATTTCAAATTGTTGCGGACTAATATCGGATTTCTTGCTTACAGAGTTCGGATTGCTCCGGACATTTTGCGGATTAAGTTTTTTTTAACGAAATTAAATTCGGATTGTTTTTGGACTGATTTCTTATTTTTTACATATTGATTTCGGATAATTCCGTACTTATTTTAGAAGAATTCTTCATCGGTCATAAATTCGGATTGTTGCAGACTAATTACGGACTGAATTCGTAGACATTCAGGATTACTCCGGAGTGTTTTCGGATTCAGGTTTTCGTTCGGATTGATATCAGACTAACGCGGTTCATTTTCGTACCTTTTTCATACATTTTTCGGACTAATCTGTCCGTATTTAATCCGTAATTAGTCCGAAATTTTTACCAGGGATTCGCTCTCTTCCAATTCTGCTTTTTTTACTGAGATGTGCAAAATATACATGTTTAGCTACTGAACTTGAGACAGTTCTGGCTTAGCGAAATAATTAGTAATAACCAGAGATGTTAAAAATGGGTCTCAAAACCTATTTAAAATGCTAAATACTAAATGGTATCACAAAAAGTATTTCAAATATAAAATATAAAATAGTTTTCAAAAAGTTATTTCAAATGCAAAATAGAAAATACGCATTTTCAAAATGGTTTTACAAAATAAAATGCTTTTTTTAAAATGAACTTTATTTTTACGTAACTTTTTGATTTTTCCATAAAATAATATTGTATCCCTTATGAAACTGTTTTATATATTATTCTATTAATTTGACTTTATACAATAAACTACTTTTTTGAAAAAATTGTAAGAAAACTTTGTCAGCAATTGAATAAAATATCTCATTTTCGAATGCTTGATGTGAAATCCTATGTAAATATTGAAACTTTGATCCTAAAAATTTCCGTTTTTAGTATGTAAAAATGAATATTATCCCATAAAGTTTGGTAAAATTTAAAAGAAAATGAATTAGCCGAAGAATCTCCTTAAAAGAAAAAATTGCTACAATATAAAAAAAATTTTCTTATATTTTGCATTTTCAAATACAAAATAATGAAAAAAACCATTTCAAATCAAAATGCAAAATGGTTTTCGGCAAATGCATTTAAAATGTAAAATGAAAATAGGCATTTTGCATTTTCTATTTTGCATTTGAAATAGATTTATTTGAAATAGTTAACATCTCTGGTAATAACATTAAACAGTATCAACTAGAATGACCATCAACTATTTTTGTGCATTATAAAGAAATATTTTCTCATATTATTAGAACTTACCATTCACTATTGTATTTGTTAATATATTTTCACCAAAGCTTAATTGAATTGCTAAATTGTCATCTCGAAGATACTGCAAAGACGCACAACCTGAAAATTGAACAGTTATTGCATCAATTCATACGGGAAATAATTGATGATCAGTAGTTCACTCAAAGCAAAACAATTAAGTTTTATAAGATTCATATTCAACATGAATCGCAAAAAGTTTTAGCAATTCAGTCTGTGGGTACGGTCCCATGTTGAGCAGAAAACACAATGCAAAGCAGAATTTCGTGAGAGTGGAAAGGATAGTGATATCTGACTATCTCTCTTGCACTCACAAAATTCTGCTTTGCATTCTGTTTTCTGCTCAGCATGGGACTGCACCCTTATTCCCACTTTGTAACTGTTTTATTTTTACTTTTGATAATTAATTGTCACTCACAGAGGATATTTAAGTAAAATGAATCTTTTAATAAATTAGACAGTAACATTTTTAGTGCTCTTGCCAGGATAGTTATAGCTACAAACGACATAAAAATAAATTGTCAAAATGTGTTATCTAAGGAAAACATTATGAATCAACCAAAGGAGGAAAGGCTTCGTGGGTACTTTACTGATATCTTTGAGAAATTTCATACGTATACGGAAAAAATTTTGGGACGTCAGATGCGAAAAGTCAGTGACAGCAGAAGAGCATTTCACTATGTACGTCTGCGGTGCATTTTCGAGAGAGCAGACGTAAAGTTTGGCACAAACGCTGTACATAGTGTACGCCTGTTGCGCAAAACTAGCACAGATGGCGTTCAAAATGAATGTACAAGTAATTTTGACACACCATGTACAGCTGACGTGCCTAAATTTTTTCCGTGTACTACTAAAATAAAGGTGCTTGAGCTTGTCGATCGGCCACTCTTCACACACCACTAGGGTTCAGAAAAAGCAGAAATATGAAAGAATTATTCAACGAATAATAACATTCAATAAAAATATTTATAAATAAAAAATGTCAACAATTTAAAAAGAATCGGGGCGGATTTGACTCTGCAAATTTTAACTGAATACACAATTAACTGTATATGTGATTGAATACGGTTTGACATTATACAAATTTTTATGGCATAATTTTCTTATTAAACTCTCCACAGTTGAAATACTTGCGTTTGAATAACATTTTATATGTTTGACCGTAAACAATTCGACTTTATACTAATTAACTTTATATAATGTTTAATATTAAATTCTATGCAGTAAAACAGAATGCCCTTGAAATATCATTAACTTCTAAAATTGCATACAGTTAAACTGTATACTAACAAAATTAAAAAATGTAAACGTTTAATTTCATACAGTTGAATTATATACAGCGAATGAATTAATTCGAGTACTCAGATATTTGAAATACAGTTTGAAATTAAAGTCTTACTTATTTATTGGTTTGGAATTCCCTGTAAAAAAGAAATAGGTGGTTGGGTTTTTCTAATTGGGGTGTCGTTTCTTGAATTCGAGAAAGCAACATTTTCGGATTGGGTTAATTTTAAAATTCAGAAAATGTATTGTCCCAATGTAATAATACAGTGATATTAAGGTAATATTACGTGCTGCTTGGGTGGATAACACAGGTCAACAAAAAAAGACTTACTTTTTTTTTTGAGATAGCTGAATGGTTTCCTATGTATTTTTGGACGCTGAACACGATCCCGACTTACAAAATTGCCCATCACGTCAGGATTTTGAGAAAAGTGGGGGTAAAGACCCCAAAAACGCTTTTTTGAGGAATTTCAACATTTATTTTCTCTTTAACCTGACGTGCTAGAGACTTCCACAAGGTCTTAAATTAAAGCTTGTAATGTGCACTAAAAGACCAATATCCATAAAATAAAAAAAAATTAAAATTTTTTTCAAAAAATGGGATTGAAGACACCAAAAATTTGTGTTTTTGGATTGCTTTAATAGACTTTTTGCAATTGCTTGGATTCGCATGAAAATGGTTACTTGGGGTTTTTGGGGTCGCTGATTACGAATCCGATATTAGTTTGCAAAAATTAAAAATGGCGGATTCGTAATCAGCGACCCCAAAAACCCTGAAATAACAATTTTCAAGCGAATCCAAGCAATTCTTTATTCTTACATCTGCCATCTTGGTTTCGCCGTTTTAAATTTTTGCAAACAAATATTGGATTCGTAATCAGCGACCCCAAAAACCCCAAGTACCCATTTTCAAGCGAATCCAAGCGATTGCAAGAAGTCTATTAAAGCAATCCAAAAACACAAATTTTTGGTGTCTTCAACCCCATTTTTTGAAAAAAAATTTAATTTTTTTTTATTTTATGGATATTGGTCTTGTAGTGCACATTACAAGCTTTAATTTAAGACCTTGTGGAAGTCTCTAGCACGTCAGGTTAAAGAGAAAAGAAATGTTGAAAATCCTCAAAAAAGCGTTTTTGGGGTCTTTACCCCCACTTTTCTCAAAATCCTGACGTGATGGGCAAATTTGGAAGTCGGGATCGTGTTCAGCGTCCAAAAATACATAGGAAACCATTCCGCTATCTCATAAAAAAAAGTAAGTCTTTTTTTGTTGACCTGTGTAATTTTACACGCAATAAAAATCACACCCAGTTGTTTCTATGTCCTCTGTGAGTATCTTAAGGGTTAAATAAATAATTTAGTTTTTGGCATTATATTGTTTTTAAATGTAATATTAAAGAATATTAATTACCTGGTCCATTCACTCCAACAAGAGGAATATGAAAATCTTTGCAACAGTTACAAATCTTTTCATTGCAAACACAATATTTGTTAACACTGTCAGTTGCTTGTTTAATAGATGATAATGGTACTCCTAAAGTATTTTGCAATTGATTGTTTATTCTTCCGTTTGCCGAAATTTCATGATCTGGAAGAAGAATTTTATTAATTTCACGGAGAGAATGGACTGTCAAAATAATGATAGTGTTCAACCTAAATATCTTGATAATTTAGTAGTTCTGCTTGTGAATTTACTTTTTGTTAGTCAAGAGAAGAGGGAAGGGAAAGGGAATGAATAGTTCTTCAGAACGAACGTCTTGTTCATTACGAATACGATTATACGCAAAAAATATATATTTTATCTGAAACTTGCCAAATAGCCACAACAGAAAATATTATGCATAAGAAATATTTTCTCAAAATTTACCCGTTTATTATATTTTTGGTAAAATTAATAAAATTATTAAAAATAATAATGAATCAGGATTTAAGTGGTCAAGTTGATTGAAAATCCTGAAAATTTTGTAGATTGGTCGTCTCTTTCTGCAGATACAGTAGAATCTTTCAATAGTGCAGTTGTCGGGAATATTATGCACTGTTGGAAGCAAGCCAAAACTAAAACATTCAGTTCCGTGTCATAAGAAAATCAAAGGTCCCCCACTCAGTAGCGTAACAAGAGAGGCCGGGGCCCTGGGGCGAGTAAAGCCTCGGGGCCCACTAGTAGAAATGAAATTTGATTAACAGTGGGAAATACCTACCAAATACCTTACAGCAGTAATAAAATTACTCATGATTTTCTTTCAAAACATTTATTAATTTTTTCTAGTCGTAAGAAATATTTATGGAAGAATGTTGAGACTAGATAACAAGCTTAAAGTATATTTACTCAAAGTCATAAATAAAAATTTTAGTATAATTTATTATAACAATTTGACAATAGAATGATTACAATATATATTAAAGTAAAAATTTTATCTTTAGAATTTATTTAAACAAGATTTTTAGTTCCAAATATGTTCATATTAAATATCAATAATAATTTATTAATTTAATAAAATGAAAAATAATAATAAATATAATAAATAAATAAAATAATTTAAAAAATTAATAATAATCTAAGTTTTATAATTAAATCGTCTTAATCGCGGGGCCCCGGGATTTCGCCCGGTTTGCCCTATGGTAGTTCCGCCACTGCCCCCACTACTAAATACCGGGCACCACTAAATGATACTATAAATAATAAAATGAGCGACGGCACTGTATTTGAAGTCACAGTTTTCCTTTGCCTCCCGAAACCCCTTGTCTACTCAACTCACTAATGACTGCACTGTTCAGAACTGCACTATTGAAAGATCCTACTGTAGTGACACTTTAAAAAATATTTCTCTCAAATCTCTGTAGATAGTTTAATTAACCGCTAATTATCTACTAATCTAACTAAAATTCTCCATTACCAATACGACTACTAGATTCGTCTTTTTATTACGAATTCATAACGGTATAAAGAACTCATTTTCTATAAAATATGTACCTAGTCCTAGTGCCTTTTTTAAATTTGTCGGCAGTAGGGTAAATTGCGGATAGAGCCCCCCTCCTTTTGAAAATTACATCTAAATTCAACAAATATTAATATTTTTAATTGACTATTCGATTTTTCTACACTATTACTATTTTATCATTAACATATATGTATGGACTATATACCTATAATAAATAATAAATTAATCAGATCGAAAATACGAAAGGTCTGCATTTGGCCATATATCCCCCCTGGGTCCGTTAGACGCCCCCTGCGATAAGAGAGCGTTCACAAATGATGTCACGTTTGGGGGGGGGGGTAAATACTAACCGTGACACAATGTATTTTTACATGTGAAATTGCGTGACATTATAAAAAATGTAAAACGCCGATCTAATATGTTTCTCTGATTAATTTGAGACAAGAAAATAATTACAAATATTTTCTTACGTGTTAACCCAGGTAGAAATTGACGACCGGGATGGTACCGGCCTGGTACAAACGGCGGATTATAAGTGCCGGGGCGGTACCGGCATAAGACCGTAATTTTTACCGTCTCGGTACCGGCAAATTGCCGGATGATAACTGCGGCAGGTATCCGGCATACGTACCGGGCCGGTACCGAATTGTCCACCGGGGCGGTACTGGCCGGGTTATTGTTGGAAGGCATTTAGTGCCGGTTTATTACCGGCTGCACAACCGGCTAGGTACTGGTCCAGTACCGGCATAATTCTGTTCATTCCACCGGCGCAGTACCGGTAAATTGCCAGATGATAACTTCGGTAGGTATCCGGCAACCGTACCGCGCCGGCACTAAAAAAACAACCGGTGTGGTACCGGGCCGGTTAAAAAAATTACATTTCAGTCTGATTAATTGTTTAATTATTATTATTATTATCAATGTCATTATTAATTTTAAATTGAAAACAGTAAATATATTAAATGCTGAAACAGAGAAACATAAACAATTATAGAAAAATCTGAAGATTCGAGGAATTGAACTCAGGACCCTGAGGCTGCAAAGTCGACACCACATCCGCTAACCTAAACCTGCATATGGAAAGTAAATGCAAAGTGAGCTTATAAAGTTCAACCGACATTCCACCTGGCAGCAGTACCGGGCCAGTATTTGTATTTTCTAATTTATTTTAATTCAATTTAAATCATTAAAAATAAATAAATAAAAATAGTAATTATAAATAATAATAACCGCCCTATTTACCGGCTAAATACCGGGCCGGCACCAATAAGCAACCTACTCGGTCTTAATATAATTGCCGGCATAACTAACTAATTAATTTATTATTAATAATTAAATTATTAAATTAATTAATAAATTAATTTTCGAATTTTTTTTCCTCTTCTTTAATTCTTTTTCTGCTAGTTTAACATTAGCAAACAACCGGGACGACACTGGGCCAGTAATAATATTTTTTGTCGGCAAAACTTCTGTGACAGTAGAAAGTATTAGGTAAATTTTTGTGCTGGGCGGGTGCTGGGCCGGCTCAAATATTATCACCGGCAAATCTCCTTCGTTCGTATAAAAACAAAACCAAATGGTGGTACCGGGCCGGTGCTGGGCCGGTACAAATATTATCACCGGCAAATCTCCTTCGTCCGTATAAAAACAAAACCAAATAGTAGTACCGGGCCGGCGCTGGGCCGGTAAATATATTATCACCGGCAAATCTCCTTCGGCGGTATAAAACAGAGCGAAATGACAGTACCGGGCCGGTGCTACGCCGGTGCTGGGCCGGTAAAAAAATTATCACCGGCAAATCTTCTTCGGCGGTATAAAAACAGAAGTAAATTATAGTACCGGGCCGGTGCTGGGCCAGATATTTTTTATCAACCGGCCCGGTACACACTACCAGTACCGGTACAAATCCACATTTACCACCGGGCCGGTACTGGGCCGGTATTTATTTCATATCAGGCCCGGTACCTTTTTGCCGGTACCGGCATAAGTCCGACTTTACAACCGGTTCGGTACCATGCCGGTCGTTAGTGCTGGCACATCTCCAACTTTTCTGCCTGGGTATCGACCTTAATAAAACTATTATTTAAATTTTAACTATAAACTATATTGAAGTTTTCAAAAGAATAAAATAAATACCCTGTTTATACACTTTAAATCTGAATTTCAGTGAAAATGTCACTGAGTATGGATCATTTTTTATGTATCAGTGGAATTGAAGAAAAATCGTATATTAAATTGATATCAGTAAAATTATTTTACTGATTCAGATTTGGAGTCTTTAACCAGATGCGCAATATTGTGACAAGATTTGTGCAAGGTTGACAATATAGCAACAGCTTGCTTTGCAAGACAATTTTTAGGGTGCTTTATGGGCGTCCTCTCAATTTTCCTAATCTCCTCCTCACTACAATCATAACATACCTATTTTAAAATTAAAGGTGCAAATAAATAATAACATTTTTCATACCTATTACTCTCGCGTAAGCAGCAAATGCGATGAGAAGAAGTATTATTAGTAGTTCTAAAATTGATGATAGTTTCATCCTTTTGAAATATGTTCTGAAAAGTAAAATTTTTGAGTTATTTACAAATGACATAAATTTGAACTGAATTTAACAGGATCAATATCAACTTATAATAATAATAATAATAATAAGCAGATTTAGATACAACTTAATGTAATATTTTATTAGTTTGAAAAATATATTTTTTTGAACGTACATAGTACGTATAGTATATGTACATACTACATACTTTATATTGGTGTCATGAAAATATTACTCATTGTTGCTTGACGTGCTTGTTTCAAGTGTGTATGATAGTTTACATTGATTTTTAGAAATTTTTTTGTCTGTTTCCTAACTGTGTGCAGCTTACAGAAGCTCCTATAAAGCTGTTTTAAACACTAATTAGTATCTGCTTCCGAACCGTCGATGGCGGCTCGGATCGACAATTATTTGAGGTCGGGTTGACCTCAAATTCATACTTTTAAACGTGAAAACTGAATGAATATATTTTATCTACAATATGACAGCAACTTTTCAAAACTTAATTTTACAACAAAAGTGGAACGAATTCATTCAATTATAATAAATAAAATGGTGACATTTTTAAATTGATTTTCCGTTCATAATCATCGACAAGGAAATTTTATTGAAATTCGGATAAACGTTTATACACAAAAATCCCATTTTCTTTAATTTTGTTTATATTAATTATTGTTATTATTTGTATTTTAAAGAAAGATCTGCGATTGATTTTCAAACTTTAAACATTACAAAATGAGAAGCAGAAAATTTGTTTAAAATGGTCTTTTTTATTTACCATTTACAAAATTTTTATTGTTAAAGATTTCAAATTTTACTAATATTTATATAATTTCTCAATATATATATATATATATATATATATATATATATATTATATTAAAATTAATTAACATATGTTTTCTTACCAATGTATTAAGATTACAATAATTATGAAATGATGGTTTTTTCTTTTTAAAAATTATTGTTTCAAATGTTACTTATAAATTTAAAAATGATACTAATAATGTATGTTACTATCTAACGCCTTAATGTTAGCAAGGTCAATGTCCAACTGGAGGTTCCGTCAACTTTATTCTACAGGCATGATTTTCAAAAGTCGGTCAAGTTACCACTATACCTGTTACATCAGTTCAGGTGAAACCTGTTATTCTTTAAAAATTCTAATAAATATTAAAATTCTTGTGATAACATAGTAAAAATATTGAAAATTTTCAAAAAATTATTAAATTTAAATGTTTGTAAAAATTAAATTATAACTTATGTTTTAAATCATAAAGTTAAATACCAAAAGCCTTTTAAAGTAATTCTTTACATTTTTAAAAACCTAAAATATCAGCAAACATAAAATATTCTAATAACCATAAACATATATAATATCGTTAGATGCCTTTCCAATCATTTTACATACAATTTTTTCACAAAGAATATTTTATGAAGATTTAAATCTAGTTTTTAAACTTTGAGATCGCAATTTACAGTAAAGGGATTATATTTTCAGATACCTTAAGATTGCTACATTTTAAGAATTTTTACTTTTGATAAGAAACAAATTTAGTTTTACGAACTTTATTTATAAATATAAAACTTGATTTAGAAATAAGCACAATTTTAATTAAATTCAAATCTTTTTAAATTAAATTATATTTTATTTGATTATTATTCCCCAAGAGTGACTACCATTTTCCTCAGTATTGTCAAAGTAGGAAGAATTATAAATATACTTATACTTTTTATTTAATTTACTAATTAATTTATAATATTTATACAGCTTATTTCTATAAATTAGACGCAATCTTGCAAACATTTGGAAAATTCTTACCTTTCCCCAGATGTATATTATTCTTAAATGCATGCATTTTAGAAAATATCTAACGCTCGCTGGGATCGAACCCTCAACCTAACCAAAAATTTTAAATCTCTTAAACTAAATTCCACGGAGTTTTGCCAACCATCGTGCAAAAAAAAACTTTTTAACCTTCTATTATTATTTTTCCCAAGTTTTTCCAACCGCCCAGGCGCGAAAGACCAATGCTGACGATAGATTAAAATTAAAGGTTGATTGAGTCTTGAACGCTCAGTGTGGGTAACTCACAGTAGAAGCAGTCTTTACATCACTGTCAATCAATATTAGTTCAATATTGGTTCAACATTGGACCCAATGCTCGTCCCATGCTCGATTCAAGACTCGGTCAGTCTTTATGAGTGAAGCTCGAACATCTAATCTTGATTCAAGCTTGAATCAATCTTTACTCAATATTCAGTTTATCTTTATTTATTACCGTGTTCACTTAATTAAATAATATTATAATAATTATAATTATAATAATTGTTTCAAATAATAATAATAATAATTAACATTAAGTTATCAATTGATAAATAAATATATTATTAATTGTAACATTCATATTTAAAGAAAGTTAAATGGAAAATTTTTTTTTATAAATGTTTTCAAAATTATTATAGATAATTAATAAATAATAATTAAAATGTGCAATAAATATTCCTGACACTGCATCATATTTAATCATTTTATTAATTATGTTAACTTTTAATATTAATTTAATTAATTATTATTTATTTATTTATTAATTATTATAATTTTAATAATTATTATTCAATTAATAAATATTATTATAATTAATAATAATTATAATATTTAACATTATAATTCATTATTATTCCAAATTATATTTATTTACATAATATATTATTAATATATCTAATAATAAATGTTAATAATTTTGTTACTGAATAATAAAAAATATCAATTATTTATCGATGTTTATTAAATTATCCATTAAATATTTTTAATTGTAAAATGTTTTAAAAGTTGAATTTTGTAATGATTACAATTTTATTATGAATTATTTATTATTCATTTTTAATAATTAAAATAATTCAGGATTAGTATGTGTAAAATTTTTAGTCATAGTTTTCACTTTGCCCTTATAAGTAACAAAGTATACGGCACTGGCATTAATATATTACATTAGCCCGAGGTCTCATCGAGACTCAGTGGCCGTGCGGATTAAGTGGTTGCGTCTAGGACTTCCGGAATGCGTTTGGGGCGGGGGGACGTGAGTTCGATCCCACATGCGAGCGGATTTTTTCATTATAAGCGGTTACATAAAATAATAAAATTACTATTTAATCTGTATAATTAATAAGTGTTGTGAATAAAAACTTGTGAACTTGTTTGTAAATAATATTAAAAGTCTGTCAAAAATGAAGTTAAAAAATGTACAAATTATCACAAATTGTGTTTTTTTTTTTTGCTAAAATTATTTTTCAATATTATTATGTTAAATGACATTTATTGTTAGTCATATAATATTTATATGAAAATAATATAATTATTATAATAATAACTTATTGTCATTAAATATGTAAATACATATATATTAATAACAATACTGTTTATTATTAATAATAATAATTAATATATTCACGTTATATTGAATGAACGCGTGAGAAGCGTGTAAATTTGGGAACAGTGGAAGCAGTCTTGTTCAGTCCTGCTTTCGGTTTCCGCAGCATTGATTGAAGATTGAACGCCAGTCTTCAACAAAGACTGAGCGTCAGGTTTACATCGATGTTACTATTCCGGACTCAAGTAGCCTTGCTTTCGCTGTCCCACCAATCTTCAACCAATACTGACCAAGTCTCAATCAAGCTTCGTAAAGCCTGAACTCACTGTCAGCTCGCGCCTGGGCGTTGAGACAATCGTGTACCAGAGTTCGGCCAACCAAACATTTTAAATCTCTTAATATTCATAAAATGTAATTGTTTTGTAGTGTAGGTAAAACAATTTATTGCACGGAAAAATTAGATATTTTTTTCAGAAAAGTTCAATATTCAATAAACAATTTCAGGTGTTTTTGTAATGACTTCGAAGTTCGAAATAATTGTTCTTGATGCCGCGACTGAATATCAAAGGCATTGCGCACCGAAGAATAAGGTTATTCAAGATGGATGCTCATTGGTGTATAAACATTGTATAAAAAGCGTAGTATGGGATAGAGTCTAATTTTTTAAATATCTTTGCTTAACCACTTCACTGGCAGGGCGTTCCAAATGGCGTTCCACGCGCCGAGGCCCAGACTGGCAAAAACACCGAAATGGCGTTCCTAATAAAACTTTATTTTTTAAGAGTGTACACTACTTTTAACTTCTACAAAGCAATATTTCTATAGTTTAGACATCAGGGAACAATATTATCACAATAAAAGTTTCAGTTTTTGAGATTTTCAATGTTTCTTCGAACGTTGAAATACTTCATTTTTACCACTTTTAAACAAATGGCGTTCCACTTTTTTTCAATTTTTACGCAGTAAAACTCATATTTTTTATTTTAAAAAAATGTATTTATATACAATATTATATTATAATAATAATAATGTAATAAATAAAAAATAAATATAAATAATTGATAAATAAAATATAATAATTATTAATAATATCAATTACTATTATTGTTATAATTATTGCATTAAATTATTATATTATTGTATATAAATACATTTTTTTAAATAAAAAATATGAGTTTTACTGCCTAAAAATTGAAAGAAAGTGGAACGCCATTTGTTTAAAAGTGGTAAAAATGAAGTATTTCAACGTTCGAAGAAACACTGAAAATCTCAAAAACTTAAACTTTTATTGTAATAATATTGTTCCCTGGTGTCTAAAATATAGAAATATTGCTTTGTACAAGTTAAAAGTAGTGTACACTCTTAAAAAATAAAGTTTTATTAGGAACGCCATTTCGGTGTTTTTGCCAGTCTGGGCCTCGGCGCGTGGAACGCCATTTAGAACGCCCTGCCAGTGAAGTGGTTAAATAAAGTTTTCAACCATAATGTTTATTAGGTTTTTATGTTTTATTTTTTAAGAACTATTTTGTGCAATATTAAAATCAATAAAGAAAATAAAATTGATTTTTATCCTTTCTTAAAAAAGACATGGAGTGGAAAGGTCGAATGTATCGAAAAGTATCGAAGTAAAGAATGGGCAATGAGAATGTAAAATCTTAATAGAAGGGTGTTTTTAAAATTGTTTATACATGTGAAGGTGGCGCTGCAGTCGTATGTTATTTAAAAAGAGCGCGAATATATAAATTTTATTTTTGTTAAGAGAAAGTACTCATAACACTGAGAAAACTGGTTTATTGGACTAAACATCTGGAGGGACAAATCGTTGATATTTGAGAGTTAGCTATTGGATAACAATCTAAATGTTCAAATACACCATTGACAGATATTCGTGCCATTTCTCTTGGAGGGAAAATGAGTTTATAACAGAGGGACAAATTAACCATCTTGAGAAATCCCTTCCTTATCCGGCGCGAAATGAATAAATATGGCAACCTAACCCCTAAATTAAATACATAAAATGTCAGAAAAATAATTTCGCGCGCATCAGATCGTACACATTTTCTGCGCAACTTTTAACCCTCAGATATAATGGGAGAGAATATACAAGTAGATTTCCATTATCAATTCAAAATTTATTTTAGAAGGACTATTCAACTCTCTTCATAAGCAAAGGAAACATACACTTTTTGAACCTCTGAATTTGACTCTCCAGTTTTCTCAGTGAATAAATCTTATTTTGCATTGTCGAAAAAAACGTCAACATTTCAAATATAAATAAGCAAATTATTAACTGAAAAAATTTGAATATTATTATTAATGAAATAATGGACTTGGACAATGGACATATAAAAACTAGCACCGTAGACGGCCGCTTGCGGCCGTCGGAGGAGCTAGTTATTGTAAAAAATAGTTCTCAAAAAATAAAACATAAAATCCTAATAAACTTATGGTTGAAAATAACTTTCCATGCAATGTTTGTGTACCAGTGAGCATCCACCTTGAATGATAGATAGTTCTGATAGAAATTGATAGCATGTAGCGTCTCTTTGCGTTATAAATATATAGGTATGATCCCTATACATATAATATCATAACGTGGCTATTTGACCTTCGCGGACTAAAAGGCCAATAACCAAAACCAACCAACCAAATATCATAACGCGTTCTATATCCGGGTGGCATAATGCGAAGATCTTGTCTCAAGTTCGAGTACTCACGCAAGCAAATTTTTTTACCTTAAGTTCACATTTTTCGATATTATTGAACCGCAGTTATTTGTAATTCTTTATGAAAATTCAACAAGTTGTCCTGAAATTAACTACAGTTCTTCTCGAAACATTTAAAAATAATGTTTCAACTTACGTTTCTGCAGCATTTACAGTTTTTTCCCATATATCCTCAATTCTTGAATAAATTTTGGAATAATTCCTGAACAAAGATTTTCCTTGTATAAATACTTACATAACCTAGTATATTGTAAAAAGTAAAAATTGTGAAAAGTAAAAATCAAACTGCTTTGTCACGTTTAAAGGTGGGTCATGTACTACATTTTAGCGAAGTATTAATTTATTTTAAAAACACCACGTCTGCACAAAAAAAAATCTCTATGGTATTACAGTAGGCTCTCATCACTAAGTACCCGTCTCCCTTCATGCATATGTGAATTGGAATTGCTTCCCACCAATCCAGTAAAAAAAACAATTTCTAATTAACAACATCAAGTGTTAAAAAAAATTGGACAAGTGCGAGTTGTACTCGCACTGCAATGGTGGGTTCCGTACACAAATATTAAAACAATACTTGCAACATTTATCGGTAATTTTATAGTATATATTCTTAAATTAAGAATATTACATTCTCATCACATAAGAAAGTATTAGTTTTGGTCGAAAATTGACTTTTGCTAATTTTATGAAATCTTTACGTTTTGGGGTCCCCTGAACCCGAAAAACATGGTCCGGCGAGTCCGTCTGTCTGTATGTATGTCCGTCTGTAGACCAAAATGTTGTAGACACAACAACTTTTGAAAATCTTATCTGATCGTTTTTAAATTTAACACACTTAAAGTTGGTGTAAAAATAAAGGTTAAGTTCGTTAACCAGCCATTTTCGTTAAAAACTACAAAAACTACGGTAGTTTCAAAATTTTGAAAACTCAATTTTTTCAAATTTCAGAATTTTTAACTTTTCATTATTTTAGATAAGGAAAATACAAACAACTTTTCTTCACAACATTTTTTCATAAAAACTCAATTTTCGAAGTTATAGTCTCTTAAATGTTAAAAAAAACTAAAAAAATCTTAAAATAACACTGAAAATCGAATTTTTTGAAAGGAATAAAAGTCAGTTAATTGATTTTGGCATAGTCTCACCCTAAAATACTCGAAAAACATAATTGTACACAAAAAAGTCGTAATTTTCGGAAAAATCACTCTCTATTTATATTTTTTGTGCGCTTTTTTGAAAAAAATTCAATATTCCGACTCCATTATCTCCGACATTATTGCATATGCGATTTTGCTACCAGAGACTTTTTTTCTCGGTTTTGCATCATCTACAACTTTGCTGTTGACAACTTTTTGCCAAACCCTAAACTTTTCGAGTTATTTCCAAAAAACTAATTTTTATTACGTTCTCATCACATGAGAAAGTATTAGTTTTGGTCGAAAATTGACGTTTGCTAATTTTATGAAATCTTTACGTTTTGAGGTCCCCTGAACCCGAAAAACATGGTCCGGCGAGTCCGTCTGTCTGTGTGTCTGTCTGTCTGTATGTATGTCCGTCTATAGACCAAAATGTTGTAGGCACAATAACTTTTGAAAATCTTATCTGATCGTTTTTAAATTTAACACGCTTAAAGTTGGTATAGAAATGAAGGCTAAGTTCGTTAACTAGCCATTTTTGTTGAAAACTACAGAAACTATAGTAGTTTCAAAATTTTGAAAACTCAATTTTTTCAAATTTCAAAATTTTTAACTTTATATTATTTTATATTAGGAAAATACAAACAACTTTCCTCTATAACATTTTTTCATAATTTTTTTTTTTTAAGTTTTTGGGCCAGACCAACTTAACTGTTTTATAAAGTTTTATTTATTTTCTGAAATGTTAAAACCTTTCTAAAAATCTGTAGTTTACAACAAAATATTCAACAAAATATTTCTTTATTAGAAAAATAAAATTTTTTTTGGCTGGAGTTTAAGTGTAACTGACGTGTTTAGTTGTGAAGATGACAAGGTGACGAGCCCGATGCTGAATACTTCCTAAAAATTATTTAAAGATTTACATGCAAACTTCGTAGTATTATTTACTATCCAATATTAAAATTAATTGTGTAAAGGTTTACATGTCCCACTTTATTGAATGTTTAGCCTGAAACTTTTCTAAAAATTAAAGTTATTTTTTCATGTAAATCTATTATAGACGAAAATTCAGCAAACCATGTTTCTGCGAAGAAAGTAAGTAATTAAGAATAATTTCACACTTTTAATTAGCAGGACTAAAAATTTTCTTAAAAGTGTACTTAATTTTACAATCATCAGCAAACAAAAATAGGTGATGAGAATGTTATCCTTAAAGTCGTAGTAACTTTAAAAAAAAAAGTTTGATAAAACATATAGTAGGAAAAAGAAAAAAATAAAACATATAATAGGAAAAAGGATCAAGAACGCAAGTAATGCACAATCTCCGCTGACGACTGCGAGCGAAGCGAGCTATTTGCGCGCGAAGCGCGACGACCAATATTTCGCGCCCCCCGAGGCGCGCTGAAACTTGCGAGCCCTCCGCGCGAAGCGCGGATGAGAATGTGTCCGCCCGGAGGGCGGGCAGATTTTTTTTTTCAGTGTACTAAGGCTCGTATTTATGCCCATATTTAGGGTCGTATTTACTTCTAGATAAATATAATAATTCAGCAATATTGAGTCAATATTTTCCTGTAATATTGCTTTAGAATTGCAATGGTAACTTTTAAATCTTGTTCCAACATTGCTACAATATTGAATTGCAATATGGTATGGCTTACAATGCAATACGATAATAATATATAGTTGTGTTATTCGAGTTCCTTGTTTGTTAAACTTGAAATATCTCGATCTTGGAGAAAGTTTTATCAATTAGAATTATAATTATGCATACATAATAAATGTCTAACAGTTACTTGATTGCCACAAGGATTGATTTAATATTTTATAAATTTTTTTACGTCAGCTAATGCTGTGTAAAAATACAAGTACATAATATATTTTTTTATCTTTGTAAAGTACAGTACACTATTAAAATAATTTGATTTTAATTATAATTATATTTTTAAAATCAGTCAAAATGTAAAATAAAGAAGTTTCAATTATTACGTTTACATTTAGTAAGTTAAGAGGTTACAAAAATAATTTTCATGTATAAAAATTATCATTTTCTGTCGGAACATCCCATCTGTTTTCCCAAAATATTTTTTCTGTTTCGAAAGATTGCGATGTACATGTTTTTAACCAAGATACTTTTTCACAGCTCTTTGAAATAGTCCAGAATACAGAACCAGGTGGACATTTGTATAAATATGCTTGAAGAACATTTCTTGTATTTCGCTTACATTTGAAAAAAGCAATACTGCACCCATAATGAAACGGGTAATAGCCCTCATCTGGACATACTGCGTGAGATACTAATTTAATCTGAAAAATACATATAAAGTTTTATTAAAATATAAAGTTGGCACTCGCAATACGGAAACCCGTATCCCCCAATACTTTTTTTTACAAGGAATACTTACATTTAGAAGTCGTTTGCTATCTGATCGCCTATGAATTCTTTCATGGCTAATAGATCCCTCACAAGGTTGCGAACTTTCGGATTCAGGAACACACTGAATTTTAGTTTCGTCAAAAATAGTATTTTCAGGACATCGAAGTGTTAAAAATTTTATTTGTGAGTTATCATGTGTAGTACACTGATAAATAATATTACAGAACTTGGGATGACGCTTAAATCCCGTTGGGCACACTAGTAGAACTTGTTCGTCAGTAATATTTGAAGCAATTGGACAATTAGAGAAAGCATTGTCTGCTGGTATTATTGTATTAGTCGTTATTAGTTCTTCAATTTTGGTCACCGACTCGGTAATACTTGTGGAAACTTCTACACCATGTTTAGTTGTACTTTCTAAATTTACTTCTGTTTTTGGTGTTTCTAATTCTGATAAAGTAGATTTTTCCATTGTGGCTGATGTTGTCATTAAAGTGCCATCAGTCATTGTTAAACTTCCTGCAGTAGTAGCTACTGTAGATATTTCAGTTGCAGTTGTAGTTTCTAAATACTGTAAAGTAGAACTAAATTTCATAGTTGTTGTATTTGATTCTTCTCCAGTTTCCAAAGTTTCAGAACTGGTTGTTGAATCAAGAGGTGGAATTTTTTCTGTAGTTAAATGAGATTCTTCAGTTGAAAGTTCATTTTTCGACACACTTGTTGTTAATTCTGAAGAATTACTTTCTATGGTCAAAGTTGTGAGTTCTGTGACGTATGCCAATGTTGATAGCTCTTGAGATTTCATTGTTGACGATGGAGGATTAGTTAAAAATGGTTCCATAGATGATGAAGTATGTTGTGTGGAAACGCACTTTCTAGGTGGATAAATTGATTCTGGATAATTACAGACATTTATACTGGGATCAAATATTGTTCCGAGTGGACAGTCAAAGTAATAAACATTGAATCCATTTCCATTGTCAACGCAACGATAAAATTTGTTACATTTTAATGGATGAGCATAAAATCCGGGTATGTTACAAACAACACCATCTACCAGTTTGCAGTCAGAAGTACACGATTCATTATAAACTGCATCTTTACTGTCGACTGAATTGTTACTTTCTTTGTCGTTAAGCGTGCTTAATGATGAGAACAAATACATGGATGTTGTTGTCTCTGAAAGATCATATCTGGTTGCACCCATGTTAATGCTCTTTTCAGTTGAAGAAAATGTAGATGGAATCCTGTTGGCTCCCATAGATTGAAAACTGCTTTGAGTTTGTGTACTATTTGCATAATTACATGTTGGAACTAGCGAAACATAATTGCAAGTTTGTTCGTTTTGATCCCACGCTGTTCCAGTAGCACAATGAAAACTAAATTTTCTATATCCGAATTGGTCCTGAACGCAGCGATAAAACTTTTGGCAATCTTTTAAATCGGGAACAAATCCTTCGTGAGTACAAACATCAAATGCTTTTTCAGTTTGAGAAAAAATTTGTGACTTGGTTAAAGAATTTTCATTTTCAAAAAAGATGGGATTATTATCATTATAAGGTTTAAATTTATTAAATCGACTAGGATTATCGGTCCCAGGTAAATACATTTTTTCAATATTTGTAGTAGAAAATAAGTATCTACATTCTTCTCTTGAAATTGTTGATGGTTGACTACATCTATGTAAAATGTCATGTTGCATTTCATTACTGTTACGAATATTAATTTTTGATACCATATTAGAAGTCGATGATTCCAAATCAATCTGAATCTCATTTTCCAATTCAACACATTCCATTCTTTCACTATCTCTAGGAGGCACGCATATGTTTCCCATAGACTGTGAAAATACTGTACCTAGTCCACATTGAAACTTGAATCTAGTTAAGGGTCTACTATTACCCCAGTTTATGCATCGGTAAAATATGCTGCAGTCTAAAGGATCAGAGTAAAAGCCTTCCTTTTCACAAGTTTCCGAGAAATATTGCTCGACGTGTACACCATCATCTTTGAGGTAACCTTAAAAATGGTATAATTATTTAAATTCACTGTAATTTTTTATTTATATAAATAATTTAACAATGTGAGACATAATATAAAAATTTTTTTTAAACTTTGCAAAAAAGTGTAAAATTCTTATATTAAGGGGAGATTACCGTTCTCAATGGTGAAAAATGCATGAAGTTGAAAAGAATTTTTTTTTATATACGAAAATATTTTTTGAATTGCGGTTTTTTTTATTTAAATAATACATAATTATTAATCAATCTTTTACGACCGAGAAATAGTATAATTATAGTGAAGGACAATAAAACGAAAGCATTCAGACAAATAGTTTTTAAAAAATTAGTTTACTCCAACGTTTCGAAATCTAAATGATTTCCTCTTCAGGGAGTCAAAAAAATTAATAAATAAACATTCGTCATCAAAAAATAAAAATAAATTCACCCATCAAACGTCAGAGAAAACATAGAGTTTGGAGTCGTAACTATAAAAGATTATAAAACCAATTTTGTAATAAATAAATAAATAAATAAACATTAACATAAATTAACACTGATAAACATAGACATTAAGATGACACACATTTATAATAACACACCACAGAAGTTTTTAAAAATGCTTAAATAAATTAAAACTCTGCGTGTGAAGTTAAAATTAACACATAATTATATAAACTTATTACATATTTATGTTTAAAAAAAATTAAAAATGGCGGCTGTAGCTTAACTACATACACTGAAAAAAATCCATGAGATATTTTCAACTACATCCCCTTAGTAGAGTAAAAAGTAATAAAAGAAACTACTTTTTTAGTTAGTCTAACTATCTTTGCATACTTATATTTCAACTATTTTATGTAGTCAAAATTTATTAATTTAATTAAAGTAAATTTGTAGTTAAAATTGTAACTGCAGGTATGTTACAGAAATAACTATAAAAATTAATAGATTCTATACTACTTAAAGTAGTTGGAGTGAAGTGAAATTTTGTAGTAGATTTTACTTCTTCTATATCATAGTTGAATAATTTTCGATGTAATTTTTGTTAAAAAGTTTTAGAAGAGTACCAACTGTGAAAAAGGTATTAATGCAATTATTTTAAGTAGTAAAATTAATTACAGTTATCAGTTAAATTGTGGCAGAAATGTCCTCAAGTATTACTGTATTAGATAGAGAAAATTTTAAAGATGAGTAATGAAAGATATCCAAAAATATGCTTTAATAGGTTGAAGGAAATTAGTAAGAACAAAGATAGTAAATTGAGATATAACTGGTGGTTGCAGGTTCAAATAATATTCGAGAGTATAGGGGAGAAGGAGAGCTGGAATTCACTAGATCTGGAGTTAATTCAAAAAAATAAATTGTTATGGTTGAAAAAATTTGAAAAAAAATCATGTGAAGAAGATCTGGAGAGATCCCGCTCCTCTTCCTCCCTGTGTATGTATCTTTATATAAATGTAAATAAAGGACCTCAGAAATATTTGGAAATGAAAATTCCCTACAAATTTGTGACTGTCATTATGCAACTTCGATTATTAAACAAATACCAACCCAGAATTTTAATACAAAAAAATATTGTGCTTTTTGCCATAAAGATATAAGAGAAACTGAGTTTGTTTTGCATATCTTGATTGAATGTACAACTTTTAATCAGGAGAGAAGAATGTTCATAGATGCAACTACTGCTCTAGATGTTTCGGAAGAAAGATGGTTTCAAATTTTATGTAATCCAGACGTCGATTCAATTAAGAATGTTTTTTATTTTGTTAATGCTATATATAAATGTCAGGGTTTGTAATGTGGTTATAGTGTGATTTTATAAATGAGATTATATTTTGTTGTTTTTGTCTTTTTTGGTGAGAAACAGATTTGTAAAGTATTACTGTATTAAGCAAGTCATCGTAGCGGGCGAGCGTCCGAGTAAAAAAAGCAGGATTGGAAGAGAGCGAATAGTATTGGCGGTGAGTTTCTGCCAATACGTTTTCGCGTGAAAACCGTATTGGGGGCATTCTGCCAATTATAGCGGACGACATTTTCAAAAACTCGTTACTCGTCGGTTTTCGGGGTCGTTGATTACGAATCTAGCATCAGATTTTTTTAAATACAATTTGGCGGTTCGAATATGGCTGGCGCCATTTTAAAAAATTTATCAGATTTACTTAAAAGTTGTTACTTGGGATTGATTGATGTCGTAGATTAAAAATGTAATATCGGTTTCAAAAATGACGGATCCAATATAAGAACAAACAAAAAGTAATATAAAAAACAAAATAAATAAAGGAATGTAAAATCCGACTGCATACCTCCACGTGGTAAACTCTGGGTCGTAAGTGTAGTATACTTAACAGCGACTTCAAAAACAATAGTATGCTCGTTTGCGCAAATTTTAGTTTTCTAAAAAGTTGTCGACATTTTGAACCCACTATGAGATTTTGGTCTTGACTGCGAAGGTGTTAAAAAGTAGTCAAATTTACTAAGACTTTTTTCAGTGTAGAAACTGTGACATTCTATATGGAACAATGTTATCTACATGGAGAAAAATGGATATTTAAGGTAAATATCTAGATGTTAAAGTTTAATATTTTTATTCTTCTGGATGTTAAGCGTTAATATCTAGCATGTGATTTAAATATCTAGATATTGAAGTTTAATATTTTTGATGTTAAGGGTTAATATATCTTTTCAATATCTATCACTGAGAAAAATATATTTATGGTATGTACTGCCATAAATATGGCCAATTCTCACATATTATATTGGTGGATATGGAACAGTCATACAGTATTGCTGTTTCAGTGTAGAACAGCCATATATGTATGTGAGAGACAGTAATATGTACAGTAGAACCTCGGTTATCCGAGCCTCGATTATCCGAGATTCCGGATTATCCGAGGCACAAAACATGCTCGGATAATGCGGAATAACTCGGATAAAACGGATCGAGCGACTAAATTTGGAAAATAAATTTTACAAAACCACTATTTGTGATCATTGCATTTAAAATTTCGTCCATTTTTGTCATTTAATATTATTCTAACACTTTAAACACATGAAAAATAATTTAAAATTTTGAAATTTTCATTGGTTCCGTGTTATCCGAGTTTTCGATTATCCGAGGTACCTCTTCCCCACATTACCTCGGATAATCGAGGTTCTACTGTACGTGAAAAACACCAATACTGTATTTTAAGAACAGCAATACAGTATTGCTGTTTCAGCTATACGTCCCAGTAAAAAAAGAAGTATTGAGTGGAGCGTTTAGGAATTGAGTGAAGCTCTGAGCCAATACGGATTCGAGTAAAAACCGTATTGGGACGTTTGACTCAATCTTTTTTTCATCCGCCGAATACGGTCTTATTTTAGCATTAAAATTAAAATCACATGACCAGAGTACACATTATAAATTGAAAGCACAATTGTCCTGGAATGTAAAAATGCCGATTTCGATAAGAAACAGTGAATATTTGTTAAAAATTGGTAAAAGCAAAGTTTGACAAGCGCGACTGAATTTACCATGTGAATAAATGAATTGGTAAGTTTAAATGGACGAAAAGAAATCTACTGTTACCGACAGAAAGTTCCTAGAGAATTGTTAAACAATGAAATTTCATTGTTTTGTTGAATTTACCACAATTCTCTAGGAACTTTCTGTCGGTAACAGTAGATTTCTTTCAGTCCATTTCGTCCATTCCCACATAGCACAGCTTCTCAAGGTAAGGTTACTGGAAGGACATCTGTAGGGCTTGTAAGGTTACCAAGTAAGAGTGTGGTAAACATGATGTCGTCTAAAAAGTTCCGCCTTATAGTAAGCTTACACAGTAAGGCTATGGTAAGCTTACACATTAAGGTCGTAGTTAGCTTACACGGCAAGGTCGTGGTAAGCTCACACCTAAGGTCGTAGTAAACTTACACGTAAGATCGAGGTAAGCTTACACGTAAGATCGAGGTAAGCTTACACGTAAGAACGTGGTAAACTTACATGTAAGATCGTGGTAAGATTGCACGATACGATTTCTATTAGTCTAACGAATTTAAATTATATTATAATTTTAATTAAAAACTAATTCTAACAGTAACTATAAATTTTAGTAATACTACAGGCAAATTAAAAAAGGTAATATATTTAAGGTGAATTTTTACGATCGGAAAACATGTAATAGTTTTATTTGCAAATATTTTATTGCAAAAAAAATTTATATTTCGTGTACAATGGTAAAGAATAATAATAAGAATTCATCTTAGATTGGATGTCCACTTTTTGAACAGACCTGCAACAAACAATGACAAATAAATTACATATATCCGTAATTTGCTTATAGAAATTATGAAAAAATTACAATAGATAAATAAAATAACATTTCAATTGGAAAATTTTTGTTTTTAGACTGATATATAATACACTCCAAAGTCTGTTTAGCGGACTATCCGTGGGGAGTCGTCCGTTAAAGCGAACAATACTTTAACATTACCTTTAACGAATCAAAACATAGAAAACCGGCGTTGGAGTGTATTGCATACTACATGTGTACTTGGAACATTTAAATTAAATTAATTAATTAGTTAAAGAAAGACAAAATATAAGATTATTAAAGTTAATATTATAATTAATTTAATGTATATAATAAATATCTAATTAATTATAAAAGAAACATTTTTTTAACAGAATTGAAAAAAGTAACAAGTTCATAAATTATAATCCATATAAATTATGCTTTATACTTAAATACTTACAATGCTAAAAATATATTGCTAATTATATGTATAGTAAGTATTTGTTTATAGAAATTTAATATTTTCGCTCACCTGTAGTGGACGTAACTCATAGCCCCCTTTTCCTGGGAACTTGTTTACGAGCATTAGAAAGATATTCATACCCCTTTTTAAGGAAATTTTTTATGTAAAAATAATCATTTTCATAATTCCATTACATTTGGTACAGAAGCCCTAAAAATAGTAAGAAATTTTAGTAAGAAAAAATTATTAATAATTATTTTAATATTATTATTTTAATTATTTTTCTAATTATTTAGAATTTTTTTAGGCAGAATTTTTTTTTTATATAACATATTCCTATATAGGGGAAAATTGTATCAACCATTTTAAAAATTTTATAAATTAGAAGAACACAAAGCTTCTTTCCACAAGAAAGCAAAAAATTATTAAAAAAGTTAATTGGCTTACTCTTGTCTGCGACTCCTGAGAGTGCAATTTGATAGCCAATTGCTAAGAAAACCATCAATGGACTTGTTTGATTCATTCTTGCACTTTAATAAGTCCAGAGCAGCTTCTGTGTGAACAAAAATAATGAATAAACCTATATTTTTATGCATATACGTGGTTAACACATTTTTTTAAATTAAACACTTAATTAATAATACTATTTGAACGTTAAATCAGGGTTGCCACAGGTCAGGGAATTCAGTGAAAAGTCAGAGATTTTTATTAAAAGTACTGGAAAAAATTAAAATTTTAGAATTCATAAGAAAATTCTGAATTTTTGGTATCTTTTTTGTTTGCCTCATAAACTATAAAACTACCACGAATTCTAACACAAAACGTTTAAAATTTTTTTTCTATTTCTGACAGGAATACATTTTTCATACATTTTTTTTTTTTCATACATTTCATACATTTTTTCATTATTTCAAAAGTTTATTATAATTCACAACAAGAATTAATTTATTTTCAAAAGTAATAAAATTCTTGACAAAATTCAATTATTTTTAATAATTTTAACGAATATCTCGTTAAGAATTCAATTATCTTTATAAATAGCAAAAATTAAGATTAAGAATTAAGACTAAGAATTAAGAAAATTTAAGAAATAAATAATTTTCATTGCAGAATTTCAAATATTTTTAATACAATTTTAAATAAATTCCTCGAAAATTGCAATTATTCTTAAAAATTGTATCAAAACTCGACGAAAGAATTCAATTTTAAGAAATATTTAATTATTCAATAAAATAATAAAATTTGTCGCAATAATTTAATTATTTTCATAACTAACTTTTTAATTTGTCGCAAAAAATAAATTATTTTTAATAAGTTTTAAGTAACTCTGCAAAAGAATTCAATTATTTTGATAAACAACAAAATTCTTCCTATAAAATCAATTATTTAAGGAATTTTAATAAAATTCTTTTCCAAAATTCAATTAGTTTTGATAAATTTTAAAATTCGTGGCAATAATTTTTTTTTTTGTAAATAATAAAATACTTTGTAGAAATTAAATTATTTTCAAAAGTTTTTAAATATTCTCTTCAAGAATTAAATTATCTTTATAAATAGATAGCGAAATTCTTCTCAAGAATTAAATTATTGTCAAAAATTTTAATAACATTCTTGACAAAATTTCAGTTATTTAAACAAAATTTAATAAAATTTTTCGCATGAATTCAATTGAATAGTGAATTTCGAAAAGGTCTCAACTCGGATTTTTTTTTCAAATTTTACTTAATTTGTATTTTTTGCATTATTACATATTCATTGCCGTTTTCTTAAAAGAAAAAATTCATCTGAGGTACTTTTAGATTAGAAAAATGTTTTAAAGTGTCTTTTTTTTACTTTTAAACTAAGATTGCTTGTTTTTTAACCTAATGCTGAATTGCTTTTGAGCTAAAAAAAATTTATTAAAATTTATTATTTTTAACTTACTGTTTTTGAGGACAATTCTTTTATCATTTTCTCACAAAAAACAGCCCTCTTCGAAATTCACGATTTAATTATTTTCAAAAGTTGTTAATAAAATTCTTCGTAAAAATTAAATTTTAAAAAACATTCAATTATTGAAGAAATTAATTATTTTTGAATTTAAAAATGAAGTTAATGTTCTTTTTGAATAATTTTACAACTAAAAAAATTATATAAATGTATTCGAACATTTTTCTCAGTATCTAATTATTATTTTAAAGTAAATCAGAATATTCTTTAGGGTCAGGGAAAAAGTCAAAATTCTGTCATGAAACCTGGGAAAAACAAAGTTTAATTTTTTGTGGCAACCATGTAATAAAATGATCAGACTCCTTTGAAAATGCAGAGGGCAATTTTAGATAACATAGAGAATTTTTAACATACTGGAAATTAACTTGTAGAGATTTGTAAGGCTGAATTTGTGTTTCTCCTTGTTTTTTCCTGATAAACAATACTCCTTTCCCAGATTGAAAGTCATTACATTCTCCATCATTGCTGACACTGTTAAACTGGGTGTATTATATATTCCTACATTCTTCAGCGCACTGTACTGTAAAAATATCAAAATTTAATAACTATAGTGTGAGTCAATATTAAGTATTGTTTGTGTTAATATGTGGACATTCACATGAAAAAAGTCTTATTTAATTTTGGCACTATTGGACTTATCTGTATGGGTGAATTGCTTGCAAAATTTAGAAAATTTTGAGTGGTCATAGAACTTGTTTGGTAAAAAAATTCAATAAATTACATAATTTCAAAGTTTGTAATTCCAAAATCCTCATTTCGAGAAAAACTGAATTAAAGATTGTGATACCAAATAATTGTGATATCTCTGGTTCTTCTGGTAAGTTATTCAAATAATAATTGTTTTCAGTCCTTAAAAATAAAAAATCAATAGGTTTTATATCCCCCCTCCCCCCTTCTCTATGGAAAATACGGAATATTTAAAAAAAATCGACAAAATGGACCCTTTTCTTCTTTGTAAAGCACCAATGAAATCAAACACTTTAATTAACAATAAATTAATGAAGACCGCATGATTTGACTTGTAAAAATATGTAGATTGATAATAAAAAATAAAAAAATTAAAGTTTTTCTCAAAAATTACTTAATTGCGATTATCTCGAAAACTAAAACCGATAAAATGGGCCCTTTTCATGTGGACGTTCACATATAAAAACCACCAATAAAATAATTATTATAGCGTTGTTGGTTGGTTGGTTCTAAAAAAACTTATAACAAATTAAAATATACTTACAACTATTTTGTACAATTCGGAGTCTAGTACAAGTTTAGGGTCAGTTCTGTCAAAATCCTCTTTACTTTTTAGAGGAAACATTTTTAACTCTTCCCCCTTATGCATAAATGAATAAGTCACATCGTTTACAATAGTATTGCTACCATTTGATTTTGCCATTCGACCAAGTAAATCTACAGACACTTCTATTTTTGTGACTTTTGTCAACATAACTTTCTGATATGCATCTACTGAAAATAATATAGTTGATTTAACCAAATAATATATTTTTAATAATGAACGATTAACATATTAAGCAAATCGCAACAACGAATGTTCAATCATGAAAAAAATACTTAAGCAATATATGATTATTACCGGTCTTGAATAACATTTAAATTTAAAAAATACTAATAAATAATTTTTGGAAAAATATGACTTCTATAATTTCAAAAAATAGGGTAACTGCTCCAGTCTCTTTGAAAAAAAAAATATATATATACATTTATTATTGAATTATACATAAGTATATTTTCTTGTAGTTGTTTATTACTTAAAATTATAATAAATTATTCTTGTTAAATCAAAAAATAAAAAAAAATTAATTTGCTTGTTTGAAACATAAGAAGTTTAAAGATTATGTATGGGTGCCAACGACTGGAAATTGGTGTCATTATATCATTATTAGATAATTTAAAAGTTTCAGTTTAATTTTATTCAAAATTTATCATTTTATCGTATTCTGCATTAAATTCTGAATACATATTTTACTATAAGTATTATATAATATTAGTTTTTATCTATTAAAATAATTCCTAAAGTCAAAATTTGGTTTTAAGGGTGCCAACGACTGGAGCAGTTACCCTATTAAGAATTCAGGGTTGCCACAAATATTTAATTTTATTTTTCCCTGACTTTTCCCTAATTTCCAGACAAAATTCTCACTTTTTCCCTGACCCTAAAAAATATTCTGATTCACTCTAAAAACTATTAAAAACTCAAAAAAATGTTCTATAACATTTATTTATGAATTTCATTAATTGTAAAATTATTCAAAAACATCAATAATTTCTTTTTTAAATAAATATAATTAAATCATTATTATTTTTCCGTAGGAATTAAAATTCTTCAATACATTCAAATTCAAACCTTTTTAAAATTCAACAATTTATAAGAATATTATTACAAAACATAAAGAAGGTGATTACTCCAAGTCTTCGACTCGGAGTGATCGCCTTCTTTATATTTTGTTATAATTTAAATTACCATGAAATTTTTCAAAAAGAATTTTATTATTTATCAAAATCCTAATAAAATCCTTCGCAAGAATTCAATTATTTTCAAAAAGTAGTAAATTTTCTCAACAAAAAAATTCTCATAAAGAATTTTATCAACAAATTTTTAAATAATTCAATTATTTTGACAAATTTTAATGAAATTTTTAAGAATAATTATATTTATCGAAGAATTTAATCAGAATATTGTATCAAAAATTAATTAAAATCCTGCGATGAGTTTCATTATTTATAAAAATAATTGAATTCATGCGACGAATTTTATAAAACTCTTTTTAATTAATTGAATTTCTGTGACGAATTTTATTATTTATGGAAATAATTGAATTATTTCAAAGAAATTTATTAAATATTTTATAAATTATTGAATTCCTGTGAAATTTTAACGAGAATTTTATTCAAGTTTTTAAAAATAATTGAATTTCGAAGAAGAATTGTACTATTTATAAAGATGATACTGAACTGACGTAACTTTTCAAAAATTCAATTTTTTTTTTATTATTTTTAACTAAATTTTTTTTATCAATTTAGTATTTATGAAAATTGTAAAAATGATTCATTAAATCACGTATGAGTCATAATTTTATGATAGTTTTTGTAAAATTAAGTTATTTAAAAAAAAATTATTGTCTGAAATAGAAAAAATTCAAGGTTTTGTATTAAAATTCGTGGTAATTTCATAGTTTACGAGACAAACAAAAAAAATATCAAATTTCAGAGTTTTTTCATGAATTTTTAAAATTCAATTTTTCCAGTACATTTGCTAAAAATCCCTGACTTTTCCCTGAATTCCCTGACCTGTGGCAACCCTGGACTCAATTACTATAAAAATGACAAGAAATATAAAAATACTTATAATTTATTTGCAAATGACTTCGCAAATTTTTTTTGTTAAATTATTTTCAATATAATTTTACGAAATTTTAGTTTCATAAAAAATGCATAATCATTTATCTAAAAAAATTAAATCATATTTAGGAAAGTAATTATCCTATGATCTATATTTAATTTAATAGTTATTATATACTTACAGTCAGCAAGATTAAGAACTGCATTTGAATGCGGTTTTGCATTTGACTGATTTCCTCCATTATTAGACGGCATACCATTGTCACCAGCTGAATCTTGCAATAAATTTGAATCTTGTGGTTCCTCTTTATCTAAGGAGTTTGAGTTTACCTCTTCAGGATTAGAGACTGTCAAATAAAAAATGAAATATTTTCAATTAAAACTCTAACAATTTAATTGTATTTAACGATAAATCTTTTACAATTAAAATATTGGTACAAAATTTTGTTAAAAATGTCTGATTTCAAATTTAAATTTGATGATTTTTTTTATCAAATTTTATAGAATTCAATTAGTTTCAAAATTTTCAATTAAAATTCTTTAAATTTTTATTTTTAATTATTTTAAACATTTTCAATTAAAAATTTCAAAAATTGAATTTTGTTTGAAAAATTATTCAAACATAGTTTTTAAAATTTCACTTTAGTTACAAGTCACTTTACAAAAATTAAAATAAGTTAGATTTTATATAAAAAAAAGTTATTTTCTTACAAAATATATATAAGAAAACTTGAAAAATTATACTTTTTTGAAAAAATAATTGGAAAAAATCAAAACAGTCATTCTGAGAATGTTTCATTAAAAATAAACAAAATTTTTTGTTCCTTTGTAAGGCCTAAAATAATTGTAAAAAACATATCTTTTAATTTCAAAAACTTCTGACCTTTAAAATGATTTATATAGTTAATATTTAAAATGGTATTTTACTTGGAGCTGTTAAGGCTTCCTCTATCTTCGCAGATGCCGAAGATGTATCCAAAAAAAAATTGTTCCTTTACCGATATAGTCGACTGAAATTTAAATTTTTATTTCGTGTTTCCCTCATTGCTTTCTTCCTTTTCTGTATTTCTGCTCTTCGAATTAACGGACGTTCCATTTTCGTTCCCATCAGCATGTGAAGAAGATACGGCCACAATTTGTTCTCTCTTTAAGGTTAATGAATATTTAGTCACCCTTTAATGCCTTGATTTCTGAATTTTTCCAGTAGTTTTCTCGTCGGAAATTATATTTAATTTAACTCTGAAAGATTATTACTCATATTATTATTTAATCGATTATATATTTTATTAATAATTCAATGTTCAATTAAATTAATTTACTTTATTACAGAAAAATACTTTAATTTTTTCTTTTGTAATTTATTTTTTAAGGATCTAAAAATTATAATAATATACGTTACCTAGAAGTTCTTTTTAATATTAACACTGGAAAAAATGGGTGATGATTGTGACCATCTATTTTCGTTCTGCTTTGTGCAATAATGGAATTACTGCGATTCCTTTCGAGGTTGGAATTTTCCACGCTTTTGATATAACATCGCTTAATAGTAAACAATGTTTTTCCTCTTCATTGACATTATTGGCCATGTAAATATTTATTAACCTGGAATCAGGATCTTCATATAGGCTGCCTTTGAAACAAAGCCTATGTCCAACTATCTTAATGTCCTGACCACCCAATTGCAAAATGTTTTCTACTATTAAGAATGTTCCATCCTTTAGCATAACACAATTATTCCTAATATCATCACAATTTATTGAAAATCCTTTGGTTTTTAAATTTTTGTATTGTTTAGGAATATTTGTTAGGCAGTCTTGAGTTAATGGTCCTCTATTGTGAGCATGATCTAGAATAAATTCTTCAGTTGCATAATTCTTCAGTTTTTGAATGTTTTCGACCTCTGCATACCTTCTAGCAAGTTGCTGTAACGGTTTATCTCCCTTTCTGATCATCCTTTTCACAGTCCCCATATAATTTTCAAATTTAAAGGCGCTGAAATTTCCTAGAGCTCCAAATCGTTTAACATCTGCACAAAGGTGCAACAAGTTGTGCACATTGTAGGAAATGAATTCTTTTCCATAAAGAGAATCGAAGTCTGTTACAAACAATTGTAACATTTCGTGTGCTACATCAATATTTCTAGGGTCGCAAATATGTCTGTCACTTGATAAGATAGAAATTGCTGTATGCAGTAAGAGAAAATGAGAATAAAGCTCGCTAGAAAATCCTTCAACGTTTTGCAATACAATGACACCTGCATACAACAAAAATGTGCGAAATTCTGTTGCTTTCCAGAATTTATATTCCCATAAAGTCCTTGGCCTTCTATTAAACTCAACGGGAATTGTATTTCGCAACAGAAGTAGTCGATTTGATATTGTGTTTAAGGCATCGGAAGATATTTTTACTTTTGATTTACGGAGAACCCACAGAGAAATTAGTTTTTTCGTGACTCCAAGCAAAACTAAGTGCATATAGTCCAAAGGAATGCAACTGATACAGCCAAATCCAGGAAGCTTTGTAAGAACAATTTCAACATCTGTTTCAAAGCTATTATATTTATTGCGTTTAAAATCCTGGTCCGTTTTTAGCGCAAATGGTCCTATACCAGGAAAACAAACTTTTCCCTTCTTCTTCTTTCCTCTTGTTGATGGTGGCGGTCTATGGCATACACCTGTTATTAGACACTTGGGACAACAGTCGTATCCAGTGTGTCCTTTTAAATACAAAATAAATGATTTTGCAGGGGCGTCGCAAATTATAGCTTCTATAGTAACATTATGATTCTTCACGCCTTTTTCACAAACGTTGATTGCTTCTTGAACAAAAGAATTAAGAAATTCGTTTGCATCTATTGGTTTCTTCGTCCCGTAGAAAGCACCGACAGGATACACGATCTCAGAATTTACTTCGGAGCACAATATAAGCCAGAAAGTATTTTTCCCACTATTCGAAATTGGAACACCATCTACATTTATCATTAATTTTACTTTTTGATCTTGCACACCTTTATTTCTTCTTTCAATAAGTATGTTCTCAACTGCTCTTTCCAAACCAAAGTGGTGATACACACCATCACTCATTTCAGCACATTCTGTTTTTCTGAGGGTTCCTAACAACGTCCTTGCATCTACTGGTAAACTGGAATCAAATACTCTTAGCAAGAGTAATAAAGCTGAAAGGGCAATTAAAGTTATGTGGAACTTTAATGCCCATTCTCGGAGCTTGGCTGAGAACGTATTTTCCTTTACAGGTGTTTCATCCCGATATAAAAAATCTGATAATTCCAAGTCATCTTCGCCAAGATCACTATCGGTCTTCCTGGTGTCTTCATTACATGTGATTTCCGAATCACTATCAAAATTGTAATTATTGTCAGAGTCGAAATCTAAAACAAACTTGTCACTAACATTGGATTCCATTTCACAAGGCTCGTTTTCAATACATGGTGCGTTAGAAATTTCATTATTGTCTGAAAATGATGATGAACACAAATTCAAGTCTATATTAACATTGCATAATTTTGATGGTGGTTCACTGTCAATAAAAGTAGGTAATTCGACATTAGGTAAAAGTGATGAAATATTTGAGACTTCTCCAATACTTGTTTCGAGTGGAGTCGATGAACTATGCTGAGATTGCACGAGATTGCAATCGTTTAACAAGCGTTCTTGAACTATTTTTCGAAAGCGACGTGAAGAAATGCCATATTTTTTCGGTGGTTGTTTTTTCATGATTTTCCCCATGGTTACTAAAATTTATTTAAAACATAATAATTTTTAATATATTCAATTATTTTCTGAAATTCTTATACATTGAAAATTTTACAGAATTATAGTGTAAATACAAGGAAAAAATAAATTTACCAGATATTACAAAACGGTCACACAGTACGGATACAGCTTATTACAATACTGAGTTTCGTAAAGTGTAAGGAATATTTCAGGATCAAGTATAGAAATTTCGTAGTTTATACTGAATATTTCTAAAGTTTATCCTGAAATATTCTTTACACTTTACAAAACTCGGTTTCGTAATAAGCTGTATCCGCTACTCCGTTAAAGTTTGGTAAAATCTGCTAAATTAATTTTTTCCGAGAGTTTCTTAAAATTTATTTATTTTAAATAATTTATATATAAATTTTAAAAATTAATTTTTTTATAAAATGGTCTGTTCTTTATAAATAAATTGTAAATATTTTTAGGACCAAAGAAATATTTGATAGTTTCTCTTGAAGTAACTACATTTATATTGATATATCACTAACGTTTTTATTTTTAAAATAACAATTACAGGGATCGGATCGTCTTTAAGACTAAAAGAAGTCGCTTTAGTCGCATAAATTTACAACAAAAGTCAAGAAAAGTCACATAAAATTTCCAAAAAAGTTGGAAAAAAGTCGCATGAAATTTTAGAAAAAACGACAAAAAAAACACTAAATTGTCAAAATTGTAAAAAAAATCACATTTCTCAACAACAGATACATTAATATCAAACAATCAGGAATAAAATTTAATAAAATTCATAGCAAAATTTTAATTAGGTATTTTTAACATTTTTTTAAAAATTCTCTTTAAAATGTCAATTATTTTTATAAATAATAAAATTCTTCTCCGAAATTCAATTATTTAACAAAAATTTTAATAAAATTCTTGTCGAAATTTCAATTATCTTCATAAATAATAAAATTCTTCTCTGAAATTCATTTATTTTCAAAAGTAATAAAATTCTTCACACCAATTCAATTATATTCAAAACATTTTATAAATAATAAAATTCATCATAAAAATTTAATTGTTTTTAAAAGTTCTGATAAAATTCTTTGCAAAATTCAATTATCTTCAAAAATAATAAAATTCTTCTCTGAAATTCAATTATTTGTAAAGAATTTTAATATAATTCTTGTCAAATTTTCAATTATCTTTATAAATAATAAAATTCATCCTAGAAATTCAATTATTTTCAAAATTTTTTTTAAATTCCTCGTTAAAATTTTTATTATCTTCATAAAATAATAAAATTCATCCTGGAAATTTAATTATTTTAAAAAGTTCTGATACAATTTTTTGCAAAATTCAATTATCTTTAAAAGTAAGAAAATTCTTGACAGAAATTCAATTATTTTCAAAATTTTTTTTTATTCTCTTAAAAATTTCAATTATTTTTGTAAATATCAACATTCTTCTGCAAAATTCAATTAGGTACTTACTAATATTTTATAAATTTCTTCCCAATAATTCAACTATTTGCATAAAAAATAATTAAAAAAATTTTTTTTTATAAAGTCTTAGAATTTAAATTAATGATTTTATCACTCGGTCATCTTTAATTATTATAAAACATGAAGACATCGATTGTTCCGAGTCGAAGACTCGGAGTAATCGATTTCTTCATGTTTTATAACAATTTTTTTATAAGTTGTTTAATTTCAAAAAGGTTTGAGTTTGAATCTTTTGAAGAATTTTAATTTCTATGGAAAAATAATAATTAAATATTTATTCAAAAAAGAAGTTACTGATGTTTTCAAAAAATTTGTAAATAAATGTAACAGAATATTTTTTTGACTCAAACTTTTTCCTTTAAATTTAAAAAAAAAATTTAAATTTCATTCGTATTTTCCTAAAATGAATCTCAAAAAAGTCGATTAGTCGCATTTTTTCACAAAAAAGTCGAAAAAAGTCGAAAAAGTCGCCCAATCCGAGCCCTGCAATTAACAAAATTTTCGGCTCTGAAAGGTCAAAATTTGTTTAGTGAAATTTTATCAAATGCATAGTTCTTGTTGGTCATAAAGAGAAATATATTTATATGTACTAGAAACAACAGTGGCATTTCACGTAAAAATAGGTTAAAAAAGGGGATTTTGAAAAACTCAAGAAAAAAAATTTGGCGCACATACGTTTTTTTTAAATTAGTGGTATCATATCGACGGGAATTAGATAAATTTGGTAAATTTAGTTCAGAGAGTAAATAACACAAATTAAAATTTTTTAACATCACGTTTTTAGTATTTACTCACACATTTCAAATTTGTTTATTTTACTTTGGATTTCTGTATTTAAAAAGAAGGAAAATTTGAAAACCCCCAAAACACGTTTTTCTTTCTTTACCCAACTTTCTTGAGAAGTATGTCACGCTAGGTTATATTTGAGATCAGGGATCGTATTCAGGAGTGGAAAGTACATTGGAAACCATTATGTAACAAAGACTAAATTATTAAGTTAAATCGTATCAATGCAAATTGAAAAAGGAATATGAAAGTATGAAGTTAAAATTACATGCTTTAGTGTTTTTTGCAAAATTAAATATTATAATTTTTATTGTGTTAAAATTAATCTTTATAAATTATTAGTCCCTGCAATTAAAAATAGACATAACTTAAAAACAGTGTCGGTAATTACAATAAATTTATTATTTCTCTACTTTTTATGAATTATCATTTACAAAAAAGATTTTTGTTACTTTTAGAAAGTAACAAAATTTATAATAATTATTACTTGAACTAACTAAATGAATTACTTCTTTCGAAAACAAACTTTTGGTAAGAATATAACATGAACTTAAAATTAATTATTTGCTTACATTTTACACAATTAATGCTATATATCAACTCTCCGATTAATTGTAAGGCCATAAAAATTATTTTGGCCGATTTAGATTACAAGAAATATAGAAAAGAAATCTAGTTCAAAACAAAAATTCGAAAAAAAAAAAATTGAAAGTATTAGTATGTATTAGTAACTTTAGATTTTAGGGAAAACATTTTCTTTTATGAGAAATTAAGTAAAGAAAAGAAAATAAAAATAATAAAACCAAATAAAATAAACATGAAAAAGAAGAATGTTTAAATTTTCAAAGAATTTGATTAAAATACTTTTTAAAAGAATTATAATATATAACAAAAATTAATAATGAGTTTAGACAGAATCGATTTTCGGATATTAATATCAAAATTCTTATAAAAATTATAGGATTTCTGAAGGTCTGCATATACATTTTTTTTTTTTAATAAATTGAGAAAAGTATTTAGCATTTTTGAAAAAAAGTCGGAAAACGTCTACTCTACTCCAATACTATTCTTTTCTTACACTTTTGGATAATTTACATATTGAAGTATTGTTATATGGTCGTAAACAATTAAAATAAAATTGGTTTGCAATGATAAAATATAAAGTTTATATTAGCATTGAGATCATCAAAAAGTGCGTTATGATTTTGAGGTTAACTATACAAATTTTCACTTACAACTCATAAACTAGTTTCTCTGCTATCACAAATACTTTTGATTCTGTTCGTCAATTTAAACAATATAAAACCAAACCAAATTAAAAATAGAACATAAACATTACAAGAAAATAAAGAAAAGCACAAAGATAAACAAAACAAATTACAAGGCAAATTAGCGAAGCGCGAGAACACGAGGCAGTCACAGTGCATATAAGAAATCAGACTCAACTAAACTTGACGTTTTATTCCTACTGCGCAACTCACGCCTATGGCGGCCTAACCTTCAATAACGTCTCCAAGAACATGCATAAACACAAACCTATATTTAAAATGTTTGCTGTACTTATTTTAAATATTAATAATTATTTTTTGATAAATAGAATGTATTCTAAACATTTAACATTTATTAATGCCTATGTAAAAAGAGTTAAAAAATTATTTGAAACAGCGTTATTATTCACAAAAGGGAAACGACGTCATTTGATTCAAAATGAATATAACATCATTTCCGCTAAATAACAATAATAAATAATAATAAATAAATAAACAATAATAAATAACAATGTTTTTTCTTGATTTTTTAATTTTTTTAAGAGAAAAGTGGATAAACCAGCATATATTTCAGAAATATACTTTCCATGCATTAAAATGTAATTATTAGAATTTATTATTTAAGCTTAATAGAACTATATCAAAATTCCAAGAAAATAATAAAATTTAAAGTATGCGCAAGAGAGTTGCGCAGAATGTCAAGTACATGAAAGGCATGATCGCATGAAAGCAGCGTTTGGCCATTTGCAAAAGCAGCATTCCATCACATTCCATTGTGATACTGTTCATTTCTTGTGTTCTCGTTAATATTTCAGTGTTATTTTTTGTGTATATACCATGGCGGTCGATGCAGTAAATTATCAATTTGCTATCGTATTATTTAATGATAATACTGTAGAAATAATTCGCACTGACTGGGCTGAACTTGACGCGAATGGAGATGTGACAAGAAGCTTCTTCCCCTCAACAAAAAATAAGAAATTTCTTCAGGATATATTGAAAAATAATCCCATCCCAGATATAAATTGGACAAACGAAGGTGAAATGTGGCCTGTCAAAAAAACATATCGCTACTTTGGTATGTATGGCTTTAAAAAATTATAATCTTAATTTAGATATATAAAGTTAGTAATTTTAAACGTCGGTGAAGTTCGCAACGTTTATGATCAACGATTGAAAAAAAAATTATTTTCCTACGAAAAAGAATAAAATTTTTTGTTCATAAATATTTATTTTGTAAATCATTATTCAAAAAACTAACCAAAATATTTTCTATACCTACAAAAATTAATAAAAATTTGCTTGAAAAAATATTTTTCTTATGAAATCGTTGATTATAAACGTTGTGAACTTCACCAACGTAATTTTAATATATAATAGAAACAATTTTCCAATTGTAAGAATGTTTCGTTTTATGAAGTTCATTTAAGAAAATCTATCTTCTTTTAATATACAACAAAGTAAGGTTTAATCTGGTTTTTATATTATAAAAAATGCATACACTGAGAAAAAAGAGAGCGTGTTGCAGCACATTTTCCAGTCATGTTGCGCGACTCAACCCTGTGTTCTCCTACCTCCTAGACACTTTTCTGGGGCGCACAGAGTTCCCCTGATTCGAGGCAAGCTGTATTTAAAGTGCATTATAAAATAATTGTTAGATTTTTCTCTCTTGGATATTTTTTAACTTATTATTCAATTCAACAATATTTTAGAAGTTCATTCAATACACGTATTTAAAAAGTAATTTTAAAAATATTTTCAGATTATTTTATTCAAAATTTAAATGTTTTCGTTTAGAAATTTTTGTACGTTAAAACTTTTTAAAAATCAAGGAAACTTTAATTTTATTAAATTAAATTAATAAATTGATTCAAAAAACCCTCATCAAAATTTTTTACAGTTCAATTTAGAAAAAGGAGAGAAATTAAAATTTTATTAACAAGTAGGTAAATGTAATTAGAAAAATAATTAATTTATTTAATTTTCCCTTTCATTTTTTTTAATAAAAATAAATGTAAATTAAAATTTTTTAACTGAACATACGCTTTTTCTTTAATTGTAACCCTAGTAATATTGTTAAAAAATAATTTTTAGAAACGTTAGAAGAGGCAGAAAAGAATGTGGAGTATTATATAAACCTAAGCGATGTCGAGACAGACGACGAGAGAAATCGTGAAAAAATGAAAAAATCAAGACATCAACGTGCGATTAAAAATCCATCTAACAGTGATACGGACACCGAATATGAAGCTTCAAAAGCTGTAAAGAAAGAAAAATTTGTGGCCTTAACTTCTTCAGAGGGAAACAAGAAATTTAAATTAACATTTCATCCCACTATACCGGTTGAAAAAATTGATTTGGATACATCTTCGGCATCTGCGAAGATAGAGGAAGCCTTAACAGCTCCAAGTAAAATACCATTTTAAATATTAACTATATAAATCATTTTAAAGGTCAGAAGTTTTTGAAATTAAAAGATATGTTTTTTACAATTATTTTAGGCCTTACAAAGGAACAAAAAATTTTGTTTATTTTTAATGAAACATTCTCAGAATGACTGTTTTGATTTTTTCCAATTATTTTTTCAAAAAAGTATAATTTTTCAAGTTTTCTTATATATATTTTGTAAGAAAATAACTTTTTTTTATATAAAATCTAACTTATTTTAATTTTTGTAAAGTGACTTGTAACTAAAGTGAAATTTTAAAAACTATGTTTGAATAATTTTTCAAACAAAATTCAATTTTTGAAATTTTTAATTGAAAATGTTTAAAATAATTAAAAATAAAAATTTAAAGAATTTTAATTGAAAATTTTGAAACTAATTGAATTCTATAAAATTTGATAAAAAAAATCATCAAATTTAAATTTGAAATCAGACATTTTTAACAAAATTTTGTACCAATATTTTAATTGTAAAAGATTTATCGTTAAATACAATTAAATTGTTAGAGTTTTAATTGAAAATATTTCATTTTTTATTTGACAGTCTCTAATCCTGAAGAGGTAAACTCAAACTCCTTAGATAAAGAGGAACCACAAGATTCAAATTTATTGCAAGATTCAGCTGGTGACAATGGTATGCCGTCTAATAATGGAGGAAATCAGTCAAATGCAAAACCGCATTCAAATGCAGTTCTTAATCTTGCTGACTGTAAGTATATAATAACTATTAAATTAAATATAGATCATAGGATAATTACTTTCCTAAATATGATTTAATTTTTTTAGATAAATGATTATGCATTTTTTATGAAACTAAAATTTCGTAAAATTATATTGAAAATAATTTAACAAAAAAAATTTGCGAAGTCATTTGCAAATAAATTATAAGTATTTTTATATTTCTTGTCATTTTTATAGTAATTGAGTCCAGGGTTGCCACAGGTCAGGGAATTCAGGGAAAAGTCAGGGATTTTTAGCAAATGTACTGGAAAAATTGAATTTTAAAAATTCATGAAAAAACTCTGAAATTTGATATTTTTTTTGTTTGTCTCGTAAACTATGAAATTACCACGAATTTTAATACAAAACCTTGAATTTTTTCTATTTCAGACAATAATTTTTTTTTAAATAACTTAATTTTACAAAAACTATCATAAAATTATGACTCATACGTGATTTAATGAATCATTTTTACAATTTTCATAAATACTAAATTGATAAAAAAAATTTAGTTAAAAATAATAAAAAAAAAATTGAATTTTTGAAAAGTTACGTCAGTTCAGTATCATCTTTATAAATAGTACAATTCTTCTTCGAAATTCAATTATTTTTAAAAACTTGAATAAAATTCTCGTTAAAATTTCACAGGAATTCAATAATTTATAAAATATTTAATAAATTTCTTTGAAATAATTCAATTATTTCCATAAATAATAAAATTCGTCACAGAAATTCAATTAATTAAAAAGAGTTTTATAAAATTCGTCGCATGAATTCAATTATTTTTATAAATAATGAAACTCATCGCAGGATTTTAATTAATTTTTGATACAATATTCTGATTAAATTCTTCGATAAATATAATTATTCTTAAAAATTTCATTAAAATTTGTCAAAATAATTGAATTATTTAAAAATTTGTTGATAAAATTCTTTATGAGAATTTTTTTGTTGAGAAAATTTACTACTTTTTGAAAATAATTGAATTCTTGCGAAGGATTTTATTAGGATTTTGATAAATAATAAAATTCTTTTTGAAAAATTTCATGGTAATTTAAATTATAACAAAATATAAAGAAGGCGATCACTCCGAGTCGAAGACTTGGAGTAATCACCTTCTTTATGTTTTGTAATAATATTCTTATAAATTGTTGAATTTTAAAAAGGTTTGAATTTGAATGTATTGAAGAATTTTAATTCCTACGGAAAAATAATAATGATTTAATTATATTTATTTAAAAAAGAAATTATTGATGTTTTTGAATAATTTTACAATTAATGAAATTCATAAATAAATGTTATAGAACATTTTTTTGAGTTTTTAATAGTTTTTAGAGTGAATCAGAATATTTTTTAGGGTCAGGGAAAAAGTGAGAATTTTGTCTGGAAATTAGGGAAAAGTCAGGGAAAAATAAAATTAAATATTTGTGGCAACCCTGAATTCTTAATAGGGTAACTGCTCCAGTCGTTGGCACCCTTAAAACCAAATTTTGACTTTAGGAATTATTTTAATAGATAAAAACTAATATTATATAATACTTATAGTAAAATATGTATTCAGAATTTAATGCAGAATACGATAAAATGATAAATTTTGAATAAAATTAAACTGAAACTTTTAAATTATCTAATAATGATATAATGACACCAATTTCCAGTCGTTGGCACCCATACATAATCTTTAAACTTCTTATGTTTCAAACAAGCAAATTAATTTTTTTTTATTTTTTGATTTAACAAGAATAATTTATTATAATTTTAAGTAATAAACAACTACAAGAAAATATACTTATGTATAATTCAATAATAAATGTATATATATATTTTTTTTTTCAAAGAGACTGGAGCAGTTACCCTATTTTTTGAAATTATAGAAGTCATATTTTTCCAAAAATTATTTATTAGTATTTTTTAAATTTAAATGTTATTCAAGACCGGTAATAATCATATATTGCTTAAGTATTTTTTTCATGATTGAACATTCGTTGTTGCGATTTGCTTAATATGTTAATCGTTCATTATTAAAAATATATTATTTGGTTAAATCAACTATATTATTTTCAGTAGATGCATATCAGAAAGTTATGTTGACAAAAGTCACAAAAATAGAAGTGTCTGTAGATTTACTTGGTCGAATGGCAAAATCAAATGGTAGCAATACTATTGTAAACGATGTGACTTATTCATTTATGCATAAGGGGGAAGAGTTAAAAATGTTTCCTCTAAAAAGTAAAGAGGATTTTGACAGAACTGACCCTAAACTTGTACTAGACTCCGAATTGTACAAAATAGTTGTAAGTATATTTTAATTTGTTATAAGTTTTTTTAGAACCAACCAACCAACAACGCTATAATAATTATTTTATTGGTGGTTTTTATATGTGAACGTCCACATGAAAAGGGCCCATTTTATCGGTTTTAGTTTTCGAGATAATCGCAATTAAGTAATTTTTGAGAAAAACTTTAATTTTTTTATTTTTTATTATCAATCTACATATTTTTACAAGTCAAATCATGCGGTCTTCATTAATTTATTGTTAATTAAAGTGTTTGATTTCATTGGTGCTTTACAAAGAAGAAAAGGGTCCATTTTGTCGATTTTTTTTAAATATTCCGTATTTTCCATAGAGAAGGGGGGAGGGGGGATATAAAACCTATTGATTTTTTATTTTTAAGGACTGAAAACAATTATTATTTGAATAACTTACCAGAAGAACCAGAGATATCACAATTATTTGGTATCACAATCTTTAATTCAGTTTTTCTCGAAATGAGGATTTTGGAATTACAAACTTTGAAATTATGTAATTTATTGAATTTTTTTACCAAACAAGTTCTATGACCACTCAAAATTTTCTAAATTTTGCAAGCAATTCACCCATACAGATAAGTCCAATAGTGCCAAAATTAAATAAGACTTTTTTCATGTGAATGTCCACATATTAACACAAACAATACTTAATATTGACTCACACTATAGTTATTAAATTTTGATATTTTTTACAGTACAGTGCGCTGAAGAATGTAGGAATATATAATACACCCAGTTTAACAGTGTCAGCAATGATGGAGAATGTAATGACTTTCAATCTGGGAAAGGAGTATTGTTTATCAGGAAAAAACAAGGAGAAACACAAATTCAGCCTTACAAATCTCTACAAGTTAATTTCCAGTATGTTAAAAATTCTCTATGTTATCTAAAATTGCCCTCTGCATTTTCAAAGGAGTCTGATCATTTTATTACATGGTTGCCACAAAAAATTAAACTTTGTTTTTCCCAGGTTTCATGACAGAATTTTGACTTTTTCCCTGACCCTAAAGAATATTCTGATTTACTTTAAAATAATAATTAGATACTGAGAAAAATGTTCGAATACATTTATATAATTTTTTTAGTTGTAAAATTATTCAAAAAGAACATTAACTTCATTTTTAAATTCAAAAATAATTAATTTCTTCAATAATTGAATGTTTTTTAAAATTTAATTTTTACGAAGAATTTTATTAACAACTTTTGAAAATAATTAAATCGTGAATTTCGAAGAGGGCTGTTTTTTGTGAGAAAATGATAAAAGAATTGTCCTCAAAAACAGTAAGTTAAAAATAATAAATTTTAATAAATTTTTTTTAGCTCAAAAGCAATTCAGCATTAGGTTAAAAAACAAGCAATCTTAGTTTAAAAGTAAAAAAAAGACACTTTAAAACATTTTTCTAATCTAAAAGTACCTCAGATGAATTTTTTCTTTTAAGAAAACGGCAATGAATATGTAATAATGCAAAAAATACAAATTAAGTAAAATTTGAAAAAAAAATCCGAGTTGAGACCTTTTCGAAATTCACTATTCAATTGAATTCATGCGAAAAATTTTATTAAATTTTGTTTAAATAACTGAAATTTTGTCAAGAATGTTATTAAAATTTTTGACAATAATTTAATTCTTGAGAAGAATTTCGCTATCTATTTATAAAGATAATTTAATTCTTGAAGAGAATATTTAAAAACTTTTGAAAATAATTTAATTTCTACAAAGTATTTTATTATTTACAAAAAAAAAATTATTGCCACGAATTTTAAAATTTATCAAAACTAATTGAATTTTGGAAAAGAATTTTATTAAAATTCCTTAAATAATTGATTTTATAGGAAGAATTTTGTTGTTTATCAAAATAATTGAATTCTTTTGCAGAGTTACTTAAAACTTATTAAAAATAATTTATTTTTTGCGACAAATTAAAAAGTTAGTTATGAAAATAATTAAATTATTGCGACAAATTTTATTATTTTATTGAATAATTAAATATTTCTTAAAATTGAATTCTTTCGTCGAGTTTTGATACAATTTTTAAGAATAATTGCAATTTTCGAGGAATTTATTTAAAATTGTATTAAAAATATTTGAAATTCTGCAATGAAAATTATTTATTTCTTAAATTTTCTTAATTCTTAGTCTTAATTCTTAATCTTAATTTTTGCTATTTATAAAGATAATTGAATTCTTAACGAGATATTCGTTAAAATTATTAAAAATAATTGAATTTTGTCAAGAATTTTATTACTTTTGAAAATAAATTAATTCTTGTTGTGAATTATAATAAACTTTTGAAATAATGAAAAAATGTATGAAATGTATGAAAAAAAAAAATGTATGAAAAATGTATTCCTGTCAGAAATAGAAAAAAAATTTTAAACGTTTTGTGTTAGAATTCGTGGTAGTTTTATAGTTTATGAGGCAAACAAAAAAGATACCAAAAATTCAGAATTTTCTTATGAATTCTAAAATTTTAATTTTTTCCAGTACTTTTAATAAAAATCTCTGACTTTTCACTGAATTCCCTGACCTGTGGCAACCCTGATTTAACGTTCAAATAGTATTATTAATTAAGTGTTTAATTTAAAAAAATGTGTTAACCACGTATATGCATAAAAATATAGGTTTATTCATTATTTTTGTTCACACAGAAGCTGCTCTGGACTTATTAAAGTGCAAGAATGAATCAAACAAGTCCATTGATGGTTTTCTTAGCAATTGGCTATCAAATTGCACTCTCAGGAGTCGCAGACAAGAGTAAGCCAATTAACTTTTTTAATAATTTTTTGCTTTCTTGTGGAAAGAAGCTTTGTGTTCTTCTAATTTATAAAATTTTTAAAATGGTTGATACAATTTTCCCCTATATAGGAATATGTTATATAAAAAAAAAATTCTGCCTAAAAAAATTCTAAATAATTAGAAAAATAATTAAAATAATAATATTAAAATAATTATTAATAATTTTTTCTTACTAAAATTTCTTACTATTTTTAGGGCTTCTGTACCAAATGTAATGGAATTATGAAAATGATTATTTTTACATAAAAAATTTCCTTAAAAAGGGGTATGAATATCTTTCTAATGCTCGTAAACAAGTTCCCAGGAAAAGGGGGCTATGAGTTACGTCCACTACAGGTGAGCGAAAATATTAAATTTCTATAAACAAATACTTACTATACATATAATTAGCAATATATTTTTAGCATTGTAAGTATTTAAGTATAAAGCATAATTTATATGGATTATAATTTATGAACTTGTTACTTTTTTCAATTCTGTTAAAAAAATGTTTCTTTTATAATTAATTAGATATTTATTATATACATTAAATTAATTATAATATTAACTTTAATAATCTTATATTTTGTCTTTCTTTAACTAATTAATTAATTTAATTTAAATGTTCCAAGTACACATGTAGTATGCAATACACTCCAACGCCGGTTTTCTATGTTTTGATTCGTTAAAGGTAATGTTAAAGTATTGTTCGCTTTAACGGACGACTCCCCACGGATAGTCCGCTAAACAGACTTTGGAGTGTATTATATATCAGTCTAAAAACAAAAATTTTCCAATTGAAATGTTATTTTATTTATCTATTGTAATTTTTTCATAATTTCTATAAGCAAATTACGGATATATGTAATTTATTTGTCATTGTTTGTTGCAGGTCTGTTCAAAAAGTGGACATCCAATCTAAGATGAATTCTTATTATTATTCTTTACCATTGTACACGAAATATAAATTTTTTTTGCAATAAAATATTTGCAAATAAAACTATTACATGTTTTCCGATCGTAAAAATTCACCTTAAATATATTACCTTTTTTAATTTGCCTGTAGTATTACTAAAATTTATAGTTACTGTTAGAATTAGTTTTTAATTAAAATTATAATATAATTTAAATTCGTTAGACTAATAGAAATCGTATCGTGCAATCTTACCACGATCTTACATGTAAGTTTACCACGTTCTTACGTGTAAGCTTACCTCGATCTTACGTGTAAGCTTACCTCGATCTTACGTGTAAGTTTACTACGACCTTAGGTGTGAGCTTACCACGACCTTGCCGTGTAAGCTAACTACGACCTTAATGTGTAAGCTTACCATAGCCTTACTGTGTAAGCTTACTATAAGGCGGAACTTTTTAGACGACATCATGTTTACCACACTCTTACTTGGTAACCTTACAAGCCCTACAGATGTCCTTCCAGTAACCTTACCTTGAGAAGCTGTGCTATGTGGGTTATAACGTTTGGCAACGTTGCATTCACTATACACATTAAATTTGAGCGCGAAATTTAAATGATAATTTTCATCACAGGATTCACAGGTTAGAAATAATTCGCGTTGCCAAACGTTCTACGTTACCAAGTGAGTTAAATCATTGAATATTTCTCACTATTTTGACTAGCTGCGTCAAGCGATAGAACTTTCTTAAAAGAGTTTTTGTATAATTTAAAAAAACTAATTAATTTTTTGATGAATATCAATTAAAAATTTTAAATATAAATGTTGTTTCCAAAATGCTAAAAATAATTCTAAAATATTATTTTTGTATGTACCCTGTTGGAAGTATATGGATAAAAATTCTATCAAATCTAATATTTTTTAATCAAAAAGATTAATAAAGATTCCTGTTTTATTCTATAGTTATCCATGACAATCCATATGTATCCTTCTTTTCATCCACATAAATTTGTATACAAATAAATCTCAAGAAAGTTATCCAAACCAATCATATCACTATTTATTTTATCCTTATTAATACATTCTTAATTCAAAATTTAATCAATCACTATTTATATTAACTTTTCTATCCAAATTTATTCTGGTTTTTTCTTTGTTAATCTCTTGTAATCCCTACATTTATTCATTGTATTTCACATCCATACGAATCACTAAAATTTTATCTGAATCTATAATTTCTTTACCTGTTTCAATCGAAGAGGAAACCAAACTTTCTTAATCATATTTTTTATCAAACATAATCTATTTTCAATAATCTTCAATATTTTCTATCTCATGATCTAATTAGAGTTTTATATCTATATAAGGTCAATATTGCATAAGGTAAAAATTTTTGTTCCACATTGGATGGGGGGGGGGGGTCAAAAATTGGTGAAAAATTGTCCTTGTGGTTTATGGACGGCCCCTAAGCTTATACCTTGGCTTATATCATGACTATCAATAAATCTCGGTGTCAATTTTTTGACAAAGAATGAAGAAAGAATACTTTAATAAAATAATTCTTCTGATGTATAATGAATTTATATAAAGTTTTTCTATCGCTTGACTGAACTCATCAAAACAGAAACCATATTATTTTGTGATTTGACTTGCTTGATACTTTAAAACGTCTGGCAACACCGTATTTCTTTAGTCGTGTTGCAAATGTTTGTTATGACTTGTTTACATTTAGTTTTGAGTAGAAAATTGTGTGCAATGTTGCCAGACGTTTAAATAGCTGTTCAATATACTGTATAAAACATGATATATTTTTACAAATTAATTTATTGCAACTCTCACAGGTACCTATAATGACACATTTTTAACAGATATTTATTCATTATATATATATGAGGCATTTTACGTGAAATGTCCTAAGTTGAAATTTCAACTACTTGAAAAAAATTGAAACTCGAGGAATTTGTTGTTCTATCAAGTAGAAATGTGACCCAAAAAATATTTTTGATTTTTTCGAAAAATTGGAGGGGGTAGAGGGGGGTTAATTTGACCAATTTTGCTAACACAGGCTACTTTGTGAATTTTTTCTGAACATACTTGTAATGGGAAAAATTTTTTAGAATATGTTTCTGAAAGGTTTTTCCGTCCTCTTTCCAATGGTGTACTTTATTTTTTTAATATTTTAAAAATTTACCCTAATTTTTGATAATTTATATTTAATTTTCAATTTCCCAAAAATCGGTCCGTTTTTTTCAAAAATAAATTATTGCAAACGAAAGCTGAGGTTTTTTCCTATCGGCATGTAAATTTTCAGAATGCCCTTTTTTTTGTTTTTGAGTTATTAAATTTCAAAGAATAAATTGCGGCACGCTGCGTCGCGGTTGCATTGAGCCGCGTGGCGACCGGCGTGAGACGAGGCGCCCGGGACGCATTTTATTCTTTAAAATTCAATAACTATAAAACAAAAAAAGGGCATTCTGAAAATTTACGTGCCGATAGCAAAATTAATAAAACAAATTGATAAAACACATAAAATTTCACTTTTACTCATCCCAAGTGCTTCAATTGAATCTGAGCAACTCTTCAAAATTTTCTTTTTCTAGTTCTAGGGTCTAGGAGTATGAAAGTAGGGTCTACGAGGTTTAAAAGTAAGGTATAGGTTTCTTCGAATTAGACCCTCCTTTACTTCTCCAAATGGAAGATTGGCAAATTTCAGCCTGTTTTGGGAGTCAAAGGAAGGTCTAATTTTAAAAAATTGTATTGAAATCAGACCCTACTTTACGACTGGTAAACCTAAAAACCCCTACATTTTCAGAGGCTAAGTAGGGTCTAAATTTCGACTCGGGTACAGTTATTTACCAGTCCGCCTAGAATCAGCGTCCGTGACAAAAACTGTCCAGTAACTTGAACAATCGAGTGGCTTCATGACAAATTTCTACTAGGGACAAGTTTGATTTGAAAATTTTTAGGTTAAGTGAAATCGGCCTTCTTCAACTTGACTTTGTGCAGGCAGCACAGTAAAAATTTGTAAGCAGCACAGTCTATTTTATTAACCTGCGCATGACTATTTCATGGTACGGTTGATATATTTTGCTTTGGACCAAATTAGAAAGTCCTAGTTCATCAATTTTTAAGGTGCTTTCAAAGAAATATTCCGAGGCCATTTTGGAAATAAAACTGTTTTCCATATGAAATAAAATTGTGCGCAAGTCAATATTTTTATTCTTCCGATACAAATAGTTCAGTAAAAACATTTTGCACATACTTTCAGGTGACAAGCACAGTAACTTTAATTAGAAATTTCTCTCCGTATACTCGGAGGTTTTCGGTCTCGCTGATTATGAATTTGAAGTCAGTTTTCAAAAATTCCAATTGGCAAATCCTATATATGGAGAACACTTTTTTGCAAAATTCATCTGATTCGCTTAAAACTCGCTACTCTAGGGTTTACTGTGTCGCTGATTATGAATTAGATGTCAGTTTTCAAAAATTCTGAAGGACGGACCAATATAGCAGTCACTATTAACCCTTTAACGCCCGACTTTTTTGTAGCAGTGTAATTAAGTCATTGCTCGTATATAAAGGTTTTCGGGGTCGCTGAATACGAATTTGAGGTCAGATTTTAAAAATTCAAAATGGCGGATCCAATATGGGGGCCATCTTTTCTAAAAATTAATTCAATTTGCCTGAAAATTGTTACTCGGGGGTTTTTGGGAGCGCTAATTACGAATCCGATGTCCTTTTTTCAAAATTCAAAATGGCGTATCCAATATGGCGGACATCTGTTCTAAAAACTGATTCAATTTGCTTGAAAACTGTTACTCGGGGGTTTTTGGGGTCGCTGAATACGAATTTGAGGTCAAATTTTAAAAATTCAAAATGGCGGATCCAATATGGCGGCCATTTTTTCTAAAAACGGATTCAATTTGCTTGAAAATTGTTACTCGGGGATTTTCGGAGTCGTTAATTACGAATTAGATGTCAGATTTTAAAAATTCAAAATGGCGGATCCAATATGGCGGACATCTTTTCTAATAATAGATTCAATTTGCCTAAAAATTGTTAGTAGGGGGTTTTCAGGGCCGCTGTTTACTAATCCAATGTTAGAGTCTATGTTAGGCAATTGTTTTTTTATAGTCACGAATGTAAACGAACATTTAATTTTGACATCGTTTTCTCATTAGGCATTTGTTTATCGCATTGTCACAAATGTAGATTCATATTTTATTCGGATCGCGTTCTCATGTTAGGCTTTTGTTTTCCGATTTTCTCAAATATAGTCAAGCATTTTAGATTGATTTCGTCTTTGCGTTAAGCATTTGTTTTTCTGATTATTACGAATATAGAAATGAATATTTCATTAATCATTATGATGCCGGTTTTGCGTTAGGCAATTGTTTTTCACATTGTCACGAAGGTAGACGAACATTTTATTCTGATCTCGTTTTTATTCGGACATTTTATACACTAAATTGAAACCGCTATTTTACATTTTAAAAAATTAAAATCGTAATCAGCGACCCCGAAAACCCCCGAGTAACAATTTTCAGGCAAATTGAATCAATTTTTATAAAAGATGTCCGCCATATTGGATACGCCATTTTGAATTTTTTAAATCTGATATCAAATTCGCAATCAGTGACCCCGAAAACCACCGAGTAACAATTTTTTAGGCAAATTACATCAGGTTTTAGAAATGACATCCGCCATTTGGATCCGCCATTTTGAATTTTTAAAATCTGGCATCAAATTCGTAATCAACGACCCCGAAAACCCCCGAGTAACAATTTTCAGGCAAATTGCATCAGTTTTTAGAAATGATGTCCGCCATATTGGATCCGCCATTTTAAATTTTTAAAATCTGGCATCAAATTCGTAATCAGCGACCCCGAAAACCCCCGAGTAACAATTTTCAGGCAAATTGAATCAATTTTTATAAAAGATGTCCGCCATATTGGATCCGCCATTTTAAATTTTTAAAATCTGGCATCAAATTCGTAATCAGCGACCTCGAAAACCCCCGAGTAACAATTTTCAGGCAAATTGAATCAGTTTTTAAAAATGATGTCCGCCATATTGGATCCGCCATTTT